ATATATATGCATTTATGTGTGTGTGTGTTGTTCAAGAGGAGATGTGTGTATCCTGCAATCACCACTGCCTTCTCGTAGTTATTTCCGATGGCTGTGTGGAGGCGGAGGACTTCCTCCTAATGGACGGACGCCACTCACTGACATGATGCTGACTGCAGGCAGACAGACGCACCAGTGATACCAGCTGACCACCACACAGGCTGGGAAATGCTGTCGGGCACTGACCGAGATCCCATGTGCAATAAATCATGCCTTTGTTTTACCACAGTGGCAAAGGAAAACACATGCGAAAAACAGCACTTGGAAACGTTTAATATGCTTTACTCAGCTGACTGATGTAAAAATAAATTAACTAATAAGCTTCCTTTCAAAAATGATTGTCTGACCTTACTGCTTTAATGTCCTTTGTGACAATGATCATGAACAAACAGGTTATCTCACATACAAACACACACCAGTTGTAAATGATATTTCCTGTGTGGGAATATCACACCTCTGTATGAGGAAAACTCCGAAACATGAATCAATCCGGCAAACAATCCTTTCTCTGCGCAGATTTCTTTGCAAATGAGGAAAAACTGAAGGCGTGCACACAAACATATATTATTCAAACACTAACCACAATTATACAAATACGCATTGCTCTCCCAAACAGCACATTTCAGTATAGACACAAAGAACATTTCTCAACAACAGAACCATATGCTGTTTTTAAGGTCTGCAATAATCGCCACTTGTTTTTCTGTGATAACTTTCACCGCCCAATCAAAACAAACATCTCGGTGGCAGGACAGCTGGTACCCAGACAGTTGGATTTTGCTAAATTATCTATTGAATCTTTTAAACCAGATACGCAAGGAAACTTCAGCACAGTACGTTTCGAAGTCAGGATTTAAAAGCAGGCACAAAGCACATTGGAGCATCGTAAAAAAAAAAAAAAAAGCATGCAGCAGCAGCAGCAGCAGAGGAAAAGGAACACCGACACGGATTTCAATAAATATAGATGTGGGAAATGCATAATGGACATGTTCAGGCCAGGTGTGGACGAAAATTATCTTTGAAATTGAGCCAATAAAATCACATGTGAATGTATAGATATGGGTCGTATATGGTGAGAAGGGAATGTCAGAGAGAAAAAAAAGCACTTCCTGGGACATCCAAAGGTTATTTTATAAAACCCTATGAACTGAGGACACCACCCGGTACTGATTTCAGACTGTTCTTATACCAAGAAGTAGGCGCTATGTCACAAAGGGCAGACGGTAGGTCTTTGTTGCTGGAAACTCAATGTTCACCTTCACCACTAACACAACTGTTTAGTTTTGACTGGTATATAGTAAACCGTCCAAGTATATGGCTGCAGCTTCCTGGTGTGTAGATAATAAGACTCTGTAGTGGACTCAGTTATTGACTGGCTGACACTGATTTTCTGGGTGGATTACACTCATGTCCGGCTCTCTGTTTGCCTTACTAGTTGCTGGTTATATGACCGGCAGATTATTGGGTTTGTCGACTGATTTAACTTTGTTAAAATAAGATGACTGTGACTGAACACATCATTAAACTGACTGAATCACACAGTGACATCATTAAACTGTTGCAGTCAAAAACCAATGACAAGTAAGGTTTTTATCAGGGAGGACAGCCAGGGAGTCATGGCAGCTGTTGTATTAAAGTAAAAATTATCTTAGCTTGCTATAACCCACATTTGCATGAGTTGATGGGAGGACAGCTGAGATAGTCAATAGAGTTGCAAATGGGATGAACGCTAACACTAAGGTATTTAATGTATGGAACAACTCATGTAATGTATTTAGAATACGCAAGCCACTTCAATCAACTTCAGGCCCATCTGTCTGTTTTATTTTAGTTCTGCATAACCCACTTTGTTAACTACACTCATGCCCCAGTTACCCATTCATATTCCTTCTCAAGGTTAAACTGGCCATCTCTGTTGTGTCCAAATACGCATGTACTGTGATGTGATATTTAGAGGACGTCATGCGTATGGCTCTGATCTGAATATATTCACTCACTTTACAACACATGTTCAGTAAACCATCTCTTCCTCAGAAATAACACTGAGCCATCTTATCGTTTAATATAGTGCAAAATATGTCTCCACTCAAACAATTATATCCTTAAACTGAAAGCTTTAGGTGGGAGAAGAAAAGGCCCATTCCCCACTTGCTACCCTCCTGCTCAGATCATAAATCTCTGCCATCTACACTACACACATGAAAAGTTTCTGACTGCTTATTGCACGGTTGTCCATAGACAGACAGTCTGTCATATCACATTTGACTAGGTGTCTCCAAGACTACACCGGCTCACAGGTGAAAACAAAACCAGCATCACTGTCACAACTTGTAACAGCAGCCACATTCAGGTTCAAAGTTGAACCTTAAATGATCAGAGATAAAAAACAGTCCATAGCAGCAGGGCTTTCTCGCTCAGTCCTTCCGAGTTGATTCTCTACCTTAGTGGACATCATTCTGGGATGCAGGTAACACTCTAGTCCTTGATTTCGTTTTAACCGTAATATGCAGCTTCAAACTTAACACAGGTAAGAAAAACTGTCATTTCTGTCAATAAAGAAATGCAAAAATACCTTGGCTTAGCCACCAGAAAATGTTTAAAAAGACAATAAAATATACTAAATGTATTCACTACTTTAACAGCATACATTTTTGCTATATTCCCATATTTCTGCAGTTGAACATATTCAAACATTTTAGTCATATTCTCCAAAAGAATGCTTTTTTATGTCTCTACTAGAAATGTTGTCATAAAAGCAATCACTTATTTTTCAAACCCAACTGTATAAGTGAACAAATATACAACATTGCTTTCTCTTACAGTATAAACCTATACAAGATTGCCACGATGTGAATCTGCACAGTCTATTTTGAGAATCCCAGGGCTTTCAGTCTTGTCAATAAGTTCTCTGAGCTCTGCTGGATGGACCCATGCGCAGTGCCCAAAAGCGCAACAGCAACAAACAAAACGAACGTTGCTGGATATAAACGCCCTGCTCATGTCTATAACAGAAACGCGTGGCGCGCTGTGGATCCAACAGAAACAATGCGAATGTGTATCCAGTGTCCAAAACACAACCAAACCGTATTCTCTTCGCTGTTAACAAAGCCTTTACGGTCATATCGTCACGATCCAGTGGGAAAACATGTACCCACACACGAGTGACTCCACAATAGCCACATGCACCGAGCACCATGAGGGAAGCACCGGACGGATATACTCCTCTCCGGCTGGCCTTTGAATCAGCGTAAACCAGTGTGTGTACGCATCCACTTACGCATCCCGGGCAGGGCGAAAGAAACATAACCATCCCGAATAAACGGAGCGATCTTCCGTGTTGATACACAATCCTGAGTCGGAGCACTACTAGAGTGTAAGCGCACGGCGATCGCTGCCGCCCGGGTCCCTGTCTATTGGTTCCCTTTCAGCTGGGGCAGCGTCAGCTCACACACACAGTCTCCATTTGCAACTCCATCGCCCCCCATGGGCGTGCGAGGCCGCGGGCTGTGACGCAAATGGCACTGGGTGATTCGCAAATGACATATCTTCCTAATTCACTACCGTCGCCACAGGGACTAGTCCAATTCACGAGATATTACACACACATATCCCTCCGATGGTGGGTGACGAGTAAATAAAGGCGGATGAGCAGTTTGCTCTACGGGGATGCGATTGCATAACTCAGGAAACTTAATAAAAATGTGCACGGAGCGAGCGATGTGCAGTCTCCAAAGCTGATGTGCTGTTTCGGTGTGATCGTGATGGCCTGTGCCGTATCACTCTGCACACGATCAGTGCTCGACTTTTGGCCACAGGAGGAACCAAGCAGAGCGTACACACGGGGAACAGAGTGGCCTCGCTATGGTGGATGTGTGGTGGCCAAAGGACGCATGCACGTAGCTGACGGGGAGAGACAGGACAGCCGGAGTGGGACTTATAGGACCGCATTCACAGGCCATAAAGGGCCCGCATGAATACTATTGTGCTCTTTTATCCAAGAGTCCCCAACTATTTACAAAAGGTTGGCCAACACACACAAAAAAATATCGCGGCGAAATGGTGGCGGCGGTTACAGCAGCTGCTCTGCGCAAAGCAGCAGCAGCACAATCATTGCGCCGCGCCGGACTTCCCCAGTTTTGTGCAAACTATGTGATTTGTCTGAAATACTTTTATGTGCATCTCATTCAGGCTGTCCTTGTCTGGTGAGCAGGGAACCAGAGCGCAGGGCAGTCGCCGTTCTCATGGCACGATTTGCATCGCCCCCATTATCCCCGAAAATCTCTTTTTACACGCTATATTGTCAGCCTAAAAAACACAGTTTTGAACAACAATGGGACAGCTTGACTTGATCAAAGGAAAAGCCAAGTACAAAATGCACCTTTCACACCGTATAAGAGAGGCCCCTCGTAACGATTGCAGCATGGCAGGGGAGTGCGGCGTAAAAACGAGCTAACCCGAATAAAATACACACAAAGACAAGGTGCAATGCTTCCATAAATACGTCCATCGCCACTATGGTAACAACACTAAAACATCCGTCGTCATGTGGATAAGCATTAGGCCGGTGAGGATGGCATTATTATGAATGTAAAACGCTGCGTTTTGCGGCTCCGTGCCACCTTTTCCAAGAAGCAGCTTGGCGCACAGGACCGGTGACCCTTCCATCTTTGCGCGTCCTTCTATCGAGCGAAACCATGAACTATCTCACGTTTTGACGATTTACCATTGAATAAAACACATCCTACTAGATGATTTCCTCTTTTAGGAGGTAAAAGCTGCGTGTAGAGGCTGCTACAAGTCTCTGAAACTATTCCTCTCCCCGCCGCGGCCAGGCAGAAACAAGAGGGCGATGACGCCATTTTCTGCAAAAACAACCATGCTCGGGAAGCCAAAGCGAAGGAGGTTTAACCCGCTCCGCAGCCCTCTTCCCCCGCTGAAACGCACTAAAAACAAGTCCTTACCTTGTCTAGGTTGGATGGGTGGTGTAATTGAGTGTTTGAGAGGGTAAAACTACGCGTTCGTAGCTACTTCGAGTCCGGAGATTGTTTATTTCGCCTCCCAGCGTCCCCGGTTCACTCTGAACAAGTTCCTCTGCGAGCCGCTGTCTTTGTGCACCCAGAGGAGCCTCTCAGTGTAAAAACCAGCCTCTGCGCAAAGGTGCAACCTCTACGTCCAATTTCAGCTTGAAATGTGGCAACTTTAGAGCAACATTGGCACATAAAAGAACGATTATCTTTTGAATAAGAAAAGTTAGATTATTTTCCAGTTTTAAACCAAAGGCCACGGTTGTAGAGCTGATTTATCCCCCAAAACGCGCAACCTGTTTAGCTCTCCACGAGAGTCCACGACGCAAACGCCAAATATTACAGGGGTGGATACACCCTCTCAAAACTTAATAGGCTACAACAGATAAATGGCCCCATCATCAACTAAATACCAACTTAATTGTTTGGGTAGCAACCCGAATAAAGTCAATACTCTGAAGAAATGTGTGCCATTGATTCATTAAGATACACATTGTCCAAATTCAAATTTCTCCAAAAAGAGGTTACACAAGTAGGCTGCAGATACATTGAACACTGTTTGGTTTATTTTCCTACTATGAACCACATCTGACAATAGTATGTCCCTTGTTCAGCTAAGCATTGGGCAATACAGAATATTATATTTAACTTGTTCAACATCACTTTCTACACTTTGCCTAAGAGTATAAGAAAATAAGTGTTAATTAGTGGTGTAACCAAGTGCATTTATTCAAGTACTGTACTGTATTTACACATGATGCTACTTTATACTTTTACTTCACTATATTTTTTAAGCAAATATTGAACTTTTTACTCCACTACATTTATTTTACATATTTAGTTACTTTCCAGATTTATTTGCAGTTACATTATATTCAAATCGACACACATAATATATTATTATAGGTTAAGCTACCCAGTAGTATGTAAAGTAACTCAACTAAAACCCCCCACCAAGTGCAACGTTAAAGTGATGATCACAAAAATGCACCAATAAGTTATTGTTTTTTTTTACATCTGGAGCTGGCCATTTTGCACAACAAGTACTTTTACTTATGGCACTTAAAGTATAGTATTTGAATGCAGGACTTGTAGTATTGCTTCTTTTACTTGAGTAAATAATTTGAGTACTTCTTCCAACTCTGGTATTAATGAAGTATCATTCATTTGGATGGGAACCCACTTAAGTCCCCTAACAACATAACTTCTCACAGATTTACTAAAATGCTGATTCTAGTGTTTTCAGTCTCGTTTAAAAAATCCGATCAGTGCTAAGAGAGCACAGAAAGCCAATACTGAGTAAATCAATAGTTGACAGAAAAGACTAAGCCAACTGTGAATAATGTTATTGTGACATTAAGTATTATTCAGTATTTGATTTAATGCATATCACACAACTCCCTTGCAAACAAACGTTGAAGCATTCAAACATATTTAAAAGTATACTCATGTTTGGCAAGTGACTGCAGTGTTAAGTAAGTGAATTCTCAAATTGAACGGCTAGCCATGCTGCCAATATAAAGCTAGCTATACCAATGTAATGTTAGCTAAAAAAAATAACGTCTAATAACGGTTAAGCCAAACTTAAAGTTCCTTTTATCTCACGAAAACTGCTCCTTAATCACAACTAACCAATGATACCAAACCATGAAAATACCCAAAAGTTTTATCATATTCTAAATTAATTAATTGATTGTCGCGTTAGCATTTTAGCTGGATTATGCTAATTATTTCCAAAGCTAACTAAATTAGCATAGATGCTTGATGCAGAAACGGCTAAAAACAAACGTATTGTCCTCGTTATTTTTTAAACTGAGAGTTGACACTGCTCTTCTGCGATTTTTCAAGCTAAAATAACAATTATTTAAAATGTTATAATTTGTATTTTTTTATATTTGTGGACAATAAAACCGTTTACAAGGAAATATAGACAGCACAGCCTTACCTTGGTCCCAGGCCATTGAACAAAAACGTGTATATCATCCGGTTCATCACTTCAATGTCTAATAAAATATGAATAATATTCGAGTTATGTCGTATAAATCACACATTGACTGAAAAACAACTTAAATAGCCATTCGCTAAAGTTAACAAGCACTACAACAAGCTAAATATTAAGCTAATGTTAGCTAGCTAGTGTACGTTATTCTATGTAGCCTAAAGTGTATAAATTATGACTAATTAGGGGCAGCTGGTTAATTATCTTGTAAAAATGTGTCTATCCTGGAGTTTGTCTCGTTTCAAAAAATAATAATATTCTACATCCTATCAAAACATTCTACAATACATAAATGGAATACATGAAATAAAGCTAATGGGTTGAAATGAACTGACTGGATAAAAGGCTGTGGTCAAACAATAAAGGTTATTAAACCTTTTAATGCATTAGTAGGCCTATTTTAGTGAAATGCTTTGTTACCATAGTTTTTTACAACTCATGTTTATATTTAAAACATCTCATCTCACAGGCTACTTAAAAAAATATCAAATAAGTTGTAACACAAGCACTAAAGATTTACTTCAGACCAGGGTATTAATTAAAACAGCACAATATACTAGTTTCATATAAATAATTGTACAGAGTAATACAAGATCAAGGTTATTTTATGGTCACTGCCGAGTCCCTAATGCTAAATAAGAAAAATGTATACTTTTTATGGTTGAGTGATAGAAGGCTGCTTTAACAAAGTATTAAAGCTCTAGCATCAGGGTGCATACTCTGTATCATAGATTGAGAACACAAAAAGTATGCTAATGGAGTCGTTAGTTTAGTTTTTAATAATTATAGAGGTATATCACATATTTGAATTGTCGGGACATGTTGGGACTGTGAAAAAGATTATTTTAGCTGCCCAATAACAGAATTACCAAAAACATTTTCTGTTTGGATATTTCTTGTGTAAGGGAGTTTACCAAGGCAGGTCACCATAAATACAATTGTACTGTTTATTCTTATATTCAGGTCTCCCTTGAAAAAGAGATCAATGATCTCAATGGGACCTACCTGGTTAAATAAAGGTTTGAAATGAAATGAAATAAAAAAACACATTACTATTTCAATTGTTCATGAGAAAACTATGAGGTTTGCCTTCACTAACTGTACGGAGGCTCAGTCATTGGTCATCTATAAAGCCATGTTGGGTAAACTACCAACTTATATATGCTCTTTGATCTCACAGAGAGTGGCAAGTAGTTATTGCCTGAGATCCCAGGATGTGTTTTTATTACATGTGCCAAGTGCTAGGACTGTTTTAGGTACAAAAGCTTTTATGTGCACTGCTCCTCTAGCTTGGAACAATATGCACAAAAAATTGAAACTGAGCATTTTGGTTCCCCTGCATCATTTTAAAGCTCGGATTGATGAAATGTTATTTGATACCTGTCATTGTGAATAGGTTGTCATTTGTACCCCTGTATTTATGTTGTATGATGTCCTTTTTGTTTTCTGTTGTTTTTATGTGTAACCAATGTGCTGCAGGTCTCCCTTGAAAAAGAGGCCGTTGATCTCAATGGGATTTTACCTGGTTAAATAAAGGCTACAAACAAACAAACATGAACAGCAATAGTCAGTTACTTCTTTTGAGTAAAGAAACGTATCAGAGGTCTGAGCCCAGGTCAGATGTGGTACTTTGCCTCTGGCGATGGAAACGAGAAGAGAAGTATCGAAAGTGTCCCATGTGAGAAAAATGAAATGCACTCTTTCTTCTTTGTGCCATTATATCACAATCTAAGATACAGGCCTTTTTTCCTCTAACATGTCTGTAGAATGCCTTGATTTGTTTTCTACACTTTGGTGCAAAACATTTCACATAGCTCAGTTTGTGAAGTTTTGTAGCTGTAATATCTAAGGAGATGGATTGTGTTCATATTTGACTTTTTTTAATATGCACAGGTTTATTTGTTTTTTTTAGCTTTCATTATGTTTTCACACACTGTGTCCCAAATGTGTCCATGTGTGCCACACTGTCTCCTCTAACAGAGGTACAGCATAGTTTATTAACACAATCAATAAAGTATAATAGGCTTCTTAAAGTAAAAGGTATAATAAGCTGCATACTGTAGGTCTATAATTAGGCCTTGAGCATGAAGAAGTAGTATAACTAATGCCAATAGTAGATGGCACTCATGCATAGTTGTTGCAAGATGTTTACCATACTTCATGCCGTAATGGATCCAAAAATATAGCTATATATCTAGCTCACCGTGCTTTACAAAATAGGCTATAACAAAATGAAAATGCGACACAGTCACAAAAAGCAAATAGACAGTGATGCTAAAATAGGAATAATAGAAAAACAGACTATTAAGATTATCATACTGGCTTTTCAATGGTAATTGTTACGTTTATATTTTAGTGTTATACCACTTTTATAGTATGCTATTTATTTTGTAAGCTCAATTCTATGGGCTTACCAACAGTGATTCAGGATTCCTCAACATCTTTGGCAGCATCTTCCCTTATATCCAGAGTCAAACCCTACCTGGTGAATCATTTTATGGGGAAAATTGCAAAAACTAAATCTAAATCAAACTGAAACCTCAAGGTTGGAGGTTGAATTAGAGCATATGAGTATATTAATTTTTTTTTTAAAAGGCCCACTTAAAGCTAAGCTGCTATCCTATTCAACCAGAACAGATTTAGATTTGGACACATGGTGAACAAATTGATTGCACATGTTGTATAAGATCCTTTTAGAGCTATTCATAAAGAAACAAATCATTTACCCCCCAGGTTAGGCAGCATTCAATGTGTTAAATGATACAAAAATGCTCTACATATCCTCAATTCATCCTAAAATCTTAAATCAATCTAAGAAAAACACTCTACTCATTGAATGCAAAGTGGGGGAACTTAAGAAGTTCTATAAGTTATAATCCCTGGCAGCTCTTTCCTTTGGGCTCATGAGAGCTCACAACAAAAGGTGCCCACCACTATCGGCCATACACAATTAACTAAAGCACCAGCATTATTCCATTATCATAAGAATGCTGTTTGCAATGGGGGGAGAAACTCCTCGGCATTCATGGACGTTGCCCGAATAGAGCCTAGAGCTTTTATCTTCTCAATTACATGCAAGCTGCATTTATCACAGAACCTAGTGGCGTATTTGGACACTTTTTTCGTGCATGACAAATAATTTGTTTATGCCAGTCATTTAAAATAGCCTGTTTATGATTACAAGTGTTTGGAGGGGTGATGCCGGAGATTAGAGTATGGCTCGATTCCAGTGGGATAGTCAAACGCAAACAAGATGAACAGATTAGACAGAAAACGCATTTCCCCATCCTTGGCTGCGATTGTCAATTCAGCGGACGACCTGTGCAGTAATTGTTCACCCCCACAGGAGCATGTGAATAAATGAAGACCTTACTCTGAGGTTAACATCGTTTGTGCTGCATTGCATTTATGTTGAGTGCTTCTGATGTGAAAGTGGAGATAACTGACCACAAGGTGTCAATGTTGTCAGGTTTGTGTTTTGATGTCATTGCAGCCCATTAATGTAAAAAAAAAGAAGGAGGAAAGCAGCGGGTAGAAAATGCCTGCTGGATGTCATGCTCAAATAAATCTAATTGGATGGAGCGATTTGTCTGGAGAGCAGTAATAGATGGCAGTGGAGCCATCTACACATGTAACTACAGCCTCTGCATCAGAGCCAAAGCAATCCATGCACAGGCCTCTGTAAAACGTCCTTAAACGGCCCACTGTAATAGTAACAGGATGAAAAACATACATTGTGTTTTAAGCTTTCCACTTAGAAGAAAATGGTGTTTGGAAAAGGCAGAAGTGGCTGTGCAGAATGGTAATCAGAAACAAAATTATGCAGCAGCTCCATGGAAAAAAGCTCAAAACTCCAGGCTTAGATGCAAATGTTGGGGCAAAATGTGAGGCTGCAGACTCTGGCCATGAAGTGTTGTGAATGTTGGCCATATTTTCTTTTCTTTTAACATGGATTTTTCATCCTGACTGTCAATAAGGTTGTTTGTCTGTCTGACCTTTGTCACATGCCGTCTCCTTTTAACAGATAATAGAATTACCAACGAAATGGGTTTTAACTCACGTGAACAACAGGGACCCATGGACAATTTGATCAATATCAAAAAATTGCTTATACAGTTTGGCAGCACTTATGGCGATAATTGGTAAAGCATGTGTTTTTTGTACTCCCCTAAGATCCAAATCGTGTAACCACTTGCGATTTTTCCAGAGAATGTTGCCACAGTTCATAATACTGCAGTGGGCCAATCACCACCCAAACTCTGGCAGTAAATAAAAACGAACAATAAGAAAAAGTAGGGATAAAACCGACACAGTTCTTTGACGTTAAATAAATGCATGATTTATATTTGTCTGACCTTTTTTTAATATCGATTCACAGGTAAAGATTGAAGAAAATCACAGGAGAGCATGAAAGGTCATCAATGAGCAAATATCTGGATAACTGCTGGCTGTGTCCTGTCATTCTGTTAAATGTCAGAAAAGAAAAAGGAAAAAATAGCAGGAAAGGCAGAGGTGATGTCTCACTGTCAACATAACAACAGTGCTATAAGGCACTTTATGTAAAATGGCACCACTGAAGAACATTTCGGCTCCCCTTACAGTACAGTATCATGAAATAGTTTGAAGGCCCCAAAAAATGATCTCACCATCTTCCTAGCAGGTCAAAGGTTGGGGTCAGGTCTTGGATTCAACTTCATGCTGCAAGACGTTGAAAGTATTCCTGACGTCTGTGAAGACAATACTATTTGTAACTTATAAACTAGTAAGCAGCTGAGATCCCACTACAGTACCAAGAGGGACCCCTCAAAGAAAAATGTATTTGCACTTAATTATGTGGTGCACAAAATGGGTATTTGTTTTGTTCGTTTCATTTCCTTGTCAACATGGGGAGTTTTCTAGTTACAGCATCAGTAGGATATCTCCCTCCCTATTCATCAAGACTTGTTCTGGTTAGTACACACCATATTGTTTTAGTATATCTTAGTTTACTGTGTGGTGTGTCCAACACTGGTTAGGAAAAATGGAAAGCTTTAAAAGGTCCTTATGGTAAGGGTAAGGGTTTGTTGTATTGAATTAATCAGTTGATTAGTTTCTAGATGAATTGGTCAAGAAAATAATAGTGAAATATGTCCATACCAGTTTTTAAAGTACAAGATGTCTCTTAATGCTTTGTTTTGTTAGTATAAGACCCAAAGATATTTAGTTTCATACAAAAAGTATTACACTTCACCAGATACGTTTTATTTTTGTTGGTTGATGGTTTATACACTAATCGATTTAGTCTCATACTAATGTTTGGCAGGTATATGTTTTACAATTTTTTCACTATTTTATTCAGTGCGCCTGCAAAGTTCATGGCAGGTTGATGGGAATGCCAAATAAATAGACATTTTGGAAATAGGGATGGTGCTACATGAAACATCAAGGATCCCTGTACCAAAGGAAAGGACATATTCTTCAGCCAATAGATGTTGAGATGTTTCAGTGCTGATCCACGATGCTGGGGAAAAAAATGGTTGCAGAAAATGTGGAATAATGACAAAACCTGTTGTCAGATGGAAGCAGACAGGGCTCAGCATTCTTCAGTGTTTCTGCATCTGGAAAACATTTTAAACCCAAAATACACACAATTGAAGCTGCTCTGACAAACACAGAATACTTTTTTGTAACAACACAAACATGTCATGTGATACATCACTGATCATGAGTTCCTTACAGAGAAAACTCTCAACATATAAAACACATTGTATACCTCCGATGTCAACATCCATATCTGTCAAAAATGTCATGATTTCCTCATTTTCTCCTATGGAAAGCATGTGGGAAATTCTTTAAACTAGCGTATACGTTGCTGAGTTTTGGCCTTAAATTTGTTAGTGACATCCCAGTAAGTTTGACCTTTAACCAACACATTCTAACCAATTCATACTTGAGTCAAAGTGGACCAACTTTGAGGAAATCCCCTCTATTTCTCGCCTCAGTGGGACTTTCCTTCCAATTCAAAAGATTGGATTACAAAAAACAACATTCACTTTCAATCATTTAATAAAAGCTTGGATATAAGAACATTTTTTATACAGCAAGTGTTGTTGTATGGTGGGAAATCCTTTTTTTGGTATCCAACTGCAGTCAGAGTGAATAACTCTAACAAGGCATGTTTGGATCAGACACAACAAACAATGGTGTGCTGGTAAACTCACCCACAAAACACTCTCCATCTTCTTTCACTGCAGTTGCCAAAAAACCACTTTTACAAATATATATATAGATTTGCTTTCAATTTCTCAAACATGTATATAAATAGACGTTGATTAAAGATCTGGGCGTTATGACAAAGTGCAAAAAAACAAAGAGGGAGGCTTTAAAAGAAACTGTTATACCTCCATAAAGTTCAAAATATACAACTGCTCTGAAATCCACTGAAAACTCTTGTCTTAATTTTAGCTGCAACAGTGACTGTAACTTCCTATTTGTATTACTATAAACAGTAGGTCAGGTTGAGAAGTCCCAAAAATCATTTCAGCACTAAGATCATCAGCTTTGATCCATAAAAAAACTCACTAAATTCCACACTTAACCATGGTTTTATCCTTTAAACAAACATAAACAATAGTTATACTAGTACATATGTTGGTATGTATATCAGAGAAAATGATTATTGTAATTGTAGGCATGTTAAAGGGATAGCTCGGATATTTTGAAGTGGTTTTATATGAGGTGTTACCATGGCAGTAGAAGGACATATTTAAGCCACCTTTAGGAAGAGCCAACGTTTAAAAAAAACCAATAAAGTTTAAGTGTTCTCTATATATTATTCAGACCTTTCTTAAGGGGAACTCAAGTCGTAATCTACAAAAACATTTTAGCTCGCAAATCTGCTAATATACCACTTCCTTGATTTTGTACGTGTAATTGAGTGACTCGGGTGATACGGAGTTACCTTTTAAAACATTGAAGTCATACAATAACACATCAAATACATGTAGAAGCAATGGAAGACCAGCAACCCCCGTGTTCTGGGAGATCAAATGAGTGTTTTTGTGAATGGAGTAAGGTGGCTTTGAGGAGAGTAGAGATAACACCTTCAGTTCCCTGCAGGAAAAGTCTGTCTCACAGCAAGGGGAAGCAATGAAAATATCCAAAATTGGTCATACACTTAAATTGAAATATACTATTTTTTTGGTGGGACTATCTTTTGGATGGCTTACATATATTTTGCTGCCATTCTTTCCATGGCAGAACTCTTGATTCTTCTCCTGTCCTCTTCTACAAACACTGACTTTGGATAAAAACCTCATACAACCCCACTTCAAATCATCAGAACTCTCCCTTTAACAAATTAACTGTACATTGCGAACACCCGGATAAACCATGTGTGTTTAGATTAGAACAATCGCTATGAATGAAATCAAAATGCTCTCAGTTACGCCACCTTTATCAGCAATACAAGATGAAGACAGGATACTTTCCGAACATTTTTAGACACCATCCTACCAAGAAAAGAGAAATCCTCACATGTTTCAGGGATTTCTCTATAGCTATACACCTACTTAAAGTGACAACCTCATAATATAATCATATTTTAGCATCTTTGGACTTAAAGTTGTGGTAGTGACTGAGCTCCTTTTGTGTTTCGTACACCTAATGCTGAATGTGTGTTTGTTTAAAATACATGTAAGGAAGCATTTCTGAAAGGTAACTGAAAGCATTTTGACCTGAACCAATCGATCCTGGAAGATTAAGATGGTTTCAAAGTATAATAACTATTGTTTTGAACATTGGAAGATTTATGAGAACGGGTGGAACCACAGGCTAACATGAATGCGGGGCTCTTTATATGAAAATACTAACCAAAGCCTGGTGTCACAAAATCAACATTTGCTCATTAGCATATGTCAGATACAGATTTATGGAAATAAAAAGAGCAACTGAGTAAACTTCATCTCCTGATAGAGGCTGTGGCTGTCCAATATTAAGATTGCATACTTCTTTTTATGCAGGTTTGAATGTGTTAACACTACAGAAGTGACAACCTTGGCAGGCATACTTTGTTGAGTGCGCTGTTGATGGCTCTTTAGGTAAATGGAGGAGCTGCTAATTAAAACAAAAAGTGAAAAATGTGCAGGCACTGGCAAAACAACTCCTTACAAAATAGGAAAATGTAATTAAATTGTCAATCAGACTTTGCAAAGTTGCAGTATGGCTGACATCTATATGTGAATTACTGTATCAAAAACAGTTGACTTTTTACAGTAGACTCTCCCAAGTCAAATTTGTTTGAATTGATACATTTTTTGTCTAATATTTTTCACCTATTAATTTTTTTTATTGTGAAAAAGCCTCAGTTATTATAACATACTGAATAAAAATACTTACATTTGGAAGGACAGACACAGCCCCCACAGTTAAAGTCCATATTTAGCCATTAATTCATTTAAAAACGTGCTAATTAACAAACTCTTCAATATTTTGAGAAACCAGGCTGATCATTATCAATATCATTAAACACTATTTAGTTGGAGGAAAACATTTTCTTTGTATAGCTCATATTTTGTAAAAGGGGACGATAATTAATAAATATAAAAATAATGTACACATTTTCAACAATATGAATTATCATAATACTTTCAACATTTCTTCAAAATGCCATAGAAATGATTCTTTGCTTTTCCCGTAGCTCGGCACCTCGAGGGCGAGTTAGAAAACAAACATAACTTAAGAACGATAAATTAATATACAAAAAAAAATAGATCCAACACCGTAGGCTTCATTCCTTTTTGTGGATGCAAGTCCTGACACACAGACAGGAGTTTGTGTTTCTTGCAAAACGAGAACGAAGACAAAATAAATCGGATCCCTTCTTAGATCTCTTCCTATATTGAAATACAGTGTCGCTTCCTTCCCTTGTGTTCAGGTCCGTGGTGGAGATAATGGAGGAAGAGAGAGAGAGGGGCAGTAAGAGCACTTTGAGCACAGCAATGCTGGGAGGGATGGGGGAGATAGGGGGGTGAGGAAAGAGAGAGAATTTCAGAGATGTTGACAGAGATGTTCGTTGTAACGAGTCGCTAAAATAATAGAGTTAAGGTGGCATCGATGACCGCTGAGGCCTACAGTAATCGTGTCAGTAGGTCCTTCAGCTTTAACCCGAAAAACAATCACTTACCTTGTCAGCTGATTAAGAAAAAAAGTCTCCCTCAAACTTGTACAGTGTGTAAATTCTGTCTGAAAATTCCCTTTCCATTTTTGGATTCAACTGTATTGTTCTGAATGTATGTCAGAGTGATCCATGTTTTTAAAAAAAGGTGGATGGGTGAAAGTGAACGGCCGGCAAACACTCCTGTGTCCCGGTGAGTGAACTGAGCTGTGATTGGATGAATGGGGGTGACATCACCGGTCTCATTGGTGCCGTCAGGGGAAGAGTGGTGAGGTCAAAGGTCACAAACGGTGGTGGTCTGCACAGCTGCCCAACGTTCAGTCCGGGGAGCAGGTTTCTGTCAGTGATGCATCTTGGCCTGCAGGGAGGGGACAGAGACCAATGAGCTGGCTGTTATTTGTTATTGTTCAAAGGTGGCTTTAATGTGTGTAAAGCAACTTCTAACACCTTTGAAACTATACATAAAACTTAAAAAACACATTTTACTAGCCTTCAAACTTGGCTCTCTTAACAGAACTGTGCATTATGCAACTATTGATATTAGGGCTGCCCATCTTTTTTTAAATATATATTATCATGCATACCACAAATACAATTGTTTGGGATCACATGTTAACTTGTCTCATGGTCCCATGAACTCATAAGTCAGTTAGAAGAAAAAAAAACTCTTGACAGTTTTAGAATATTTTTTGAGAAAATACATCCCTGATTGTGACTAAATTTGCTCTTTTGATTTCAGATTGTACAGAAAAGGAATGATGATGTTTTTTTAAAGAACTGACAATAATATATACAGATCTTTCTTTTCTTTTTTCGTAGCCTTATATCTTTTAAAACCTAGACTGCAGACATTTGAAAAACGCTAAGAATCTATGCTATCAGCTAAGTGCTAAAGTGAGATTGTGTTTTTACTGTTGATTGTAGATCAGGGGTCGGCCACCATTGGAATAAGTGGAATAAGTGTGCAAAATATTTAAATTGTATTTTCGGATCCTGAACGAGACCGCCGCCAGAGCGCGTCTCCCCGTTACAGAAGGAAGCCATGCACGCAACGCAGCCCCGTTCTCTTTAACTCCAGGCGACTTGCTGCTGCTGCTTCCCTCCATGGTGAAACGATCAGGGGTGTAGTAGTGCTGCCGGAGCGCGCCCGCACTTCACAAATTGCAGTACCCATAAGGAGCCGTACAAATGCCACAGTATTTGCGTAGCTGTGTCTTTAGTTGAAAGCCCAGTGGCGATCTGCTCAACTCTCATCGAAAATAATGTGCTACACAGGGGCGGACTGGCCATGTGTGTGTTCTGGAGAATCACAGAACGGACGGTCGTCATTATTATTATTATGCCGTTTAAACTAATTATTTTAATTTGTTTAAACGGCATCTGACAGGTGAAAGAGGTCCACACAGTGCTTCCCCGCAGCGAGGCTCCCCGCAGCGAGGCTCCCCGCAGCGAGGCTCCCCGCAGCGAGGCTCCCCCCCCCCTCGTTGACAGTTCACGATCGTCGGCACACTGATCACAATTTTGTTTTTTTAAATGGCTTCATATCAAAAAGGTTGCCGACCCCTGTTGTAGATCAACATTAGTATCGTCGATGTAACGGTGCTGTAAATATAGACTCCCCAATACAATTCAGAGCCGCTCACACCACCTTCCTCTCCTAATGGTGTCAAATAAAGATGTCCGCCCCCTACCTGTCTCGGGGACTCGGGCCCTGAGGCCAGGATTCCCACGCTGTCGCTCCCAAAGAGGCTCTCCATCCCCCCCGGGCTGCTCAGCTTGCTGGCCTTTGCTTTGAAGGAGCTGGGACTCCTCCTCTTCCTGCCCTCTGCCCCCCCGACATAAGGCAAGGGTCCGGAGGGGGGAGCAGGAGGGTGAGGGGGGGCGGAGGGTGACTCCCTGCTGGGGGAGTCGGGTACACTGCCTAGTTCACCACTGGAGACCAGAGGGAAAACTGCCATTAATCAAATCTGCTGTAAAATCATCACAGCACGTTTTACAGCGCTGTAAATATTTTAATATGAAAAGTAAACACCTGTCGACACACAGCTGACAGGTGTTTACACAGAGCTTTCCTTTTAATAAAACACCCTCATGTGCTTCCATACATACGGTTGGATTATGTAATTATATATAATTCACTTATTTGTATATATTGTCTTCAGGTGGTCCCTTGAGGATTTAAATGTAACTTAAACCCGTAATTCTCTGCTAACTGAAATGTAAATTGTATTCAATGTTTTCACTTTGGGAGTTTGATAGGCTGGTCAAGCATAATGTACACTGCCTTCTATTCTGCATAGAGAGGCGAAGTCCCTCCCTTTCCGGGGGACCTCCATGGGACCTTATTTCGGAAAAAGTATGTATTGAAGTCAATGGGGAGAGAAAGATTATTTTTCGATTCCGTTTGAATTGTGCCACGAATTACACATATGATGTTTGTCAATTTAAAAGATAATTTTGCAAGTAAAAAAAATAAAAATGTGTCTTAAAACTGTGAAGGAACACTTTATTTTGTGTGAAACCGCTCAATGAACTACATCTCCCGTCTCGCACCACAGACCAAGACGGCCGTCACGTTGGCACATTTCACTTCTTTCTTTCAGAATGAGGCGGAAAGTATTAAAAGAGATGAAAATCACTCCAAGTCTGGGCATGTTCAGAGCTGTACATACACACAAGGGGAGTTAGTCGGTTCCGTAAGAGCTAGCATGCGGGACCGGGATTCTGGGATTTGTAGTCTTTCTAGTTGCGTATTTTTCATAGTCTTATATTTTAACAGTTTTACGACAAACTGTGACTTTTTTGACGAGGAAATTATTTTTTAAGATTGACAAACATGTGTAATTCGTGGCACAATTCAAACGGGGTCGAAACATAATCTTTCTCTCCCCATTGACTTCAATACACAATTTTTCCTAAATAAGGTCCCATGGGTCGGAAGTAGAAGGGCGGGACTTCGCCTCTCTATATATTTATATTGTTCATTCAATATTAAACTCTATAGATATGTATCCTTCATGTACTGTATATATTGAATATTTTGCATATATGTTTATCTATACTGTTGCATTTGTATTCAATTGTATTTGCCTGTAATGCCTTATTTAGGCTGATGGGACGTAACAATGTCCCAAATTGGGATCAATAAAGTATATAATACAGTCTTGCACTAATGTACATTTTCACAGATTTTGAAGTGACTGTTATTTTGTATATATTGATTGTTGTGCTTTTATTTAAGTATGTGTGCATATGTATAAATGTGTCTCGTGATTGACATATTTTTATACATATTTGTATATATATTTGTATTTTTGACTGTATTTCGATATCTCTGTCTGTACACACAAACTCAAAGATTGACAATAAAGTTGACTTTGACTTGACTTTAATATCTTATCTTATTTCTATGCTCATGCTAAGTGTTGCACCCACCTGCTGTGTGAGTTGTAGCTTTCCGACCCGTCGTCTCTGGAGAGCCAGTCCTCCCCTCCGCTCCACATCCCCCCCCGACCGAGTCCCTTTTTCCTCCCTGCTGCAGACGCCCCTGAACTTTGTAACGTTGGATGATGGCTGCTGCCGTTCCTCCTCAGATTATCCACAGTGGGGAAAAGGAGGAGGCGTTTTTCCTCCTCTTCGCTCCAGAGTCCTCCGTGTCTTTGGATGAGCGGGGGGCTTTATGCGTGCCGTTACGGGCTCTGACGGGAGCGACTCGGAGGCTGAGCGCTCCGACTGTGGACGCAGGCGGAGGGATGAGGGAGAGGGGAGGAAGAGGGACGGAGGAGGGAGAGGGAGACGGCTGTGAAGAGACGGGGGAGGTACCGGAGGAGGAGAGGGAGAGGAGGCTCTCGGGAGCGGGAGGCACCTTCCTGAAACTGGAGGAGGACACACCAATAAAGCTGAGCATTCACAACATCAATAATAAGGTAATGAGACTTAGACATAGATCCTAAACCTTCATCAATGTGTGGGATTTTATTTAATGTTTGATTTCTGTTTTCAAAGCTAATCACGCATCTTTTTCTCATGACTTTGTCTAAAAACATAAATGATTCCTTTCCGTATTCTTGTGTCATGATTCCTTTACAAACACATGCTTGTACACTTAGTAACTTTTTTCCTTTTTGTATTTGTGTTGCTCTTTCTGATGCCCTTCACCTTAAATTAACCGGCTTTTTAAAATGTCATTTACAAAAAACACTGCACAGAAGTTATTTTTTTTACCTTCTTGTAAAAAGTTAGCTTACACAATATTTATATTTAGTAAATAAGACAAATCCAGGCAGAGCGATAACCAATCACAATAGAACTGTTGTCAACATGTTTTGATAATCCTCCCCGGCGGTGGTAGCGAAGTCCATAGGGACTTGGCTTGGCAACTGGAAGGTCACCAGTTCAAGTCCCGGAAAGACCAAGTGCTACCGAGGTGTCCCTGAGTAAGGCACCGTTCCCTACACTGCCACCCGGGCGCCGTACATAATGGCAGCCCACTGCTCCTAACACTAGGATGGGTCAAATGCAGAGAAACCGTTTCGTTACATAGCACCTGTACTACGTAATGACAATAAGTTGAATCTTCAAACTAAGTAAAGCTTAATAACCAGAGCAAGCACCGTCAGCATAGTATAAATATATATAGATCGGATTTTAGTATTTCCAACATGTAAAAAATATAAAGTAAGAAAACAAAACAGGAATAAGATACTTAATATCCAAAAGTTTAAATTCAGGTAACACCATTTGTCTAATGAGCAAACATGTATAAATCATGGCCTCGATATATATATTTTTCTGCGTTGAGCTCCACCCTGACTCAATATAAAATCTCTGCACAATCCATATTAACGTTCCTGTAACGCTCACCTCCACATATGTGCGTTGAGGTGTATCTCCACGCTGTTCTGCAGCGCCAGCCTCATGCGGTCCCATCGCCTGTCGAACACGTAGTGACCCCGTCCCATGAGCCTGCTGCTGAACACGCAGTACTGCAGGGAGACAAGAGAGGGCAGGGTATTAGGATGGGTAAGAAGTGGGGAAGATACATTCAAGATGAGAGCATGCAGAGAAAAACAGGGAGTAGAGAGCAAGAGGAAGGAATGAAGAGGTGGGTAGAAGGAGCGAAGAAGAACAGATGACCAAGAGAGGCGGTGGAAAAATACTAAATGAAGACTTATAACACGAGTAATACTATCATCTACACCTGGGGTAGCCAACACGGTGCCCGCGGGCACTTAGTCGCCCGCGGGGGCAACGTGAGTCGCCCGCGGGGCATGTTCTAAAAATAGCTCGCCAAGCAAATCCAAAATGTAAAAAATACACAAAACAAAAAAGGAAATGTAATTAAAAGAATCGACCCTATGCATAAACGAAACCTCAATCATAGCGAACTCTATCTACTTACTACAACTCTATATCTATCTAACACCCCTCCTCTCCCCACCCCCCACAATGAATATCGACCAATCACGTTCTTGCTTGATTTGCGGGACCAGTAGCAGTAGCAGTCGGGAAGAAAAGCAATGTGGAGCGGCACCGCATGGCGTCATTTCCACTGGGGACAAATATGTTTATTATTATTTTTTAACGCAAGCCGTCATCGCCAAAGGCGCCTGTAAATAGAATGAATTCATATTATCATTATTATTATCATCAGTATCAGCGTTTTGTTTATAAAAACTAATAAAAAAGTCCAAATACATACATTACCATCATGGCCGCTTTTTAAACTGCTCAACCAAAATAGCGTACAAACGTTGATAAAAGCAAAAACATGGGCCTGAAAACGACAAAAGTATAGCAGACTCTGTGGGGTAATAATTGTAGACATTGCCTACAATTAAGATATTTAATGCCCCAATGTTATTGACTATAACCATGTGTGTTGGTGCAGCATTAGAAGTGATATTATTTACCCGTAAAGGCTGTGGGTGGCGATGGGAGGAGTGAGAGGCAGATCTGTCTCCGTCCTCTGGGGCCTCCGCGTCGCCCTCGTCACTCGAGAGACGCCCGCCGTCTCTGAGGGGGGACGGCTGTGGGGGGACGGCCGGGGGCAGAGGGCTGGAGGTGGTGGTGGAGCCTGGGACCCTAGGGGGGGAACATGTGAGAAATAAATAAGGTTATATGTTAAATGTTTTTTGTTGTCATGTATTGTGTCTTGATATTTGTCCATGTTGATGTTACACATGGAGCTGCTGTGATGCAAGTCAAACTTCAGACTCGATCTGACCAATAAAGTGTTATCGTATCGTATGGGGGAGATAATTGAGGGGGAGACAGAGGAAAAAGGAAAAGAGAACCATTTTATAGTAAGGGTGGAAGAGGAAGTGAAAGACAAGAAAGTGATGGATGCAAACTGAAAAAGTGATTTGGCAGAAAAGAGTTTTAGTGAAAACAAATAAACACTAATGAACTAACAGTGTTTTAAAGGTCCCATGTCATGCTTTTCCGGTTATTACCCGTCCCCTTGTGTGTTATGTAGCTTTTTCTTCATGTAAACGGTCTGCAGAGTCACAAACCCTCAAAGTACACCCTGTAGCGAGTAAAACTCTGACACAGAGAAAACCTGTCTATGCTGCCCCAGAACGCCTCGTTGGACATTTTTCTTTATCCATTTTTTTCTTCCGGGAACCAAGTGACGTAACGACGACTCAATGGACCAATCCGCGGAGCCGTTACGTTAAGACTTCCTCACACACACACACTCAATCTTTTCTCAGCTGCAGCTCCGCGGATTTCTCAGCCTGAGACGGTGGGACGCGGCGAGGCTGTGAGTCTGTGTGAGCACCCACACACACACACAGACTCACAGCCAGGCTGTGTGTGTGTGTGCTCGGGCTGGGTTTCGCTGTGTCTCGCCGACCCCACGCAGCAACTAGGAAACCACACCAGTAAGCCAGCTCACACTGTCCGCTCCTCACACTGTCCGCTCCTCCCAGCAGCGAGCCTCACAACGTCCCGCCAACACGGCACCCAGACCCCACGCAGCATTCTCATCTGTTTGTCATTACTGGGGTCATTTTCTGGTTGCTAACAAACGCCATTGTAACACATAATCACTGATGTTCCGCTGTAACGGTGGTGGACTCATCAGAACAGAGTGAGCGAGCTGACCAATCAGAGCACAGTGGGCTCACAGGGAGGGGGGGGGGGGCAGGAGCTCCAACAAGCCGTTTAGGACAGAGAGTGAATACACATACTATACAGAGATGCTGTATGAGAAACCAATGTGAGTTTGGAACATTGCACAATGTAAATCTATTCTAGTAGACCTCAACAATGGAATTATGATCAGTAGAAATGGCCATGACATGGGACCTTTAAAGTCATTCTTTAATCTTTTCTGCTGTGATAAAATGAACTTCCTCTTCTTTAAAACAGAAGATCATGTTATGTAGAGAAAGAGGAAATGAGTTTCTTGTAACACTTTCACATGGGCAGATAATATTGTTGTTTTTCTCGCACTGTTGTTTACAGCATCCCCTGGTGGGAAGAAACAAACTGACTAGGATTTCACATATCCAGCCCAGTACAACTCCAGCAGTGATGTGAAAAAGGAAATAAAAGTCATATTTGAGTAGGATACATTGCTGAACGAACAGTAAAAATCGTAAATAACTGTCAGCTAAAACGTAAATAAAACTTAATAAATAATAAGGTAATGAGACTTTTCTTTAAAAGTACAGATTACATTAAAAAGTTGTCTTAAAGAACGTAAAGATTAATAACAATACATCAGTTGGAAAACAAGAAAATGGTTCAACTTGATGCAACTGTAATTAATATTTAAAAGGAAGCAAATAATAGGCGTAGTTTTTTTAATTATAAGCAACTAAATATCTAAATGTGGAATTTAGTTACAAATATATCTGTAGTTTCGCGCCAACTACAGTTTCAGCTCTGAAATATTTTACTTTGTAAGCATGTTTTTATGGATTTATGTGGTTTAGATGTCCCTCTTTGTAAATAGTTTCACAGGTTTCCACTTATTCCCCTCATTGTGATAAATAATAGACACATGGATCATCTGATGTATGATGATTGTATGTCTACACGTGCACATTTAATACTGTGCGTGTGAACATCGTACCTGGGTATGTGTGCGTTAGCCAGCCGCAGCTTCAGCATGGACAGCGTGCGTCCGTTAGTGCAGTGCGGCCTGCTGGGAGATGCGGTCTCCTGTGGCGTGACGCTTCCTTCCTTCCTTCCCTGCGATGCGTCCTTCTCCTTCGCTCCCTCGGTCAGCTTGGCCCGCCCCTTGTGTTCGGCCAGCAGGACGTCAAAGTGTTTCCCTCGGCCTCCGACGGCTCTGCGGTGTGTGAGCGAGTGAGACTGTGGAGGACACACACACACACACACAGAGAGGTTCTTTTCATACCTGGTGTTTAATAAGCACCGACAACAGATTTCACCTTATTTCCACGGAGACTTTGGTAATGAAAGAACTGATCTGAGGGGCTCGTATCATGGCCGCTTCCATAATCTCCTCACCATGCTGCTGCCCATGTCACACAGGACTAGCTCGGGTAAATACGGTCGGTGCGTGGCGAGCCTTGTCCACCCTTCCAACTAATTTGGAAAGCAACCAGCTAACAAACATTTGGTTTTCCAGTGATGCTCCAAAGGATGCATGTGTGTGGATGGTGACATACTGGTTCAAACAGGTAGTTTCTTTGCTTTTGGAAGACATTTTTGTTCCTGTACTCACTCTAAGATAATATTGAGGCGTCTTGAAATGCCTTAAGACCTAACAAGTGCATCTAATACCTTCAGAAATATTCAAAATAACAATATTTGATACATTTAGCAGCTGCTCAGGAGAAATATACTTTTAAAAACACATTTAATCTGAGATCAAACAGTAACAGGTGTTTTTTTAGTGCTGTCAATCGATCATGATTAATCAGTTACTAGTGTTTACTAGTTTTTTGGGGAGAGATAAAACAAATACACGTGTGATCTTGTAATAATGAAATGAATGATAAACTGGTAAGAGAAATCCATGTTTTATTTTTACAATATGATAACATGAAATCTGAATTCTTGGCATGAAGTCTGACACTTGAAAGATGAAGCACAGAAGTTTCTTAAAAGGGAAACTTCTATATTTTTCACCTGGACCATATTTTCCATTTTGCCTGCTACGGTCTCTTGTGAAGCGCTTTCGCTTAATACTGGACCTATAATTCAAAAATGTACTTAAACTAGTTGGATATTATTTGAGATTACATTCATGAATAAGGGAAAAAAGACAAATCGACCAAAAAATAAGATACTCTCTGAGATTAAAGAAGTACATTTAGGGAAAAAACTCAGAAATTCGCTACAAAATAAACATTTTCTTGCTGTTTTTTAAAATTGTAAATACATCTGATTAATCCCAGAGATGTGAGACATTTGTATTCGTCTCCATTTGACACAAAACACAGGAAATGATAATCCAGGTTGAACCAAAGTTTCCTTTTAAGATAAAGACACAGATTTAAGACACTCCAAGCCTCATAGGAGTAATTAGGAGTAACTCACTAATCTAAAATCATTTGGAAGAGCAGTTCAAGTTACAATCCTTTTGGGGAACACCACTTAAGCTTTGGAAGGTTCATAAAATATATCAAACGATCATGTCAACATAAACACTCTTTTGGGAAATAGGTCCCTTTCTTTAAATTGTGATTTAAGTGTAAATAAAGACGGCAACGATAAAATGCAAACAACAATTAAGAAAACATGATTATTCTCAGCAGCCACTCTGAGAGAAAATATCCTCACTACCCCGATACACCTCTAATGACTTAATAACCCGTTTAAAGTGATTAGTCAAGCTTGCTTGCTCGCTAGGAGTAATTAAAGGGCTGTAAAAAGAGGGTTTTATAGCTGGAAGATGTTGTAGCCTCATCCGACATCTATAATTACCACATCAGGGGGAGTGTGGGCCCTGTAAGGCCTCAGCACACTGAATTAACTGAGACAGGGGGGTGCAGACTGACACTGACGGGGTCATATCTCTGTGTGTGTGTGTTTGTGTGTGTGTGTGTGTGTCCTAATGGAAAAGGGATGATAGTAGACCCTTTAATATTTTTACCCTCATAAATAAACAAAGCTTTTTTCCTGGTCACATGGTCTTGGACAGGAAGCAGTCAGAAATGTGTACGTGTATATATGTGTGTGTGAGTTACCTTGCAGGTGAGAGACCGGGTGCAGGGTCGCTTAGTCTCAGGATCCTGGACTCCACAGTGTTTGTTAGGATCAAAAACTCTGCCTGTAACACACACACACACACACACACACACACACACACACACACACACACACACACACACACACACACACACACACACACACACACACACACACACACACACACACACACACACACACACACACACACACACACACACACCACACACACACACACACACACACACACACACACACACACACACACACACACACACACACACACACACACACACACACACACACACACACACACACACACACACACACACACACACACACACACACACACACACACACACACACACACACACACACTTTGAGACACTTATTTTGAATTTTAAACAGCACATGTAATGTAAAAATAATGCAATGAGACATAGAAAAAATTATAATTGTATTAGCATGTTACTAACATTTATTTCGTCTTTCGTATTTTTTTTTTAAGTATCTTAGGAAAACTGTTGAACTGAATATAAAAGACAGGAAAAAGGATTGTAGTTGTCCATGCTTCCTCTGTTGCCCTCAAGCCTCTCAGGTTCGGGCAAACATTGAATACAGGCCAAAAAACCCTTAAGAACTTGACAATCATAACATATTATTTAAGTGATGATATTATTAAATTATGGCAGGTAAAAACGACACGAGAAATAATGTTAACTGTCTGATTAAGCAGCGCATCTACATAATGCGATACAGCAGATGGCGCGTTGCACCTTGAAAAGACGTTTGCATCCGGCAATAAACACAGAGAGGAAGAACAAAAGCCGAGACTAACATTTTCAGAGGATAACAAGTCAACATGTTTGCAATTCTAATATATTATCTGATATGTGATTAACTTGAAAAAACATTTGAAATTCGATGTTTTTGTTGTTAACATATTGATGCCAGAAAGGCTGGGATAGGTCAGAGCTTAGGCATATTCAATCATCCATCTTTGCTCACTACTTCCTAGTCCTCAGGTGTGCATAAACTACAGGTTATGAGCGTCTTATGAAAATTCATTTATCTCGTAAAAGAAGCAGGTAATTACAGGAACAGGCTAAACAAATACCATGTCTTTACTAAAAGCCATCATTGAGTCATTTCTTGTCTCCCTCTTTCCAGAATCAAATCACATTGTGTTACAGCCTCACTGTACCGAGTGCTTAAATTAGTCTCTCCTGAAAAATGTGTCAATAAGACCTTCCTTTTTGATAAAGCTTATAGTTAGGGGCTGATTAGATTCAGCCCCTAGTTTTGCTGCTCTAGGCTTAGATTGTCGGGGGACACCTTACTTCTTCCTTCTCTCCGTCTGTACCTGTGTAGTCTCATGTTCCGAATAACCCAGCTTCCCCAAATTTCTTTTTGGTGTCTATCTACGCCGGGATCCTGAGTCGTGGCTGATCCTGAGTCCTGATCTGAGTCCTGGACTTCGAGTCGTGGCTGAACCCATCACTGTGGTCCTGCCTGACTCTCATCATACTACTTCCCTGATGGCTCCCACAGGATTGTTGACATCCTCGTGGATTCATCTTCTTATTATAGACACATGCATTTCCAAACATTTGGTCTACCTATGTTGTAAATGTATTATATTTTCGATTTACACACGGCATCTATTGCACGTTTGTCCGTCCTGGGAGAGGGATCCCTCCTCTGTTGCTCTCCCTGAGGTTTCTCCCATGTTCCCCTTTAAACTGTGGGGTTTCTCTGGAAGTGTTTCCTTGTACGATGTGAGGGTCTAAGGACAGAGGGTGTCGTATTGTCATACTGATATTCTGTACAAACTGTGAAGTCCACTGAGACAAATGTAACATTTGTGATATTGGGCTATATAAATAAACATTCATAAATATTCAAATGATCTAAGGCTTTTTCCTAGTCCTAGTCTCTGTGATTTGAATAGTCGTTTTCTACCGTAAATTCAAACAGACTAGAGCCAGTGAAAAACGATCCTGTAGGAAATCCTTGGCCTCCAGTTTTGCTGCTTACAGCTTTCTCAAAAACCGCTCATCCAAACAACTTCACACTGAGATTCTTGGAGTCGTCAGCGATGTACCCGCAGAGTGTTTAGTGGACCGGATGATCGCTTACGGACAAAACTGAAGGACATGCATACATATTTACTCAAGAGACACTCTTTGCTTTTTAGTGTGAAGTGTACAGAACCCGCAAGCTGTGACAAATGGTTTGTGACAGGATGTACTGGCAGCCGGACAGGAGTCAACAGTGACGGACAGACACAGGAAGCTCTTTAATGAACAGAAAACGCACTTTGATGATGAAATGTAGCCCTTAACTTTAGGACTGTTGTCAGTTTAACGCAAACTTCTCTGGTGTTTATTGACTCTTCCTAAGACAAACACGTTTAGAAAATCATCAGAGGTTACAGAAGTAAAAGTAAGATGATTATGGAACATTCTTACAATGGATTTTCTCAGTCATGAACACTATTTTCTGCCTGTTATTTCACAAAATAGATTTTGATCCATCTGATCAAAACTAAACCGCACCGTGATATGCAAGGCAGGTCAAAGTTGATCCATGAAGTAGCTTTACCAAGTGTTTACAACCAACTCATTTTGAACATGTTTGAACCAAAGCATTGATTAAAGGGGGCCATATTTAGCTTTTTGGAGTTTTCCCTTTCCTGAAGTTAGGGTTTGTGTGCATGTAAATGGTCTTCAAGGGCTAAAATCCTAAAGTTCCCTACAGAGGGAGTTTCTCTCCCACACAAAGGTACAAAATACAAAATATGAACCTGAAAATGAGGATAATATGTCCTCTTTAAAACACGTTGATTGTTTCAATTGACTTTTTAGTCCTTTTCTTTCAGCAATGAAGATATTGTACAAATAGCTGAATACAAGAGTGACATACTCAAAATACAAAACGAAATTAAAGCATTAAAAGCTTCAAAATTAACTTCAATTTTAATATCACTACTACTATTAAAGGTGGGGTAGGTAAGTTTGAGAAACCGGCTCGAGATACACTTTTTGTTATATTCCATGGAATGCTCTTAACATCCCGATAGCAATAAATATCTTAAGTGCTTTGACAAAAAATCCATAAAAAAATGTCATCTGTGGAAGCCGTGGTACTGTAAAAAGCACGACCAATCATCTGAGCCGGCCCGGCTAAAATAACTGGATGGCCTACCTGCCTGTCAGCCTTCCATCTGTGCACAAACTTATCTCGTGCCCTCATTGGTCATGTGCGCGTTCGTGTGTGTTGGAGGAGGGGCTCTGTAAGGAAGTGGCAGATTTTCTCCGGTTGTGTATTTTCAAATTCTAGCGCACTCGAGCCGGTTTCTCCAAAATTACCTACCCTACCTTTAACATCACTACTATATCACTATGTTGTTTTGTGAGTTTTCTATGCTGATACCAACAGCTTTGCTCATAAAACTAGAGACCTTTGTTGCCTGACACTAACTATCGACAGCCTCCAGTCAGCAGGTTATCTTAAACGTGTCACTGTCAGTGTAATCTAGTGCTGCTATAATCCCTGTAATCTCTCTGCGACAGCTCCGATGCATGCGGGTTGACAGACTGCTAATTTGCAGGAACAAACACTCAGACGTAAACAAACTCACATGCTGCTCACTAACAAGTTTACAAACACTTAAGAAGGAACAAGAGAGAGAGGAAGTATGGTGGTGAGACGCCAGGCTGAAGGAGATGAGAAAGTGAAACCAAACAGAAAAGCAGCAGAAGATGACGAGTGAGAAACAAGACGTTGATGAAAGGAGAGAAAATGCCAACAGAGCGAAGGAATGTGGTGTGAAAGGAAAATAAATGTGGTCGAGGTGGGAGGTGGAGAGTGAGACGATGAAAAAAATATACAGAGGCGCAGGAGGTGGGGGAAAGCTCTCAAGAACACGAGCAGCTTTTTGGCAGCGGGAGTGAATTAGAGAGTGTACATCACAGGAGCACAGCGACACGAACCGAGAGAGGGAAGAGGGAAGATGAGGAGAAACATGACAGCGAAGACCTGAAGCATCCATCAAGAGTGTTTTAACTTCATTGATACACACGTTTACTTGATGACCACTAGATGTGCTTAAAAAGGACATTTTTCAGAGTCAAAATGAGAAGGAAAAAAAGCTGTTAAAACTTAAGGAAGGCATCTAACCCTTTCCAAAACACACAGTCTAACCCCCCTACTGTGAGTTTGTGAAAGCATATAAACCAGCGTTTCCGCCAGGGGGGCGTCTTGCCGTCATTTGACGCCCTTATTCAGCTCGGAACGGCCTGAACTCGAGCCGCCGGGGTCCAAAAAAAATTATAATTCGAGAGAAGATCGAGTTTTTTTATAGCTTGAAATGACAAAAAGGAAAAAGGAGAAGGACATCCCTCTGTTGGAGGGGCGAAGGAGTCTGGTGGGATTCTTTTCGGAGTATTGAAGATAGTTTCCCCGACATCGGCGGTGCCTGCCACAGGGCAACACGGAACGTGCGCGATTTCGACACGATGAGCAAGGGGGGGGGGGGGGGGGGGGTTGCTAGTGGAGCACGCGCGTGAGCTGCGAGCGCCGGAGTCTCGCAGCGGCGAAACTGAGGCTCCTTTGTCAACTGTGGTAACATGAAGAGCCGTTTGGGAGCCGTTTGGGAGCCGGAACAGCCGGCGCTTTAAGAGAGCCGAGCCAAATGATCCGGCTCACTAACGTAAAGAGATGGTATCTATAAGGGACGGCTCAAGACGGGTGGTCGCTCTCTCTCAGCCCTGGTCTGGCGGAAACACTGATATGAACCCTAAAAGTGTAATTCAAGTCAGAAATATTTAACTCTTATAGCAGAGTTTGCCTTTAAAAAGTAAAGATTTTTGTATTCCCTCTCCTCGTCGTCGTTTTTGTTTTGTGGTTTTTATTATGATTTATTTTTGTGTCCTATATATTTTGGTATTGTATCAGCTTGCAACATTTAAAGAATCAGTTTTGTGACTCAAGGTCAAGAAATCCAGATGACAAACCAGCTGGCATGAAAAGTATTCAATTATTAAACGCTCCACATTTCTTCTCCAAGTTTAGACCGCATTGCACCCAATAATCAGTAAAAAGTTAACTTGCTAAAAAACTTGGAATATTACAGGTATATGTATGAAAGTAAAACAAAACTGCAACTCCATGCAAAAGGATTTAACCAGACGTTTTTTAAGTACTGACCTGAGAGTCTTTTTTGCGACCTGGAGGGAGTCTTCGTCCCATTTTGCTGCTTCTTCTCCAACAGCGACGTCACAGGCAGAGCGGCAGAGCGTTGGGAAGGGGCCGGTGAGGAGGGGGGTTTACGGTCCAGAGGGGAAGGAGAGGGGGTCGAGGGCAGCCGTCTGTCCAGAGGAGAGCGAGCCGGACTGGGCCGTCTGTCCGCAGAGGAGGATGGAGAGGGGGTGGGCGGCCCGCGACCGTTTGTGAGCTTCTCGCTGGACCGCTGGGAGGCCGGGGGAGGGAGGTGTGAGGGGGAGGAAGAGGAGGAGGAGGATGAGGAGGATGAGGAGGTGATGCGCACATGTGATGAAGGGTCACCCCGGCTGAGGCAGGGGATCTTCTCCAGGCTCACCACCGGGAGGGACACACTGCAGACGGGAAGAGAGGAGTTAACACCTGGGCTGCCCTCCACCAAAGAGTTGAGTCTAGTCCAGGTTGACTTGTTTAGCTGACTATAAGGGGTCAAGTTCAAACACTCTGAAGCCAAATGTTTTTGAAGAAGCATAAGCATCATGACACAAGATCCCTAAAAAATTGTGGATGTAAAAATAAGAAGTATGTGCCCACCATGTCTTGTTCCGCGCCCCCTTCGGTGGGTAGACGGCCAGAGGCGCCTTGCTGAAGCGTGAGTGAGGGTACTCCTTGGGGACCCTGAAGGCCAGCGTGTCCCCGGGACTTGGCACCACAGTGGGGGTCACCGCAGGTGCTTTTGGCTTCATGGGGACCAGGGGGGTCCTGGAGGGGGCGGGGGAGCCGTGGCGCTTCTCTGGAAGGTAAGGTAAGGTACGTTTATTTATATTGCACATGTTCAGACACAGAGGCAATTCGAAGTGCTTTACATCGTCATTAACACTTAATAAGAAGACATAATAAAAGGCACACAATAAATAACTAGATGGAATAACAGATTCATAAAAGCCATGCATAAAAAGAGATACAGAATAGTTTAACGACAACATTGTAAATACGGTAGGTGTTCAAATACTTCTGGGTAAGCAGCTGAAAAAAGTAGTGTTTTTAGCCTCGACTTAAAATAACTCGGCGTTGGTGAACACCTCAGGGTTTCTGGAAGCATACAACTAAAAAGCAGCTTCGGAGTGTTTGGTTCTGAGCCCCCGATGATCTCAGAGCTCTGGGGGGCTCGTAACAGAAGCATTACGGACACATATTGGGGTCCCAAACCATTTAATGCTTTATAAGTTAGCAATACAATTTTAAAATCGATTCTGTAAGCTACTGGTAGCCAGTGCAGAGATCTAAGAACTGGGGTGATGTGTTCTTACACTTTTTTGAACAAATAAATGTGTGAGGTCACATAGATGTGTAACAGTAACACACACTCTGCTTGTATCAAGATCATGTGTTGCTAGCAGGGAGGCACTGATTGTGACATTCTGGGCCTGTACTGATGTTTAAAATAAAAATATGACCAACAGCTAAGGTTTTATAATTGCTAGTAGCTACTTCTGTGGATCTGGGTACTTTAAAAAAAAAAATCTGATTTGCATCCAATTAGCACCTGGAGGGCAACTTCTTTATTTCTGCCAGATGGAATTCTTGTAACACAGAGGAGACAAATCTGTGCCAAAGACTTGCCACTAAAAAATGATTACAAATCAATTTAGTGAACTTCTCTCTACTCTCTAATTAGCATCTTGCCTGACACCATCTGAAGTGTCCTTGTGTGATTAGCGCCACCCAATCTGTTATCGTGCGAAAGTTCAAACAAGAGCCAGCTATTATAAACACATTTTGACCCAGATCTGATCAGAACACACAGGGGAAAGGATGCAGGAACAAGGGGGCAAAGAGGGGAATCAATCACAAGGGTGTAGGGGGGGGGAGAAGGAGAGGAGAGGAGAGGAGAGGAGAGGAGAGGAGAGGAGAGGAGAGGAGCTCACACTTACGGTTCTTGCTATGCATGTCTTTGTGGGAGAAGGGTGGGGAGGAAATGAGGGGGAGTGGTCCAGGACTGTCTGTCTCTCTCTGACTGTCTCACAGGGAAACTACACCCCAGCTACCTGAATAAAGACAGAGGGGGGGGACACACGTCATAAACACACAAGGAGGTGAGGTAAACAGTGTTTTCATTTGCTGACAAAAGTGTGAATTTCAAATGATATGTAACATTTAGCTCCAACATGTGCACAGTCCTACGTTAGTGATTGTTATCCAGCAGCTGCTTCTCTAGGTAAATAATGAGACCTGCCCTTGTGCTTGGCTGCTTTTCCAGTCTGCTGATACTATGCAAAACTCAAACAGACCAGAGCGTGAGATGCTGAAATACACCTCTGAAAAGCAGGTAGAATATGCTAAATGTCCCTATGAAGACCTCCTGGTAGCTATTTCTGCCCGGGTCATTAATATTAGCCTTGGAAAAATACAATAAATACACATTCCCGGACAAAATAACACAAGTATGCGACTGCCCTTGTGTACAGTATGCTCATAATTACATAGCACATGTCTGCATCCGTGCATACAGCAACAGCAATTTAACCGAGCACATAAATCCACACGGATATCCCTGAGGAAGACATGGGAGGAAGACTGTGAAGAAGCAAGGCAATGTCTCCCTATAGTAACATGTGCAAATTGGACCGCGCAACAAAAAGCTAGCAGCTGAACCCTCAATCCATGATGGAGAAAAATGTCCCCAAAACCCTCTATTTTACCGAATATCTAACTATCTTGTCATCTGAGGGCCAAACGGGACACAAAGCAGATGGAACTCTCCCCCTTATTATGTTTGATGAAAGGGAGAATCCAACTACAATGAGAGTTAGATTATGTCTGTAAATATGTATCCAGTCAGTAGGAGGTTAGCTTCACTCTGCACAAAGACTAAAAGTAGGGAGAAAGCCTCAGAAAACCCCAAGAAGGTGTCATTTTAAAACTGTCCTTGTTGTACATAGTAAGTAAATTAAACATAACATGCTAATAAGTGAGCTATAGAGGTTCTGGTAGGAAGTTTTGCCCTCAAACAGAGCCAGGCTAGCAGTTTCCTTTTGTTTTTTTAATCTTTGTGCTAAGCTAAGCTAACCGTCTTCACCCTATAGCTTCATTTTTTACCACACAGACATACGAGTAGTGTTGTTTTTCTTTTCTAACTCTCTTTAAAAAAGCCAATAAGTGCATTTCCCATAATGTCAATCCTTGAATGCAGTGCTAACATCAACTCAAAGGTATCATGCCTTTAGCCAAGTGCTACAAAATACCAGTAGTATCAGTTTAGAAAGGGTGTAAAACAAACTCCTGAACAAGTAGCACTGATGTCACGCTTCAGTCAGTGCTCAGCATTATGGATTGTGTGTGTTTAAAAGTGTGTGTGTGTGTCATAATGTTGTACAACCCAGTTAATGAGTGTAGTAGTAGTAGTAGCCCGCTAACAGTAGCCTGTTGCTGCAGAGAGTAAAGAGCAGACAGACTGTGTGTGTTTGCTCACCGTGCATGAGTGCACATGGAAGTGTGCTGCAGGTGACTGAAGGAGAGTGTGTGTACAATGTCTGTGTGTGTATTGGAGAGATTAGCGTTGGCATAGATTAGAATAACTAAAATGTGTTTGTGCGTGTGTGAAGTATACGTAAGTTAAGAACTTGTAAACTAAAAGTGTGTGTTTTTCTCCATGCTATGTAGATTGTGTACTTCAGTGCAGTATTTGTATACAAGACTTTTTTGCAAGCATTATTAGATTATGAGAATGTGTGTGTGTGTGTGTGTGTGTGTGTGTGTGTGTGTGTGGCAGGTGTGTAAATAGGCCAGTGCGAGCAGAGTACTGGTGAGCCAGCTGTATTCAGAGTAACAGGATCAAAGTCCAGTGCCACATTTGCAGGTATGCATCTACAACAGTCGTCATTTCACACATTAAAAATCACACTTCTTTTAACCACTCAGTTTCACACACACCTACCTAACAGTTACATGAAGCTGTACTGCAGCTATACACTAGGTAAACCGTACGCGTGTGTGTTTTATTTTCTGATTTTTTTATTTTACAGGCAAGGTAAATAATACATCTGACGAAATATGACACAGATGTGCCCTTTGCCCAAACTAAATAGACCCTTTACTTTGACCTACTTTTCAAGCTCAGGTTTTTCTATGGATTCCTGTGACTGTTATTTTAAAGTTGAATACAAAAGCAAACATTGTTTTAATGCTCTAGTCATTAGGTTATGACCTTGTTTGCTTAGCTGTAGTTGTACAATTAAAACAACATAGTTATATGCAGGTTAAATTGTAAGCCAACGAGAATTAATAAACCATTCCTAGCTATTATTGTTGTATATCCAGTTAATAATAAACAACTTATTTGGCCGGCTCATACATATTGCTTTTGTAACTGAGCTCATCCTGTGTTAAGTTGGAAGCTAACCGTAGCGATTTACAATAAATGGCTGGAAGCCCAGGAAAGGTCACTAAGCCACTCCACCACAAGGGCACCTCACTACTACTACCTCCTGCCTGCCTGCCTGCCTGCCTGTCGTTATGGCAATGCCCAGAGCCCAGCTGGCTGCTGATTGGCTGCTGAGTCCTCCTGTGGGTGGAGCCACTGCATGATGAGGAAGCAGAGGCTCTCGGCTCAGCTGGGTTTGTTTACATTGATCGAGGAGCAGGAGAGAGAGAAACAGATATGAGAACATTAGGATAAGTATCTAGGAATATTCTATATAGATATTTAGATGTGCTTAGTTAAAGGAAAATAGGATTATATTGGCAAATAGTAAATGGATGCTGGTACTTTAGGTGTATTTCTTATGTAAATGTAAGAGAAAAAGAAGACATTTAATACATATACTGTTTTTTAAAATCAAGAAACATTACCTTGCCAACAAATGTAAATCAGACAAAGCATGGAGGGGTGACATGGACAAGTTGCAAACAATTGCTCTGTTGCATAGATATAATTATGTAAGAGTCTGGAATATTGTTTTTACTGTGACTGTAACATTCAGGGACTACAGATGAAAAATAGCCTCTTAGCTAACTCTGGTTTATATATTGCAATGTTTATTAATGTCCATTGTCCCCTATAAACGATTAAATACACAAAAATATCATCAAGCTTTATTTAACATTATAGGAATTGTCAGCGGCAACTGGCTTTCTAATTTCATAGAACTTTTGCAAATGGTTCACACACACAGCGTAACGTGATAATGATAACATAATAGCAACACCACCAGTACACTAAACTAACTAGAACTAACTTTTGAGGTTAAGGGCCAAACTCTCAAGATAATCATCAAGTGAGATCAAGAAATACACGTCAGCCCAAGCACACACACTTTACCACAACAACAAACTCAGACAGGAGCCCAAACAGCCAAATAATAAATAAAACTGATATTTTTTGGACCTGCCTGAGAGCTCAATGTACCCACAACTACAGGGAAAAGCTAGAATGGAGGACAGACATCAGCAGGCTTTTCATCAATGCACTCGACTCGCTCACACACACAGCAGGCCACCAGCAGCCGAGAGGAGATATTGTAGTAGATGAGAGAAGTGGAAGGAAAACACAGAGATATCTGAACACGGCATGAAGTACTGATTCATGCAAACACACAGCTTCAGAGGCACGACTTGCACACAAAAATGAAATAATCAGTTGTTACCGGGGCTACTCCAAAGAGTTCAAAGCTTCATTCATAAAGTTCAAAGTCTATATCAAAATGTTTAATGCTGCACAGATTATTTTGGGCTCATCTATTCAGTCTGAATAATGTCACTATGCTATTAGTATAATACTATTTGAATGAGTAGATTCCAGTGGTGGCTGCGTAAGGATTGTTTCACTTCAAAGCGTCCGAAAGTCAACAATTATTGACGTTCTAAAACAAGAATGTGAATCCAATCAAAAACATGCTTTAATGTTCAAAAAGCTCTTTATTCTTCTCATACTGCCTGTGCTGCAGCACCTCTTTTCACCCTCTGTCTGAAACCAGAGCCCAGTCTGCTCTGATTGGTTAGCTGGCTATGTTGTGACTGGTCAACCGCTTGGAGATGAAATTCACATACAATGTGTTGGAGCCCTTGCCAATTGAAGCGCGAGTGTTATATAGTGATGTCACTATGTTACGGAAGTAAACATAGGAGTCCAATGGAGGCGTTTCAGTTAGGGGGGGAGGGGGAGTGTATGGGAGAGAAACACAGGGATTTTAGCTGCTGCAAACCATTTACACACACCAAAACCTATATATCGCATTACAGGAAGGGGAAAACCCCCCAAAACATAATAGTGCTTCTTTAAAGGTGAAGAATGTCTTAATAATTGTCTAACATTGCCTAAAATATTGGTTAAAATCATGTATTTTAATTGAATAAATATCTTTATAACACCATATCTCTCCATAATGAACTTTGAGGTTAACCCAGAGGCGTTAAGAACAATTTATTTGCACATGTTCTCTTCACAGGCTCATGGGCGCGAGCACTTCCAGTGTGAGAGATTTATTTGATATCCCACAGGGGCCATTTATGCTAAGAATACACAAGCTCTCCTTACTATAAGGAGACTTAAATAAACAAATCCACTAAATGGAGCGAGTCTCTGAGGTTTAAAACTTGGTATGTGTTAACCTTTCTGAACTGAACATTAGGCGTATATTAAACATCCATCCAGCACAGGTCCAAGATTAAGTTCTGATCGCTCTCTCCATCTCACACACACACCAAAGCTTGAGCAGCAAACTGGGCGTGGATAACTCTGAGCCACTGACCCCTGAGGCAGCCAACCCCCTCTCTGTGTGTGTGTGTGTGTATGTGTATGTGTATGTGGATGTGTATGTGTGTGTGTGGGGCCTCAGTGCTGATTCGACGCACAGGTCAAGCATGAAAGCAGATCCCATGATGGATACACACAAATACAAGGCCGTTGCAATGAATCAAAAGGCAGTGTGACAGCATTTAAAGTAGAGCCCCCAGCAGGGGACAATGACACTATGCTGGTGAGGATATTACAGAAACATGAGGAATGAGTAACAATGGGAGGAAATGCATAAAACATCATAAAGAAATCCTGACTTCCTCGAGGCGAAACACTCAAAAAGCAGTAGGATCATTTTTCACGTCATGATACAGAGCGTGTAAAAATGTTTAGGAATTACGTTGATGTGACAGTATGACCTCAAGGTCACAGTTAAAATGACAATAAATGTATCCACACACACAACATGCTTACAAGCAGAGCTGGAAGAAGTACTCAGATCTTGTACTTAAGTAGAGTGGAGGAATACTCTGTTACAAGTAAAAGTTGATTATATTTCACATCATTAATCGAAAACTGTAAAGTAGCTAAATAATGAATGTAGTGGAGTAAAAGTACATGATTTACCTCTGAATTGCAGTGGAGTCGAAGTACAAGGTAGCAAAACATTGAAATACTCAAGTACAAGTTCTTCAAATGTGTAGAGTAAATGTACTTAGTTACTTTACACCACTGTTAACAAGTCAGCATGGTCCACTACAGGGCCTGCTTGTTATCATACCGTTAGCCCGGGGATAGCTGTGTGCTACGGGGAGCTCTCGGGAGATTTCCACCACTCTCTGTGTGTGTGTGTGCACGAGCGTGATTTAGACCTGTTGTTACCCGACTGTGTGAGTGTCAGAAAGCAGGAATGCTGCCAGCGAAAGGGAGGGGTGTGGAGGGGAAGGGGGGGGAAATAACAGCGCCTGCCAGGAGTCTATGAGTGTGTGCGAGCCTCACAATACCACTGACCTCTTTCTACTGAGAAACAGAAAGTGAGAATGTGTGTGCACTCAACCAATCCAGCAGATCTCTCTCTGCTCTAGAAGTGTGTGTGTGTGTGTGTGTGTGTGTGTGTGTGTGTGTGTGTGTGTGTGTGTGTGTGTGTGTGTGTGTTCATTAAGCGTGACACTCGGGCTGGTGCACGTGCCTCCAACAGAAGGAAGCAGCAGCAGCAGCAGCTTGCGGGCAGTGGAGCCGCAATCAAAAACAAACAAAAAAAGGTAGACGGACAAGGCAGAGGGCCAATCAGAGCAAAGATCCACTTCAACAACAAACACTCTAAAGTGGTGATGAATACCACCTACTTCATACACGTCAAAATCTAACTTTTTTTTAAATTACATTTGTTGATTCACATCTCAAATAGATCGTTTTGTTGCTGAAGATTAAAGTCTCCATGGCAACAAATATTGCTTTTTATAAAATGATGGTAATCCTACTACAGGTGGTTTCAATTTAAATCATGAACTACAATTTTAAAACTCCCTTGATATTTAACAGAGCATGCAGTTCAGTTGTATCAAAACGTAATACTGTAGGAGACATGGTTGGCAGGTCAGCAGTGCATGTGTGTATTGTATGTTTATTGGCCCTAAAATCATTGTTTTTTAGAGACTTTTTCACCACCACTTAGATTTTTCTGTTCTGCATAACAATATCTGTTGCCTTAAAATCTGAAAAACAGTACCTTTCGACTCAGATGTTCAACATATGGATGTAGATTTGTAATGTTTAACTATATTAACTACATTATTCAAAAGTGTACAGTAACTTTAGATAATAACACGGGAATAATAAATAATAATAATAATCTTTCCCTCCCTCTATATACTGTGGTAGAAACCAACTACAACAAAATGAACATAGTTTACCGTGATTTAATTGTAATACACGTTTCAAAATGATGCCGAAGTAACAACATACTGGTAACGGTTAGTAAAAACCATGAATTAATGCTTTGACAAGTGTGCAGACAGACGGCAGGCGAAAAACCTTTTAAAATGCATGTTTTCTGAATGGAGATCGGATCGACCAGGCTAAGCTAACGTTGTATCTGCTCCGTCCACACTCACAACAACATGATACAGACACAACAGCGACTGTATTCGCCATGTTCCAGAGATAGATAAACTAGCTAAGTGTGTTAGGTCTAACTTGAAGTGTGTGTTTTGCTCCGCTCACCGGTCCGTCACAGCGGGCGGAGCTGTGATCATGCAGAGCTGCGTGTCTCCTTCAGCAGCAGCTGATCTGCTCTCTGATCTCTCTCTCTCGCGTCCAGTTATACTTCACTCGCATTTATGTCCATATCGATCAGATCTAGCTAGTTCTAGCTAATGATATGACTGCCTGCGTATCAAAGCGTTGCTTGGCAACGGGGGTGTGGCAGGAAAAAGTATAGCGCAGCATCATGCAGCATTAAGCATTTGTTTACATGAGGGGTCAAAATGTCCCCTTCAGGAGGATAAATGTCTTTCCCCACATTAAATGTCAGACATTAGAAAGGAAGTGACTGTGCATGTAGCGTATTGACTCTTCTTGTCTGTCACATAAGTGGCGCAACTGATGCAAAGGGGAAATTATTTTTGACCGGACATTTTGACCGGAGAGATTTAGATTTGCCGGTCTTCAGCATATTTTACCGGTCACAGTCCGGTAATTACCGGCTAACGGAAACTCTGGTTAGAATGTATAACCAAGTGTCTTTTGTTGGTATACAGGATGAGTTTTAGGTAGACGATGTTTCAAAGTGCTCTACAGGCATAAATATTGATCTTGCATCCATGTGACAACAGGAGGTAGCCCAAGGCTTGTGCTTGTGTGTGTGTATATGTGTATATGTGTATATGTGTATATGTGTGTGTGTGTGTGTGTGTGTGTGTGTGTGTGTGTGTGTTACCGTAGTGTGTGAGGATGCCCTGGGGGGTGACCACCTGATCGCAGACATGGCAGACAACAAGACAAAAATCCTCCAGAGCTGGAAGCTGGCTGTAGACAAGCATCTCTAAAAAAAAAAAAAAAGACAGGAAGAGAAGAGAGCACATTTAGAGATGAATGCAAAACTGTCAGCAAACAGAAAGGTCTGATGGAAGATTTGTTTCAGGCATTGCTGCAACTACTGATTACGTCATTATTGCTAAACTGGTAATTATCTTTTTTAATTATTGGTTGGTCTAGAAAATGTCAAAAAAATTGAAAATGTCCATCCCAGTTTTCTCAAAATCAAAACGTGTAAATGTCTTTTTGTCAGTCTAAAATCTCAAGTTTAATTTTATATAAGAAACATAGTTAAACAGGAACTCTCCATAATTAAAGAGGCTGAAAACAGAAAACTTTTTTTACAGTTTTGCTTAAGTTGCTGATTGGGCTTTTGTCAATCAAGTCATCAGTTAGTTGAATAAGCAGCTCTCTTCATACAGTACATTGTACAGTATACTAATGCTCTTGGTTGGCTTCTGACTAGGGCTGTCCCGACTACCATTTTTCGGGCTCCGGATATTCGGTAGTAATCAGCAGCGAATATTCGGCCCGCGCGGGGGGGGGGGGCATGGTAATCAGCAGCGAACCGCTTCAACACGTGTATTTCGGTGTATTCACGGCATTCATTTAGTTATTCTACAGTATTGTTGTTTTATAGTTATTTGTTAATGTAACCCAATTTGTGTTCTTTGAAATTGAAAAGGATATCGCATTGTGTTTGTTACTTTCGTTGCAGTTGTATATGTCTTAAGTGTAATTTGGCTTGGCTTCCTATTTATGGACATGCTTTTGCAGTTGTTGTTGCTATGGAAACAACGTGACGGAGATTAACGGAGAAAAGTAATATCTACATATAAAGACGGAGAAAGTAAACTATAATGTTTATGGTTAAGTGTTAGCACCCCCCCGAAGAGGCACAAGCTCTTACGTTGATATTGGAGATTTCAATCAATTCAATTTGAAAAACGAACGGGAAAAAAACGAAAAAACGAATAACGAAATTGAAACCCGAATAGTACTCCAATGAACGAATATTCGGGTACAGCCCTACTTCTGACTACATTTAAAAACGACATTTAGTCTTTAACCATGTATTATCCCCTGTTAACTTAGGTTAAGAACCTTCTGTGATAAACATTCATTTATCAATTCACAGCTTTAGGGAAGAAAAACAAGATTATTTTCATTATCATTTTGGCAATTATTTTCCAGAATTATCACTTTTTCTATAAAAGATAAGAAACTTAAGGACATTTGCCTATCATTATTTTAATTGCTTATTTGAGAACATGACCAAAATATATCCAAACGCCAATGATACAAGTTAGCGTCAACAATAAATAAAAAGTATACATGCTGAACATAAACCTAAATTATGCTAAAAGCATCTCAAACTCTGCCAGACTTAGAAACAAGTGATGCTCAAATTATCAACTAGCTTTGGAGCTTCTTTCCAGATAGAGATGTGTCACAAAATCACATAACAGGGAAAAGGGACAGACGATCATTTGAAATACATGCTGGCATCCTGTGTTCTAGCTAGCATACAGCAACATTGTGTTACAGAAGACAGTTTGGACAGAAATATGGAAAATAGCTATAATGTCTTTTGGCTAAGCTTTGAAGACCTAATCTTCCTGAACCCAAACAAGCTCTGCTGACAGAAATCACAGAACTGATTAGCACAGGGCTTAAGCACTCACTGTGGGGAGGCGGTGTGTGTTTAGAAGTGTGTGTGAACGCTCGCAAGGGCACAAATAGAGAATATGTGGCTGCGTGTCGTCATGACCTTGCATGGCTAGCGGGTTTTCTGTCGTTTCGGAAGTCAAAGAGATGATGTGTGTGTGTGTGTGTGTGTGTGTGTGTGTGTAGGAACCAGATCTGTGAGGTAACTAACGGTCAGAGCAGATCTACAAATATGTAGACAACGTGAGCTTGTGCTTGTGTACATACTGCAAAAGGTCAGAGTTGGTTTCATTACTCATGCATGAAGTTGTCAAGCACAGAAACACAAACAGTGAGTGTGAAACTAAATACTGAAATGAATGCTGAGTAAAGCGAGGAAATTGAAAACTGATATTGGCTGCTGAGGAGAGGCTTTCTCATAAGGACTGCAGTTAGCGCTCGAGCAGCTGTACTCAATCAGTCTGCACTAGTTCACCTCGTAATACAGAAAGGGAAAGCATTTCTCACTCATTTTTCCGACCTATAATTTCCAAGCATGCAGCAGGATTCAAGCCACAATGCAGACTCTCTGAATGTTTGTGTTTGCTGACCAAAATCTGTTTTGGTAGTTTGTTTTTGACTTAAAAAAAGGTTCTCTCCAGTATCAGCTCTAAAACCACCAGACTCAGGGACAGTTTCATCCCACAGGCCATAAGACTGTTAAACACCTGAACTTTTGAAAGAATGTACATAAAATGTATCTGGTTGCAACTTACAAATTATTTATCTAATATATCATATTCCAATGACTTGTATTTATTACATGGCTTAGTTGAATACTCGATTCTGATTGGTCAATTCAGAACACTTGACACGTTGTTAATCCAGAACAGACGGACCGCTGTCAAGGACTTATTGACCGTTGTTAAGGACGCTCACATCTGCACAAAGAAGTTCGGTCGATTTAACTGTATACAGTTTGGCCGAAAATGCAATTTGCTTTTCGAACTGACAAGACAAGAGCGACAAGAAAACAGCGGAGAAGTAACGGGGCAGAAACCCTCCTTTTTTACGCAGCGGTCCATACATAGACATCAAACCGCAAAACATATTCAGTTGCCAGTTGCTTTGGCATTAGGGCAGGGATATCTAGATACTTTCCAAGGTTTGACATAATGACTTGTGCTACTTTTAAAAGCAAGCAGCGATGTTTTCAAATCTGTAACCAAAAAGCTCCGCCTTCCTGAAGTTGCTACGTATTTCAAACGGTAACAACGGACAATTTTTCTTTTTCATGTCAAAATTTTTTTTTTTTCATGTCAATTTAAATCAATACATACAACTATTTTTTAAATCAATAAAAACATTTCAATTAATATTGGGAGTCATGTCGTTACTTTGTTGAGAATGTGGCCATGTAATAAGCGGGATAATTATCCTTGCACTATTTCTATTTGTATTTACTTGCACTATTTTAACTATTGTATCTGTTGTATTGTGTTGCACTGTTGGAAGAGCCTGTGCCCTGAGATTTTCATTGACATATCTACACTGTAGCTAATGTGCAAATGACAATAAAAGCATTGAATCTTGAAAAAAAAAATGTCACATTAGAGACACTAAATACAAATATGAACCTGAAAATGAGCACATACTGTATGGCGCCTTTTGACTGTAAGTTATCTAAGGCCTGTTCTAAGCTATGATACTAACAGAAATGGAAAGGTGTGGCTGTGTGTGACAACCGTTTTTTAAGTATTGTTATTGCAGTCAACAGCTTGTGAAGTGGTTAGGGTTAATAACTTTCGTAAACGTAGGCAGTAGAACAATGCTGCAGGGTTGCCAAGTGGTTTCTGCCCAAACACATGAAACCTGTTATCGTTTCCTTTTTTTTTTTTTGTTAACAAACTACCAGGAAAGCCAGGCTAAAACGTAACCTGGCAATGACGGAAGAAAAAAAGCAAGAATGCAATTTCCTCTGCGTCTGCCAAGTCAAATGCAAACTTAAGTGCGAGGCTTATTTCTGCAGCCGGAGTTGTGTGTGTTTCTCCAGCCAACAGCCACACGCTGCCAAATGACTGACGGGCCTGAAAAGGAAGTCCAGAAACATCCGTCACTGGTGAATACACATGTTTAGAGCTACTGAGACAATCAATCATTGGACACCGAGTACATTGAGAGTAATAAGTAAATCAGCTTCCCATTGAGGAGAAGCAGTCTAGACACTTACAGGTAAACAAAAGGGGTTTGAAATGGAGAAAGAAGACATCGAGGTTATCTGCCGTGCTGAAACTGAAACTGAAGAAATAACACGGTAACATTTTCTGATGAAATGACCTATAATCATCCAATTTAATTACCGTTTCAACAGATCCAGAGGAAGGTGCGGGCTACAGCTTCAGTTGATTTTCTAACAGGCACACCAGATAATTATTGGATCTGCACCAAAATGTCTGGCAGAGTAAACAAGCTTATTAGCAGCTGGGCGGGAGACCTACAAACTGTTCGGCCGAGGAGGTAGAGCGGTCATCCACCAATCAGAAGGTTTCTTATCCATCTTGTCTTGATAAGAGAAAATTGACTGCAGTAGTTATAAAGGCTGCAGCATGTCTGTCACAAGGAGAAGCTGAACAAATGTGCTGGGTAATGATCAAGAAATCGTCGTTTAAGAAGTCAAAACCTCCTTCGCCCCATTTATTCTCAAGGTCAGAATCATACGATTATGAAGTATAAAAGCCAGGATGAAAAATGAAATCCATGCCAGGGAATGGTTTTACTGATATGAATTTCAAAATGTTAACTTGTAGACGGACTAAATCAACTTCAAGGACAAGCTCATTCCAAACGTATATCTATACACATTATTTTAACACTTTCCCGACAGTATATGAACAGTTTTTAGGGCTAAATCTTACATTTATGTTCACAATCTACAATCTTGAGCCATGGTTTGATTTATCGATTCAATATTTTGTCAATTAAATGTTGGAAAAATCTCATTTTTACATTTTCCTAAAGTGGTATTCATTCCACTTTCACGTAACATGAAGAAAAACAACATGTATACATATAACTAATCAAAAGTTACCAATGTATTTTTGGACTGTTTTAGTTTTCTAATGTAAACTTTACACTGTTATGCAGATCTAGGCGACATAGATCTTGACACCTCCTTGCTCAGTGGCATTTGTAAGAAGTACAACAAAAGAAAATGTCTGACTGAGTTCAAGCGTCGACACGGTAATTTGAGCTGGAATCATTTTAAAGCAGACACCACATTATTAAATGAGTCATCTTTAATCGTCTGCCAGGTAGCAGTGACGCTAATATTCTGTGGAAAGGTTTCCAACACCAGAGGAAACAAACATGTATTATAAGGGCTAGTATTGTGCCATACCTCAACAAGTGGTACATTCCCTTCTGTTTGATGCAGTTAAGTGCATTATAAATTAAATACATATATTTATTTTTTTATTAGTATTTTTTTATATTATACTGTAGGTAGTTGTTTTGGTATATCTTTTATCCAAAGCGACTTACAATAAGTGCATTCGACCAAGAAGATACAAACTTGAAGGAAACAGAATCATATAAGTACATCAGGTTTCATTGAGCCAAACCATTTCAAGTGCTACTCAACTGGCTTTAGATAAGCCAGTCCTTTGTTAGTATATAAGTGCTTAGTTAGTATATAAGTCCTTTGTTAGTATATAAGTGCTTTGTTAGTATATAAGTCCTTAGTTAGTATATAAGTCCTTAGTTAGTATACAAGTGCTTAGTTAGTATCTAAGTGTGTTTTTTTATTTTTTTATTGCTCGAAGTGTGTAAGCTTTCTGCTGTCCTGATGTCAATGGGGAGCTCATTCCACCATTTTGGAGCCAGGATAGCAAACCGACGTATTTTTGCTGATGGGAACTTGGGTCCCCCTCGCAGTGCGGGTGCAGCGAGCCGTTTGGCCGATGCAGAGCGGAGTGCACGTGCTGGGGTGTATGGTTTAACCATGTCCTGGATGTAGGAAGGGCCAGATCCATTCGCAGCATGGTACGCAAGTACCAGTGTCTTGAAGTGGATTCTAGCAGTTACTGGAAGCCAGTGAAGGGAGCGGAGGAGCGGGGTGGTGTGGGAGAATTTAGGAAGGTTGAAGACCAGACGAGCTGCTGCATTCTGGATGAGCATACATACATTAAGGCAAATTCCTCATATGTGTAAACCTACAATTAATCAGTTTCTGATTTTGAAATGAAAAACTCTAGACATCTTTATCATACTAGTGAGACATACAGCACCTCAGCTGGTTTCCATAGTATTGATACACTCAATGAAGGTGAATATATATTTAATTATCACCTAAAGCATGGCTGTGATAGCATCGTGCTCCTGACGGTTTCCATCCCTATAATAAAGACAGTGATTATCATATAAATAGCAGCATGACAGCCTATTTGTAGTGAGATGATGACAGGGGCTGTCAGTCCAGCCCGACAGAGTTGCTGTTGGGTTGTCATCGTCTCCTCTTTGTGAACGTGGACGAGTGAGAAAAAGAAATGGATACTAATCATGTCAGGCACCACACACACTCACGAGTACAAATATGTGTGCACCGAAGTGTCAAATGTTATATTTAAATCTACGATGAATCACTTTCAGCTGGATACAAGTGTACAAATTAAAAAATTCAGACGTGTTTCCCTGTTTGTGAGGCTATAGGGTGTGTGTGTGTGTGTGTGTGTGTGTGTGTGTGTGTGTGTGTGTGTGTGTGTGTGTGTGTGTGTGTGTGTGTGTGTGTGTGTGTGTGTGTGTGTGTGTGTGTGTGTCAGCGGGCCGTAGTTTCAGGTTGCCAACAGAGCAGCAAATCTGGAAACACCGCTCCGGTTTGGCTCTGAGAGAGATGATGAGGCATGTGTGTGTGGGAGGGGGGGAGGTTGGTATTTGACCAGTGAGAGTGAAAAGAGTTTCCCCCGCTGTGTGTGTGTGTGTGTGTGTGTGTGTGTGTGTGTGTGTGTGTTCTCAAACTCTCAGGGATGACTCAAGTGTGCGCCGCATGATCCTGTAGGTATTTATACACGGTGAGATGTGGAGGAATTCCTCTGGCTCCGTCACTAGATTGGGTGGAGGTGCCCCACAGCCCCCTCCTCGTGTACATGATATACAGGCTATAATATGTTCTCACCCAAAAGCAACACAGTAAAGTAAATAAGACAGACTTGAACTAGCTTTATGCACTAAGGGTGAGTCCTACAAGTCTAACACACACTACATAAACCAATTATCACAAAAACACACCACAGTAAAAGCACTAGTTGACTTATCTATAAAATAATGTAACGTATCCAAAGATTATGGATCAGTTAGCCTAAAGTTACAATACGGAAAACATATCTGCACTCCAGCTGTGTTGAATTATTTTCCAACAGCACAATCGCTAGTAATTATACTATTAATGCCACTACTCCATGTTTTATTTGTTTTTACTTTCTTTTTCGATTTGTATTAGTGTTGCATTTGTTGAAATGTTGTATATTTTACAGGGTGGGGTGGGGATTATCTACCTCATGTTCTGTTACGGCCTGAACAGCTTGTTTTGAATCCATGAAAAGCACTTTGTAACTTTGTTTTGAAAAGTACTTAAAGGTGGGGTAGGTAATTTTGGAGAAACCAGCTCGAGTGCGCTAGAATTTGAAAATACACAGCTGGAAAAAATCTGCCACTTCCTTACAGAGCCCCTCCTCCAACACACACGAACGCGCACATGACCAATGAGGGCACGAGATCAGTTTGTGCCAGGGGCGGACTGGGACTACAACTCTCAGCCCGGGACTCTCGACCGGCCCACTTCGGTACCGCCGGCCCACCTCGGTAAATTATCTCGGGGGGGGGGGTGCTAGTGACTTATCCGAGCGGCCCACATCGTCCGACCGGCCCACTTCAGTACCGGCCCATCGGGATTCGTCCCGAACGTCCCGATGGCCAGTCCGCCCCTGGTTTGTGCACAGATGGAAGGCTGACAGGCAGGTAGGCCATCCAGTTATTTTAGCCGGGCCGGCTCAAATGATTGGTCGTGCTTTTTACAGTACCACGGCTTCCACAGATGACATTTTTTTATGGATTTTTTGTCAAAGCACTTCAGATATTCATTGCTATCGGGATGTTAAGAGCATTCCATGGAATATAACAAAAAGTGTATCTCGAGCCGGTTTCTCAAACTTACCTACCCCACCTTTAATGGATTAAGTTATTATTATTGCTAGTATGCAGTCGAACAAGTATTCAACATAACACCTTCACCATGCCTGACACAAAACATCTAGTGATCTCAGGTTACTGTACATCTCCGATGATGATTCGAAAATACTCATTAATATGTTTTATTTCTAATGAAACTCAGTGGGAGCCGAAACAATTAGCAAGTTAATTGATTTGTAAATTGAGAAACTACATTTGCAACTATTTTGATTAGGACTAAAGTGAAAACAACTCTAATAATTTTCCGGTTTTCAGCTTCCTAAAGGTGGGGGGTCTGATGCTTTTCCTCGCACTCTTTTACAATAAAACTGAACAAGCAATCTGAATGCATCACCTTAGGCTATGGAAAATTATGATGCTGTATTTTAATGGGCAAAATGTAGATTCATGTAGAAATTAATCATTAGACACACGGTGATCACTGTAATACAGTTTTCTAATTCAAACACACTCCCAGTAATGTGTTTCCCAATTAGACACGTGCATTTAAAAGTATGTATGAGGCGCAGTCAGTGAGAGGAGGTTAAACAGAATTTAGTTTGAACAGTTTGAGGTTAGAATGGATCATTTCCAAGATTGGGAAAAAACAAGAATCTACAGTATGTCAAGATGTTTTTGAAGTTAGTGCATGCATGTGTTTTCATCATTTTGTAATAAGTAAGCAAGGGGCTTGTTCAGGGGCAGACTGGGACTAAAAATCAGCCCGGGACTCTCGACCAGCCCACTTCGGTACCGCCGGCCGACCTCGGTACCGCAAGTAAATACCGCTAGTAAATTGTCAACGGGGGGTGCTAGTGACTTATCCGACCGGCCCACCTCGGTACCGCAAGTAAATTCCGCTAGTAAATTGTTGACGGGGGCGGCCTACATCGTCCGACCGGCCCACTTCAGTACCGGCCCATCGGGATTCGTCCCGAACGTCCCGATGGCCAGTCCGCCACGGGGCTTGTTTGTTTTTAGCTAATGACAATGCCCATTTAATTATTCTATACTAAGATAGCATTTAATGTATTTTATTTGTTAGTTTATTTCTTGGTGCAAGCTATTTTTCAGAGCATTTCTTTACAGAGTATGCTTTGAAATAGTTATTTGAACAATATCAGCCATGTCAGGAAGTGTTGTCCCTGTGTCCCCAGAGTAAATGACACCTCTGGCTGCAGAGAACAAAACAATAACAGAGCATCATGGTGTTGACAGTGACAGCGCTAGTGTGTTTTCTCACTTCCTTACCTTCTTTGCTGAGCCTCACGGCTTTACCCTGGCAGTAAATCTGTTTGTCATCCGAGGACGAGTCTGCGTCAGAAGAAAACACAAAAGACACTTTACAAATAAGCAGGTGAGCATTGACAACAAGATCTGGAAGTACAATGGTGTAGGACAAGTAAAAGTCCAGCATTCAAAATGTTACTCAACTTAAAGTACAAAAGTATTAGCATCAAAATAACTAAAAGTACCAAAAGTAAAAATACTCATTTTGCAGATTGGTCCATCTCAGAATAATATATATGATATTGTTGTCATCTTGCAATATACTAATCTATATAAATAGTTATCACCGCAATAAACCGTATTTAATTGTGTCTTAATTGTTAATTACATGATTTAATTTCATATTCTATTGACATGTATATAGACTTTTTGCACTACTTTTTACTTTATTATATCTGTTGCATTGTTGGAGGAGAATTTAATTGCCATTTCTACACTGTAGCTTTGTGCATATGACAATAAAACCTTTGAATCTTTGAATATGTTTTATAATGATTGATCATTAAAGTGTTATCAAAGCTGGTAAAGGTGCAGCTCGTTTTAATGACTTTGTATACTGCAGGGTAGCTTGTGAATTTACTCCAGGTGGAACTAAAGTCTGATTTAAGAGTTGATTATATTTCACATTATTAATCCAAATCTGTAAAGTAACTAAAGGTATTAAATACATGTAATTGACCTCTGAATTGTAGGACAGTTTAAGTACAAAGTAGCATAACATGGAAGTACTCAAGTAAAGTAAAAGTAGCTCAAAATTGTACTTAAGTACATTACTTGAGTAAATGTACTTAGTTACTTCCCACCTCTGACAACAAACTTTGGGGCCATGCGTAGTGGAGCCATGCTGGTCCGAGCCTGACTACCAGTTAGCATTATTAGCTAGCTAGCACTGGAGCTGGCTTCCTATTGAAAGTGAAGCCAAATGAGTGAAGCTGTCAAAGCTAACAAACTTACATCCTGCACAGTTGAGAAATGTCATTACTGCACACACCAGTGCTACGAACTATGCACCGTAAAGCTTATCTCTCGACTGTTCAAGCGACATATTAATATGGTATTTCATAATTGTATTTTTTGACAGTTACTTTGCAGACTCTACTCAATCACAGACAGTTGTTGGACTCACCACAGTTTGTCCGCAAAAACAACAAGGGCTACCGACGTGCAAACTTACTGTCAACAAAACGTAATTTAGCCGCGGTGACGAAGGAAGACCAAGGCTCGCACAGGAAGCTATCCGGACTTGGTATTTGGCGATCCAGTGTCGCCATTTCTCTTCCTTCTTGTTGCTTTGCTGAGAGCCGTTTTTTCTCGCTCTCTCGCTCTCTCGCTTTCTCTCTCTCTCTCTCTCTCTCTCTCCTTCGCACGCAGCAGGCGAAAAACGAAAGAACCAGATATAGTGACGTCATGCTCGGTGTACGTCGTGCTTGTTCGGCAACTTCCGGAGGATTGAGAGGTTGAGGACAGACAGGGAGCTACTGAGGGGTTCAAAAGTTCAGACTGTGGGCACATTACAGATTTCCCTCTGTTGGACAGTTACAAGGTGACATTATGTTGAGTTGAGAAAACATTATCTTTTTATTGGAACATCATTGGGTAATTGGGATCAGAATTCCTTTATTCGTCCCACATAAGGGCATACATACATTGTTACAGCTAAGTGAAGATAGAGACACAAAATAAAACACTATTAGCCTAAGGGCATGCACATAATATTTGAAAAATAGAAAAGTTATTCCAATTTACAAGTAACATTCGTAATATATTTTTGTCTAATTTACATATTGCAAACAAGTGTTATTAAACAACAGTGGTTTCTTAAGTCTGTGTTGTTGTGTGAGTGTGTCAGTAATTCAATAGGCATAGGTGGACCGGTCAATCACAAAGACAAGGAATAAAGCATAAGATAGGGCTAAACATGTCCATCTGGCTTTTTCTGGATAATAACAAAATGTTTACGTCCATCAATCCAATCATTCAATTCATTGTATGTGTTACATTTAATCATGTAAGACCTAATTATATTGAAATGTTATTCCATCAGTTATTCCAATGCATTAACACAATTTTAAGTAGAATACCAAAGAGAATGAACTTGCATATGCAGTATTTAGTGGACCAATTATGGGACTTTACTATAAAAATAGGGTCATTTAACATTGTATACCCCGAAAAGTGTATTTTATTTTATTAGACCAAACAAGTATATGAATATTGGGCCCTACTTTGAGTCTAAAAAGTACAGTACTATTAGGGATTGCCAGGGAGTTGCAAAGGAGTCAACACATCACATTTTGCATTTATATGTGAATTTAAAACATGCCTTAATCTGAGGTCACTGAAACAAACTGTCCCAGGATGCTGAGCTTCTCAAAGTGGCTCAGTAGGTCAAGCTAACAGCGCTACGTGGACCTCTTGTGGCTGAAAACAGAATCTGCGTTTAAAGTGCAATGTGCAAAGTCAGGAGGGGAGGTGCATGGTTTCGTTTTTTTACAGGAAACATGTCAATAGATCATAATATTTCTGCTATTATGATTATACTGAACAAACTTAAATCTGACTTTTGTTCAACAGATAAACCGATCTTTAGGTCTGTTGCATGATGCTTACATCCCATGATATTAGACCAGAGCAGGGTGGAGATAAAGAGGAAATGACAGTGTTAAACCAGAGCACGGATATTACTTTGATTAATGTTTACTGTTGTTTCAAATCATGTCAAATCAACATACACAGTCTACACACACTTTATATGTTAATCTGTGGTTAAACCCTTCCTGTCTTTTCCTCTGTCACACCCACACACACCAGTGCACTTCCCTTTTCTCTCTTCTTTCACACACACAAACGATGACTCTGACTCAGTGTTGTGTTTGTTTCCCGCACAGTGATCATGAGGTCACATGACACAACAGGAAGCATATATTTTCCATCACTTTAAGAGTCAAAAGAACGGATGTTTGTCAAAAAAAATGTCCTCAAATGCTCTCACTTTTTTGATTTAACCTTCTAAATAGTTCAAAATTATATATTTGGCACCATAAAGTCATATATTTCACACACGGCTAGGGGCAAATGTGAATTAATGATTAACCCTCCTGTTGTCTTCGGGTCAAATCTGACCGATTTACTACTTTCATCAATCATAACTTTTTTTTTATGATATCCTTCACAGTAGACATTTGAACATACAATTGCTGATCACCACTTTCGTTGAATTTTGGATGATTTAGTCAACTTTGTAACACCCATGGTGTTCCCGGTCAAAAATGACCGCCCGGATCAGATAAAACACACACCAACACCCACACACACACATACTGTAGATGTGTTACCCCCCCTAATGTGCCGATCCCCCCATGTGAATCACACCTGGCACACACAAACACACAGAACAATTTGACACATTTCCCGCTCTTATGTGCCCATCCCCCCACATGGATCACACCTGGCACAGGCAATACATGTTCAGTGTCTATTCTTTGTATATTTACTGCAGTTGTTCATGTATACCAGTAGTCTGATACAATATGTACAGTTTGAAAGGGTGTTAAATGAAATTTGGTGATGATTAATGTTTTTTGTGTAATAGCAGTTAAAACAGGACCGGTCAAATTTGACCGTGAACACCAAAGTAAGGGGGGGAGGGGGAAACGAAGACAATAGGAGGGTTAAGCTAAATTATTTTAAAGTGGACCTATCATGGTATATTTAAATGATATATTGTAGGGCCATACCTATATAAGGCATATTTATACGTTTCTGTTTTCAAAATACCAAACAGATCATGCATTTTAGCCATGCCTCATTTCGCTCAATTTGCACTTTTTTTAGCTCTGCTCTGCAAGGGCAGATTCAGTGAGAACAGCACCATCTACTGGCCTGGCATATGTACTACAGTGTCTCCATCGCTTTCGAACAGCAATGGCCGTGGCTGTCTCCTCCTGATTGGTGGAGTTGGCCCAATAGCCGTAGCGCCACCGTCCTGACGTCAGGACAGTGTTCAAATCTGGATCAGTTTTTATCAGATCCGTTGCAGCCCCTTTTTTAGAGATTTGGGTATGGAGGAAAATAGAGAGGGTTGTGTTTTCTGACACTTGGTGAGTTCCCTGGAACACCGGGGACACATATTCATGTATAAAAGACGTACAAAAGTGCATTTTGCATGATAGGTCCCCTTTAAATTAACTGGCTTCCATATTGAGGCATGACAGGAAAAGGATAGACAAACACACGCACTGGAGTGTAAAGTGTCTACATCCAAACACACACATTTTAGATGGACAGGACGTTCACTTTACAGACTTATGAAAAAAAATCATTAATTTTTATTGATAAAAAACAAAGGTACATAGAAATTGTGCATGTCACAGAGTGTCTCAGTTTGGCAGGTTGAATGCACAGGAATCATTGACGAAGCTATAGCTAGTTTGATGATGATTATAAGAATGCAGAGGCATAACCAGTACACCACACACACATCCATTTAACTTAACACAGAGTTAAATGAATATACATCATCACATTTACATTATTTATCACCATATCAAAAGATAAAACATCATAAAAAGAAAATCAGAACTTCATATTCCTTCAAATAATCATCTAAATATGCTAAAAATAAGACAAAAAAAAAGTGACATTTTATAAAACACCCTAAACTTAAACAGGAGGAAACATGTTGCTTTGCTATTGATGCAAAAAGTGATGAAAAAGAATTGAAAAAGGACATTAAAAACAACAATCAAGGAAGTGTTTAACCTTCATTTGGTACCTTAGTTTAGTCTTAATAAATCAAGGTCGTCAAAATCTCAATCAAGTATTCTCTACGGATTTACACTCTCGCATATTAAGTACCATGAGAATGCACTGTGCATGTCGTGATAAGAATATACTGGATGTACTTTTGTGAAGTTATAGTAAAAAGGTCATTTTACAACCACTGGATTGCAGATGTTTTAACACAACATGTTAAAAAAAGACAAGAAAACATGACTCCTTTGTTGAAATTCTTGTTTTAGAAGGAGATTATTCATGTTTTGTCCTTTAGCTTGAAGTAATAAATTACTAGGTGGCTTAATACGTTTAGATATCGTTTTATATATTATAAAAAAGCCTCGATTGGATGTTTCTGAGTTCTAAAGTATGATAGGGATGTTGTAGTAACCTCACGAGTAATCTCTGCTATTGTGGAAATGTCTTTTTCTTCAGGTTTAATATATCTAACTTGTACTTTACTGAGGAAAATCAGTGACACTTTCATATGGATTCACCTCATCAGTGTCATTCATAACAAGCCAATATAGTTAGCCAATCATAATCCTAGTTATGTTTGTCCAGACATTTCAATAACCACTATCCCACCACTAGAGGGCGCCTGACCCAACAGTGAAAGAGCCTATGAATGAATGAATGAATGAATGAATACTTGAGACATTTTCCATTTACTGTACACAAATTGCTTTCAATCTAAAAATGTATTTAAATGTAATCTAATCAATCAAATCTATAAAAATACTAAATACTAAAACGTCACAATTCACACTGATGCAAATGCATGGCTCAATTTAAAGGCCAATATGGACATATATTACCATTAGGGTACATTTCTGATAAGGTAATATATGGAGTAATGCTTCATAGTGAACCACAGACAACCTTTACCCTGAAAACCTGCATCACATTATCATTATTGTAGAAGATGTTAAACAATAAATTATTGTTAATTGTAGTTGGATTTGTATCATAGACAAACAGTTCAAAGTACCTATTAAATTCATCAGTATTTAATAAAGCCATGTCAGCCATTGTCCTAAAATGGGACCTGAGATGTAAGGAAACCTCTCTAACAAGTCATAATGCTGCTCTAACATTTAAAATATCAACATGTTTGGTCATTGTCTGTGCATGTATCTGCTTACTAAAGCATAAGAAAAGGAGTAATTGTAATAAGGCACGTTTAAAAGGACTGGACATACTTATTGCATTGGTTTTGCAATAAACCAATGTAATAAGCATTGCATTGGTTTTCATATACAGGTTCTTACATTACCTGTATATGAAACAGGTAATGTAAGAAATAAAATAGAAAAAGTCTAATCGACACACTTCTCCTCCCGGAACCTCCTTTCTCCTATCTTTGTAGGAAATGTATACTTATTTTAGAACTGTTTTCAGTATGCTGTGAATGTGTGAGGAAAGGGACATTTTGGATACAAATCAATGAATTTCTCCTTCATCTTCATAGAGCTTGTTTGTATTTACTCATGTCTTCTATCTATTTGTGCATATGCTCAAATGTGGGCTTGTGTCTACTGTGTGTGTGTGTGTGTGTGTGTGTGTGTGTGTGTGTGTGTGTGTGTGTGTGTGTGTGTGTGTGTGATTGTGTGTATATGTAGTGTGTGTGTGTGTATGTGTATGTGTATGTGTATGTGTATGTGTATGTGTATGTGTGTGTGTGTGTGTGTGTGTGTGTGTGTGTGTGTGTGTGTGTGTGTGTGTGTGTGTGTGTATATGTGGCTCTATATGGGTGCAGGGACCTGCTGTCTTCCAGGTCCGGGCTGAGTGGAGAATTTCTGAGAGTGCCAGCGGGTCTCCTTGTACACAAACCAGGCGTTCCCCGCCCACACGAGCATGTTGAGGTAGCCAAACACCTGGAGAAAAAAAAATAGGGATTTTATTATTATTATTATTATCAAATTCTAGGGGGAAGAAAAGACAGCATTTTTGTTATGCGATGGATTTCATATCAATCACAAACCTACATGTTCTTGGATAGTTTGAGGTCACGTGTGTGTTCATTTTTAACACATTTGTTTTGAACTTGTGACAAAATAAATACAGCAGCAGCGCCTGAGGAAAATTAAAGTGTTGTTGCTCCGTGTCTCATGACTGAGAGTCAGGCTGCTTCATGTTTCTGGTAAAATCTTCAAGACTAGTATTTTAGAAATTGTGGGGTGGACACAGGAGAAATCCCCTCTATACTGCTAAATTATTTGGTATTTACTGTGGTAATTACAGCTGAAGTTAATACTAATGAGATCGGTGACAGAAAAATCTCAATTATATATATACATTATATATGTTTTTATATATTTATATTCAAATAATAATTCAAAATGACATGATATTAACAATAAATGCATAAAAAAAGGGCGGCAGGTAAAAAAAAAAAAAGGGGGTCATTGCACATTTTTTGTATTTAATATAAACGGGGACCTTAAAAAATGTGTATAACAATTCCTAGTGTTCTTTCTTGACCTCTTTTATGTTCTATGTAGTTATGCTATGTATTTTGTAACATGCCATATGCTGTCAATAGGATAATCAAGATATATTTAATGGAAAATAAAAATCTATCCAGCATTACAAAAGGCATATTACATTACACACTTTATAACTGTGTGTAACAACACTCACCTCTAATTTGAAATGTTTTAAATCCCTCCATAGAAGGTGGTAAATAAACACACTAATTCCTTTAAGCTAATCCGTGATAACTCTCACCACAGAGATGTTGAGGGGCCGCATGCTGGCGAACTCTGTGACCTCACAGGTGACGTTGGCCCCCCTGCAGACGGCCAGCGTGTTGCTGATGCCTTCAGTGTCCGTGGCATCCTTCACGTTCTGCAGACCCTTCGCCCAGGCGGAGGAACACACCAGCCACAGGAAGACCAGGATGGCTGTGAGGAGGAAGTCCTGGAATATAGAACAGACAGTCAGAAACTAAAGGTAAGATGAGATGGACCCTTATTGATCACCGTAGGGAAATTGAGGTGTTAACATGGTTCACTGAGAACTACACCTGCACACACTAGTCTGTGTTGGATATAGCATGTGGGTTACATGTTGTAACACATGCCCCTTGTTTCTGTTGTTTGATTGTGATGTGCTATATGTGACATGTATGTAGTAACGTGTGTTGTTTATTGTTCTCTTTTATCCTTTCGCCTGTATCTACTTGTCTTTCATCCTTTTTTTTACAACTAATGCTGTTGATGTATTGTGGTGTCCATTATCATTTGGCCGGGGACAACAGCTGGAAATTAGCAATGTTGGCTAAAGCTGCCCCATTTACTGTTTTTTGTGACAGTTGATCAATAGGGACTGTCCACGACACTATAAACATATGAACTAAACTAAACTCCTGGTATAAAGGACTGTCCGAGGTGCTTAGGTGTGCAAAGATAATAATAATAATAATAATAATAATAATAATAATACATGTGATTTATATAGCGCTTTTCCTGGTGCTTAAAGCGCTTTGCTATGTCTCTCACAGCTTGATCAATACTCACAAAGATGGGTCCAAAGTCAGAGTCCTTGTAGACGTGCATGTAGCCCAAATACACCAGCAGAGCCACCATGCTGTACAGGAAGCAGACGATGGCCACGCCCACAAAGAACTCCACGGAGGAGGCGGAGTCTCCCACCATGTGTGTGGTGGTGGCTGATTGGTTACAGAGAGTGGCGTTCCCCTCGATGAGCGGGACCGCGCTCAACCTGGGAACAATACAAGACTGAAGGTTAAAATCACATCATCACATCCTACTGAATTTGTAAAAAATCCCCAAAAAGAGATGTGATTCTCACCTGAACGGGTAGTGAAAGTTGGCATCGAGCGTGTCGTTCCTGCCATCGCCGCAGAACAGAGACATGATGTTCTTCCCTGAGAATCCACTACAGCTTCCAAAAGCAAATATGGCCGTGAGCTGTTTGTGGAGAGAAGAGAGAGAGGGAGATTGGAGAGATGGTTAACACTTATGTGAGAAAATTATACACAAATCAAGAAACTCTGAGATCACTATTCCTGGCTTTTTGTGAATATTTCCAATTATTTGGGCTTTGTTAATGCACATGGATACATTTACGCAAGGATGAGTTTTTGTTTGACTTGTGGAAGATCAACCTCTGCTCCTACTGTATAATCATTCTATAAAAAAAGGACAACATGTTCCCATTGACACGCATTAATACCACAATATTTCCCACAGTTATTGCATGAAATTATGAATTCTTATCTCACAATTTCAGTCTAGAGCCCTGGCTTCAAAAGTGTAATTTTGTACTTTATTCTAATGTGTGCCCTATGGGGAAAATACATATTCATAATTGTCTTGGTTTTGACTTCGGTAATTTATCATAGAGCCTTGCAGTGTTCGATGCAATGCATCCAAAATCAATGTTGTTGCTAAATATTGCCATATCATAGACCGTGAAAGTATTCCCCAAGCATTTACTATTCAAAACATTATTACATTTGTGTGTTCCCAAATCAAAACAACAGTGGCATTATGTAGACAGACATTAATGTTGAAAATGAATGAATATCTGTTAGTGAAGATAAGGACTGAACTTGGTTAGGTTATCATTTTATAGTTGTTTTTTCAATCAAAGGGACTTTTTAAAAAGGGTTAAAGGTGGGGTATGTAATTTATTTCAGAAACACTTTTTGTTATATTCCATGGAAGCACGACCAATCATTTGAGCCGGCCCGGCTAAAATAACTGGATGGCCTACCTGCCTGTCAGCCTTCCATCTGTGCACAAACTTATCTCGTGCCCTCATTGGTCATGTGCGCATTCGTGTGTGTTGGAGGAGGGGCTCTGTAAGGAAGTGGTAGATTTTTTCCGGTTGTGTATTTTCAAATTCTAGCGCACTCGAGCTGGTTTCTCCAAAATGACCTACCCCACCTTTAAATGTTAAAAATGTTTTAAATGGAGAGAATAATCAATATAACCCTAACAAATGAATGTAAAAACACTATCTACTATACATGAAATGGTAAATGTACACCATAAACAACCATGATTGAATTGTTTTCCTTCCTACATACATGTATTTTTGCACAAAACAGTTTAAAAGTGCTGAAATATGTCACCAGAACTTCCCACCAGAAGAAAGTTGGCAGACTGAATCCCAGCATCAGCAGAAAGAGCCAGAGGGACCAACAGATGGCCGGCATTTTACTCCACAAACAGCTGAAAATAAAACTCACTACTCAACCATTTTTACAAGATAAATCTGTTGCTCTTCTTATTTGTATTCTCTAACACACATGTGTCAAACTCAAGGCCCGGGGGCCAAATCAGGCCCGTGGTGGATTTAATTTCGGCCCGCAGGATAATTTTTAATTACTATTAGATCTGGCCCGCCGGTATATTGCACCTTCACTCCATCCTGAGGGTTTCCTCCGCTCAGAGCCTGACCCCAAACATTGATGAACTTGCACCCAAGATGAGATGCCAAGTATCTGGCTTGAACTAGCATCACAGAGCAGCACACTGAGTTTACATGGATGTTTCCTTCTGCACTTTCTTTCTTGAGACAACAGGGCATGTTTGGTTTTTTCTTTGAGGGAAATAGTTTTTTTGAAGCTGTTGTTGGCCTGTGGAAAAATGTAATCATAAGAAATGACTCTGGAAAAGCTGCAGATAGAGCCATAAGAAATGAATGCAACTGATTATTTAATGTTTAATGTTGTTTTTATAGGCAATCATTTAAGCTTTGTTAGTTCCAGGTTTAATATGTGCAATAAGTTCATTTCAATACGTTTTGCTATAAACATTGAACCAGTCCGACCCTCGACTAGTACCCATTTTTTTTAAATTTTGGCCCACTGTGTATTTAAGTTTGACACCCAACACAACACAACAACACAGTCTATAACACCCCTTGTTGTTAAATACCAGCTATGTGCAATATGTGCAATATATATATATGCTGTTAATAACTGTGCAATACATACCTGGCTGCTAAATCTTCAGAAATGTTACATCTATATCTATATCAACAGTTTAGGTGAAAATGTGGATGAAGCTACTTTACATTTTTATGCGGATGATACCGTGATGTATTGTGCAGGTCCCTCCATTAAGGAGGCGGTTGTTAAATTGCAGGCTGTTTTTAACATTATTCAGACTCAGCTCTCTGAACTTAAGCTTCTTTTAAATGTTGATACAACCAAGGTAATGCTCTTTTCAAAAGCTAAAAAGACACCAGAGCCTGTTTTGGATATTGTAACTGCGCAAGGAATAATACTTGAAGTGGTTGCCTGTTATAAATACCTAGGTATCTGGCTTGATGAGTGTCTCACTTTTAAACTTCAGGTCAATAATCTGCTTAAAAAGCTGAGGGTCTAGGTTTCTTTTTCAGAAACAAGTCCTGTTTCTCACTTGAGGCCAGGAAAAGGCTAGTCACTGTGACCTTTTTACCTGTGCTGGACTATGGTGACTTGTTGTATAGGAATGCACCTGCCCATTGCCTGAACAAGTTAGATGCCGCCTATCACAGTGCACTGAGATTTGTCACTAATTGTAAAGCACTTACACATCACTGTACCCTGTATGCCAAGGCAGGTTTGCCATCACTTACTGTACGGAGGCTCAGTCATTGGTACACGTTTATTTATAAAGCTATGTTGAGTAAACTCCCGTATTACATCTGTTCACTGATAACACAGAGAGTTGCAAGCAGCTATTGTCTGAGATCGCATGATGTAGTATTGTTACATGTGCCAAGAGCAAGGACTGTCTTAGGTAAGACAGCTTTTATGTGCGCAGCTCCACTTGTTTGGAACAATCTTCAGCAAGAATTTAAACTGAGCAATTTCATTCCTCTGCATGTTTTTAAGTGAAATGCTTTGTGATACTATGGGTACTTGTAAATGTCGATAACTATGTAAATGTAGCCTGTAAATATAATGTATGATGTCCTTTATTGTTTTATGTTTGTTTTATGTTTCATGTGGAACCTATTTGCTGCAGGTCTCCCTTGAAAAAGAGATTTATGATAAAGGTTTTGAATTGAATTGAATGTGTATTTTGTAAATTGTGTAATATTTTTTTTTTTATGCTTGCTTCTTAGTTAACATTAAGCTGTCTGTGGCTCTTTTCTGCTGTTACAAATTTAAATGTCCCCTCTGTGGGACTAATAAAGGTATTCTGATTCTGATTCTGATAATGAAAATCACAAAACAACATCTATATTTTGTATCATTTTCTATTTTTTCCCCCTTTCATTTCCACATTTGATCATCTGGCATACTGTATGTATTATCAGTAAGAAAACAAATCATTGAGAAGGTTCGGTAGATAGTTTCTCTAACAAATAACATAAAAAGTGTCTCTCATAGCTGAACCAATGCTGCCATTCAGCTGTTGAATGATTTCCCTTAGGAGCAGAAAGCATCTGATTCAGCGTATAGGCCATGTGACACTAATTCCTTCCTTAAAACCGACACATTATACATTCTTGTAGCTGCTGCTAAGCTTAACCCTCAAACTGCAGCAGGCCGCTCATTTTATTCCAGAGTAATGAGCTCACAGACTCCCAGTGGTATCGCTTCACTCACACTGCAGAGATCTGATCTGTTCTCCTCAAAATGTGTTGACAGTTTTCACACATCTTAGACTTTGCATAGTCTCTGCCCGTCATCACACATCCTGGCCGAGCATCTAAGTACAACATACAGCTATTCATACACTGAAAAAACTGAAATATTAAGTTGAATTAAATGTATTATGCCCACATATTAGGGCTGTGCAATTAATCATATTTTAATCGCAATTACGATTTTGGCCTGCCACAATTACGAAAACAACATAATCGAAAAAAACGATTATTTTGCTTTGCTAGGTTGTGACACTGCAATATATTTGATCAAATTTATTTTAGTCTAATTTATTTGTATTTATCATATTTATATATGTTTAGTAGCTTGTGGAAGTGCGCTCCAAAATATTTGTTGATCTTGTTTATTGGTATTTATTATTTTGATATTATTTATTTAAATGTAAATATAAATGTATCATTTATTTTTGTATTGGTTTTTCAGTTGAATTATACGTTCAGGGTAATCAACAGTTAAAAAAATACTGTTCAAATGATTATTTGTTTTAAAGTTCAATAAATGGATGTTTTTTTAAAGTCAATGAATAATCGTATTTAATAATCGTGATATCAATTATTGACCAAAATAATCGTGATTATGATTTTTGCCATAATCGCACAGCCCTACCACATATTTCACATAACTGTATTAGGTCAGTTGAAAGCAATAGTTTTAGTGTAAGATTTAAGATCACACTCGCGAAATACTCACAGAACAGGCATTTTACGCCTTTTGTAATCATGTGTGCTAGGAAACTGAAGTCCGGTTTATATGTAAATCATACAGACAGATTTTTAAATCAACAACAACAATCCTTTTTTTGGCCACCCGGGGGCAGCACAGTAAGCTTTGAACACATTACTGACCTAATAACGCCTAAACAGTTAGATAAGGTGAACTTGCTAGCAAACAGTTGCCAATTTAACACACACACAGTGCAACATTAGCATTCATTTGGAGTGTGTTTCTGAGGTAAGTCTGCAGTAGAATTATATGTTTTTCTCTAGAATAATCAAATAGGTCCCAGAACACATCAAAAGTAGCCCCTTTATCTCAGAAAACCACCAACATGATGGCGAAATTAGGAAAACTGAGATTTTGTTAATTAGCGCTTGAATCTGAAGCTTTTCTATAGACAGGAAGTTGATTACCTCATGACAAATCACTACCTCCTGACATGAAACGGTAATGTTTTTTGTTTCACGCCTCACATAACAAGGTGACAAAACACATGTAACCGACCACTTGAATTGTGTTGCATCAGCACAACTGTATCACACATTCTCACTCTTAAAAAATGCTTACGACAGGCCACCTCAACTTTTAGCCTTGAACTTCACTCCGCAAAGCCCACATGCACACCCACACTTACTGTACATCCACACACACACACCTCGAGGCCTCTCTCCAGATGTTTCTCCAGATGTCATTGGCTGCCACTTCCTGTTTTTCTGGCTACAAACCCACTGTGAGCTACTTTTCACACACTCTTGTTCCCCTGGTTCTGTCACTAAGGTCATGGATCCTCAGCGTGATTAACTGTACCAGGGTGGACCGAACACACACACACCTCGACATTTTTAAGTCAATGTTTATATTCTCATTTTAAACAGAGCATAAATCCTAACTGTACAAACACTGTCGGGTATTTGTCAAGTTTCCAATATCACCATTTAGTCCTAAGACAGGCGACAACTTCTCCATACATGGCGACTTCCAAAGACTGTGGACAAACTGCAGCATTGTCACTGCTTATAAGTCTTTATCTAAGGCATCCGACACATCTGCAAAACAAACAGCCTTAATTTATGGACATTCCAGATACTAGCAAATAAAATCCAAGGAAGTCTTTACGCATAACTGAGCTGTGAGACAGCATTAGCAGGTTAGTGAAAGTAGAAATAAAGGACATTAAAACATTGATTTTGATCAGAAGGGCCGTTAGGATGGAAACAAATCTTGTTGCAAACTGAATAATCATCAGATTTTCTCACACAGACTGACCAAAGACTCCTGGAGCATCTGTCCATTGTGTTACTGTTTCCCTCTGAGGCTCAATGAAGCCGTTTCTCCCTGTTTTGGCAGAGAGGCCTGGCAATGAGAAATGGCTTTAACATCATTATTCAACATCGTAAGTGAATGGGGCAGCCTTGTCTTGTTTGTTACTTCGACCCAGCTTCCTGTTTACTAATGTGTGGAAGATAATATCGAGAAGTGTAGAGGCTAAACCACTCTTGTGCCAAGTACACACACTTTTCATGACGCCTCAGAGGTATGTAGGATAAATGGAGAACAAAATGTTGGATTTTAGTCAATACAACCCGCTGGAAACCCTCCAATATCATTGACATACTGCTTTTTGGGGGTTTTCCCTTTCTTTTAGTGTGTTATATAGGTTTTAGTGCATGTAAATGGTCTGCAAAGGCTAAAATCCCTGTATTCCCTCCAAAGGGATCATTGTAACATAGTGAGATCACTACGTTACACTCAGCTTCTATTGGCTAGCGCTCCAACATCCAGGGGTGGGACATCTCTAAGCGGTTGACCAATCAGAGCAGACTGGGCTCTGGTTTCAGACAGAGGGTGAAAAGAGGTGCTGCAGCACAGGCAGTATTTTAAGAATAAAGAGCTTTTTGAACATTAAAGTATATAAACATGTAGGGGGACTAAATACAAATATGTACCCTGAACATTTGAATAAAATGCACTCTTTAATGTGTTTTAGTCATTGCTACACAATATTAAGTGGGCTGTGTCGCCTGTATTACCACATACACAGTTCATCATCCAGACCTCTGTGAATCACAGATGATGTGTACAGGGTTACCTAAGGCCAACAGAGTGAAACACACAGCTTTGTCCTGAGTCAGATGACTGTGTGCTGCTCTTTAGCTCTCTATGTGGAGAAAACAGAACAGCAGAGAGAGACTGTCGCCCCACACTGTTCCTCTGACCCAGCTCCCTAAGAGAACCGATTACTGGACTTTCCATTAGAAGCCGCAGCGTGTTTCCTCATTAAACACAAACTGTTTGCTCGAGTGCAGGAGCAGCCAACTGTGCACAGTTACTCAGAGGTAAATTATTGCTAAGGGATGCATTAATCTGTAACTGTGTTGTCTGAAGGGCAGGCCCACGCAGGCTCCAAATGCACCGGACATAACTGAGATATACTCACTTTAGCCAAGATTACTTTGCCATGCAGGTGATCCACACTATCAATCCATACAATATAAGATAACCCTTTATTGATCCACTGGGGAGGAGATACAGTCGTTGCAGCAGCACAAATATAAAAATAAGATTAAAAGAGAAGTAAATACAAAAATCTATAACTATATTTCACAAGAAATCTATTTATCTGAATCTATTCTATGAATATTGAAGATCTGGATTTATTATAAGACAGACAAATAAAGTTATACAGGCTATAATAGCCTATTAAAATGGTTAAATATTGTGATAAAGCATAGACTAATGAACATAATAAATGATGTTCATTCTTGTGGGAAAAAGTGTACATCTTAAGCAGGCTTTTTATTCATTTAGTAACGTTTTTTTTAAAGTATGAGAAAAGGGGTAATGTATAAATATGTTATTGCATGTTCTTAAAATAAATTCCCTCTCAAACTGCTTACTTTGGAGATGTTTTCCCATAAGTACAATTCGCCGGGAAAAAGGGAAAATCCAAGGACTTAGAAAAGGACTGGACCTCCCTGTCCTCTGGGTATGTCACACACACACAGCCACACACACTCAGTATCTAACTTACCCACTCCACCAGTTTGATGAAGCCCAGCGGCTCCTTCAGCGGGGACAAGTTCAGTCGAAATCCCGTCATCATGATTTTGCTTTTCGGATCCAAAAACTCTTTATCCAGTTGTTCCTAAAGTGTGGATGTGGGTCCAGCAGGGAGGGAAAAGGGGAGTTGTCCGACAAAATGACGTGGTTTTACTGCCGACGCTGCAAGAAATGACCAACCAAACTTTCTTAAAGTAACTTTACCAAACCACCTGGGCTCTGAATGGAACTTTTTCCAGGAATACATGTTCTGAGAATACAGTTTTACTTGTCGCAGGAAGTTTTAAGAACACATTTTAATTCAAAAATAATTAGTTAAGATGGATATTTTTTGCAGTGTAGCGTAACTGTCTATCGCTTATCTTGGAGATGCGCAAATTACGCAGGCGATGTAGCGCGTAAAGTGTGCCAAATTACGCTTGGCGTTAGAACAAATGTGTGTTAAGTTACAGGAAAGGCTGCATAATGAAAAAGCATGACACTATCTGGCATTTGTGTTCATGCACTAAGCTGAAAAACATGTCAAACTACAAAATGACCGAACAGCGAACTCCTTCAGACAACTTTAAATACACGCAGCTACAATGAATTAGCATGCACAGTAACACCAAAGTAACAAAAAAGGCACCAGAAGTGTCCTACTGAGTGTTCCTCTGATCCATCCGCCAGAACCCGCAGGCTGCCTCCTCCTTGCTGAGTGAGCAGTCACTGGGACCCGCCTCCTTGGTGCTGACTGGGTCATATGACACACCACTCATTCTCAAAAATGTTTCAACAAAGAAAAAGAAAAACCCCAGAGCAGCTGAGCCAGTTATCATAAAAAAGGGTACTTTCAAAACACAAGGCTCCTTGATGAGGGTCCCATATGTTGATTACACTTGAAACAGCATTTTTTAAGGGTAAATACTACACCTTCAAAAGGACCCTTTGTATATCAATAACTTACCAAGTTCTTAAAGAAAAGTAAGTGGGGGCAGCATATATAACAGAAAATGTCATTTACAAAATTCCAAAACAAAGGGGTTGAACACATTCTTACTAGGGATTTTAGCCTTTGCAGACCATTGACATGCACACAAACCTATATAACACACTGCAGGAGAGGGAAATACACATCAAATTGAATGTGGATTATTTAAGATAAATCTTCCAAGATCTGGATTGGATTGATTGAAAGTAAAAGTATACACTTTCAAATGTTTTGTATTCTTTCTATCCTTGATATTGTTCTACAGTAGTTCTAATGAGGTTCTATTAAACCTGAAGAAATAGTTAAACAATGTCTTCCAAAGCTTTTCAAACGCTTACCAAAGTCTGGAAATAACAACCCTGATGACAACATTTTCACAACAGCAAGCCCCTCAATATATGGAAATGCAATACTTGATAGTAAAGAAAAACTGCCACTGTAACTTAAATTGTTATGGTATGAGAGCTGATATTAATCATTTTTTCTGTTAATGGAAAAATGCAGGGATGTGCCTTACAACAAAAGCACATCAACATCGATCAGATCATATTTTGAATAAGGGGCTCTACATGTAACACAACATTACAGTAAATGGTTAGCATTTAAAGTGTTTTAATTTAAGGATAACCCATATTGTCTAAATGGACTTTGGACACATTTTCAGACATTTTAATTAGCAATAACTTGTTGAGACACTAAATATTGGTGACACTTTATTCCACAGCTTCATAAATTCGGAATAATTTACAAGTTTCCTGGAAAGAAGTGTGTCATTTGGTACAATCATGGGGAAAATAGAAGCAGGGTTAAATCAGCACACTTCCAATGTAATCATTTCAACAACTGCAAGGCTCCCCTGCAGATTCGATAAACAACAGGTCGGCTTAACATCTTAACATGCAAATGGAAAATGGGCCTACAGACAGGCAAACTATTCAACAAGTATGAAAAGAAAAGTTAGATAAGTGAATAAACTACTTTTTAGGAGGGTTTTGTAGGAGCAAGGACGTTTTTTTTTCGTATTATGTTTGACCAAATTACCCTCCTCTTTCCAGAAAATAAATTCAAAATAGATCCCTAAAAATAAAAAGAGCCCGATAGTAGCTGACGACATAAGTTATCTAAACAAACGGTGAACTAAATGTTAAATCTATCCTGTACTAAAGGAAATAATATAAATCAACCATTCCAAATTGACAGGGTGGCATCTTTAATCAATGTATTGTTGACAATATAGCAAGTTATGTTAGCAAAGAAAATATCAGTCGTGTTGGGAGAGAATTTTGGGACAACCAACATATACATATGCGTAAAACAACGACATAAAGAAAAAAAAGTATTCACAAACAGTTTGTCAGACACACAAGGCAGGCATTCACACACTTACACACATAAGCACATCGCACTGGCAGTCCAGTAAAGCAGGTTTGGATATTCTTCTGTTGGTACAAAAAATGGTTATGACAAAAATAATAATAGCATTTGTTGTCTCCTCCCTAACTGCCCCTCTGCTTTCAGTCAAACTAGCTGATGTATGTACAGGTGAGAAGGCAGTATGGCCACATCGTTTGTAAATACAAATATTTACTGGCATTTTTCCTTCCTCGAGTCCTTCATACAAAATCATATTTTTGAGGTAAGAACTGAGACATTATCAAAAAATGTTAAACCAGAGTTTTACTAAAATGCACCCCATAATTGGAAAAAGAAATAACTAGGTCTACTCCAAAACTCACAAAACAGTGGGAAAAAACCATAGGAAAATAAAGGAAACAGTCTGAGGTTGTTTCAATGTACTGCTAACTGTGTTGTGAGAGATGGTGACATCACAGGACTCTTCAAGGTCTTTTCTTAAATCACAGAGAAAGTGACTGTAGAGTGTTAGCTCGAGGGGCTAACATGTAGCATACTGTGGTAGCAGCTCCCAAGGTGAAAATATGTGAAGCTATAAATGTAAAGTGGCTAAATGACTGGAAAAGGTGTGGGCCAGAGAATAAAATAATATTACCCACAGCATTAAACATTTAAGCTAGTTAGCTAGCAAACGCCATGCTAGCAGCTCATTAACTTTGACTTAACTTTGAGCTAAATGCTATTGTAAGCATGCTAACATGCTCACAAAGACAATGCTAACATGCTGCTGTTTAGCAGATATGACACATTTATGTATTTATTAAAGATGGAACAATGGACATTCATTAATTTGAGAACTTTAGACATACAGGCTAATTTTCCTTAGCAGCTAACACTAAACTTGGCAGCTCTACCATGTTCACCATCGTAGTTTAGTAAGTTAGCATGCTAACAACTGCTCATTAGCACAACATAACATTTAAGCTAAAGGGGAAAGTTGTTACTTTTGTTGGAATTTAGTGATACATCCAAGTTTACATTTGAATTTAGATAAGGAGAAATTTGGTGAAATATTTTGCTTCTGGTCTGAACAAACAACTTTTTCCTATGATGTCTTTAGCTCACTCTTACATCTCTTCAACAGGAAAATCCATTTACATTGCCCAAAGGATATAACAGTCACTACTGTATCGCCACCAGTTTTTCACCAAGCTGCGTCTCCTTTCAGGATAAAAGCTGGACAAAGTAAAAAGGAAGAATGTTCTCCTTTCCCCCCGAACACCAAGTTAATTTGCATAATAGGAATACTACACAAACCTATAAAGGAAGAAAATCTCAGCACACACACACACACAGCCGAACCAACATTTAACATACATTTCAGCCGAGGAGCCACATAATCTTTCATATACACATAGTCTTCACTCCAGTGAAGAAAATTACAGTTTTTTTTTTTACATCAACACTTGGTCTTATACAGCAAAGACTGGATCCAGAGCATTCACCATCGTGAAGACCCAATTTGAAAATTAGAATTCAAGTCTCGCATTGTCATTTTAGTTTGTAAAGATTTTGGGTTCTGAAAAGTGATGGAAAATTAGGTTGTCATCTTTTTCAGATGTTTATATGACCAAATGCTGGAATTCTGTGGTACGAGTAGACCTCCATGATGTGAATGCTCTGTGGTCAACATAATGGCAAGTAGATGATCATTTGTATACCTTTACAGGTGCACCCATAACATTTTTATTTGGTGAAGTAGGAGTACAAAATATTCAGGCAGTGATAGATGTTGGCCTTTTATAATCTGGGCTTTAGCTACTGATAAAAAGCAGAAAACTGGGGAAATGAAATCCTTCATCGCAGTAAGTCTGCCCAATCTTCTATTTCCAACAATGTTATCGGTGCACCGTTACATACAATGATCATCATGTTCTTCCTTCACATAAAAGACAAAGCTAAGTAGATTCAGACATGTATGTTTTTTTTTTTTAAACAGCTCTGTACACAATACACGGGGGGCGGTCATTGGTGTGGGATGTGGCTTCACATTTAACTTTCTCTCACCGCCTCTCTGTCTTTGACCCACCGTGTGTTTACTCCACATGCAGCCGCCAGGAACTCACTTACAATCATCTCTTTTGCTTTTGTCTTACATGTATCACTTATATATGTATTACTTATATCCACTTAATGGCGGCGAGTCGCATTCTTACATTGGAATATGTCTAGCCTTTCAGTGCAATGTGCTGAAGTTACATTTTGGGCAGCGACGCGTGGGAGTGAAACAACAGTTTGTCGTCATTATCACAACTTCTACCCCTCTACATGTCTTGCAGCTCACTGTAACTCGCACACACTTTATTCTCTCTCCCCCCCCCCCCCTCTGTTGGAGAAACAACAACAGTGTTTGGAACTGAGGGTGAAGACAAGTGAATTTTAAGGGATTTTTGGGATTATTTCAGGGGGTTTTCAAGCTTTGGGAGGGGGATTTATTAGCATTGCACGCCACCTCTGAGGTGTCGACGGAGGCCAAAAGGTGACGGGTTCAGGGGAATAGGGAGGGGAATTTGTTTTTGGGGTCAAAGGGGGATGCTGCACTCAGTGAAATGTTTCGATATCACTGTCCGTGAGCTTGGCATTGTCTCTGACTTCGTCAAATGTGTACGACTTCACGATCTTCCCGTTCTGAAAGACAGTGTGCAGCAGGTCCTGGAGACGAAAAGAGAGGATTAAGGTTAAATGCAAATAAAGAAACTAAATGAAGGACAGTCGAGAAGGAAAAGAAAGGAGAAACAGAGTGGAGTCGAGAAAAGAGGCAGGTCAGTGTCCATGAAATGTATTTCTTTGAGCCAAAAGTGTCTGAGAGTTACTGTCAGCATTGAACTCACCACGCCATACTCCTCCAGGTCGCCTTTGCCCTCCTCCAGGGTGACAAAGTCTCCGCCCTGAGTCCGGTGCAGGGACAGGCGACCTTTCTTTGACCTCTTGTTAGGGTCCGCCACCGGGTCTTTGAACACATTCACCTATACAGCACAGAAAAAAAAATATAAATCACATTTGGAAATGCGAGGGAATGCAAGCAAAGTTATGTGCTGATTTATAAATGCCAAAGTCAGGCATAAACTTTTACTTTTGTGGCAAAATAAAGCTAGCTGCTACATTGTAAAGCATCAGTTCTCACCCCCAGTCCGTTAGTGACCACGTAGCTGCATTTGAAGGAGCAGTTGAGCAGATCTCTGGTCAGTTTCTGCAGCAGAGCCCCTCCGGACCCAAAGGAAATATTCTCAATGGACCACCTGTGCTGCTTCATGCCCTCCACAATCTGAGGTAGAAATAAAACACAGTAACATGTAAGAGAAACAACTTACACCTCCTTGTACATGGCATCAGTAAGTCAGTAGCATGTTTTCAAACCTCTTGCAGTGTGTTGATATCAACTCCGTCTCCCTGTATGACTCTGATGTAAGGAGGGAGAACCTTATAGCCTTTGGAGTTCTCCTCTGGAGTAAACTTCTTACCCAGGATCTCCAAAACCTGAATCAAGAGAGGTTATAACAGAGAGAGAAAAAGTTAGCGTCTTAAATCGAGGTGTTCTTCACAATACTAGAACGGTATTGCCCTATCCTGCTGTTAAAAGCGATACAGTTCCTCTTTTACAAGTACTCAATAATGACAAATACTTAATTTGGTAATGCAATAACAACATTCTGGCTTTGTAGTCTGAATCAAGATGGCAAACTTTTGTTTCAGCATTAACATGTCAGCCCTACAGTTCCCTTAATGACCTTTTCACAATAAAAGCTCTAGACCTATATGCTGTATAACACATTTTTAAGAAGCAACTTAAATAATAGGCTAATAGGCGCTTCTAGAAAACAGCTGGGTGCATGTATCTCAGCTCTGTGACATGTTAAGTTGTAGAGATATAAACTGAAAATTACAAAGTATGAACATTATGGTGCAAGTGTTCAATATTAACGCACCCTAAACTGCCTTGCATTGACACTGTCAGTTGTTTCCAACCCGTCTACCTTGGTATATCTTCTTAATTGAATTGATATTGAGATTATGCAGGTGTCTTATCAAAGTCATTATTTTGGTATTTTTTTCAACACTAATTTTAAGATTCTTAGACTAGCTTTGTACCTTCAGAACGGTATCCAGCGGGTTCCCTGAGTCTGGCCGCACCACCAGTGGAGCGTCTGCACTGCGCGCCACGATCAGCGCCCTCAGGTCCTCCCCCCAGATCTTCTCGCAGGCGTTGTAGATGTCGTAGCTGTCGCTGACGATGGACACGGGCACGTTGGGGAACTGCTTGATGATGTGCTCGAAGGCGTCTTTCTCGTGGTCCTTCCCCCACGCTGTGATGGTGCTGCAGAGAGAACGGAAGATTGTCAGTCATTTTTCTTCCCATATCATCAATCAAAATTATATTATATCGTGGTTGGCTTGAGTGATTGGTCTTTAAATGAAGAAAAACGTAGTAATGAATGAATGGAGACCACTTCACAACATCCATTCAAAATATAGAGATGGATTAAGTGAGAGGTTAAACAGCAAAAAAAGAGAATGCCTAGGCAAGTAGTGAAAATGATGCATATCGGAATTTGTATTTACATTTTTACCTGATTAATGCATATGTAAGTGGGAAATGAAAACATACGACTGAACTGCAACAGGCATTGATCAGATGTTAATACCACAGATCGGCCAGCAGAGGGCAGTGCACTCCAGGTATTACTTTTGGATGACTACAGTAAAATGAAAATACAATTTGGCTTAGGTGTAGTCACCCACACTATAAAAAAGGCCCTAATTTTTGTACTTGTCCATAGAAAAATCAGATCCCAAGACAGTTTCAGTTTTAGGTCCTAAGATAACAAGATATCTGAAAGGCCTGCCAACACCTAAATACGATGAAAGTGCCTGAAATCTAGTTTAAAATCTTTGTTTTGTGATATTCACTGTACGCAGAAGTAATCTCAGGCAATTTTCATTGTGTCAGGATTTACAAAACCTTCTTAAAAGGTAGTGTCTGATTCAGTTACCTTACAGTGCAGATCAGACCTGAAACACTTTAAAAAATGTATTTTAATGTACATTTCTCGAAGATTCTCCAGTTATCTCTCCAAGGCCCTATGATGCTTTGAAGGTGACACACCTCTTCCCTCTACATCAACATCAAAGTGGAAATTCACCGCGACCCATTCCTCTGAGGTAGAAACCACACAGACTTTAGGAGGTGAGCCATTACATAACGGTTACTATGACAGCTACTGCCAGGATCCCACAATGCACTTGTGTGGGGATGAAGGGTGCGCTGGAGCAGCAGTAACTGCCCTGGTGGCTAGGAAGAAGGGACAAGTGCAAAAGAGATAAAGTGTGTGTGTGTGTGTGTGTGTGTGTGTGTGCACAGAAAATATGGATCAGTGCCATAAAACAGCACCCGAGACACGCGAGGGCCAGTGCATGTGCGTCAGGGCAGCAGCCAATCAAAAGCTTCACCTCCAGCCAATCACAGCCCCCCTCACAAAGGGAGGTAGATGAAGCAGATAATTAGTGTGAGGGTGACCATCGGGGAGCAGCATAACACCGACCTCAGCCAAATGACGAGTCAATTCTCACTCATGCTGATCAATTCCCTCCGTCAACAGCTTTGGCCGAGAACCAGCTGTAATTTGAAACACGTTTTCCTATCTTGAAAATCTATTTGGCTTGAGGGTGAAAAAGTTATCTCCCAGACGTGGCTCCCAGCCAGGACATGAAGTATCTCAGCAGAGACGAGTAGAGCCGAGTAGCGTACCCCTGCTGTACCCCTGCTGTACCCCTGCTGTACCCCTGCTGTACCCCTGCTGTACCCCTGCTGTACCCCTGCTGTACCCCTGTGCACTCTGGGAGAATGTGAATGCATTATGGCGACCATTAGCATTGTGGACAGGAGTTTGCAGCCTCTGGGGGCTAACGTTCTGCAAACCTAGCACGTACCCTCAAAAAGATTGGCTTGTCGTCCCTCCCCGAATTACTCAGATGCTCAACGTCTTCATCATCCCATCACTTGACTAGGGAATCAGCACATCCCTCAGAACGCTCAACAAACTACTAATGAGTGGTGCAGGAATGAGTCCTTTACCCAGAAATAAGTAAGTAGTAGTAGTTGTTCTACTAATCGCTAACAAGTTGCTAAATGATGCTACTTAACGTCACCGAATATTGTCCGTTTATTTCAGAAACGTTGATTCTATGTTTTATTTGTCTATGATCTGGTGTGAGACGATGGAGACAATAAAAACAAAGGGATGGCACTCATTCAAATATTCAAGATGGATGTTCCACATAACTGGTTTAATAGATACAACTCCATACTGTGTTGAAGGTCAAGCATTTCTCAAAGGTTATATCCAAGTTAAGGCACATTCTTAATCTTGAAAACATAAGGGTTAAATGTATCTTTCATACTCCTGAGATTTGCTATGAATTCTGCTTGACTACTCCTGCACTTCATACTTGTACCTACAGCCAAGTTCTTCACAACTAAAATGTATTATAAATATTAGTGTTTGGGTTTCCTTTATTTGCCAGACACGGACGCATTTCATAGAATTAACAAACTACTGATGAGCTGATAACCAGTTCTATCACCAAGAGAAAAAGGTTGCTTGGTCTAATTACCAAAACATTGTAATTTCTTGTTTGTTTGACTGTTATTACACCTGAAGGATTGTCCTTCACTAAGTCAATTATGCCTCTGTTACGAAACATCCCTTCTGTTATTGTAGAAAGTTCATGAACATTGTATAAGAAGGAGGACAATGAGAAGGGGAGGGTTTCAATGTATACTGTTCCCTTATTGCAAAGGTTTACTACTCCCTGTAACTGCAAGCATATGTCATTGTAACTGGTGAAATGTTAGTGTTAAGCTTTATGAACTGCTACCAGTAAACCTGAAGCTAAGGGATGTGGCTACGCAAAGAAACACCCAGTCTCCAAGCAGGGACTAAGCTTTAATAAGCATAATAAAATAAAAGTGTGTGTGTGTGTGTGTGTGTACCTGTGCTCTGCGGCAGGCACTGAGAAGCCGGGCACGGGGTCCTTGGTGCCGTAGTACTTCTTAATGACTCCGATGCCGGCGACCGTGTCTGTGCCCTTGAAGTTCACCAGATGGGCCGAAGCCCCGATGCCCGCAGTCTGCAAAGAGACAGAAGATGGTGTCATGGGATAAAAAGTTATTTCTATATCATCTAAATTCTAAATGACCTTGAAGCTGCTCGCTGTGGCTGTAAATGCTTTGGCTAACTGTTGTATGACTTGTGTTGTGATTGTGTGTTTTAAAAATAGTCTGAAACTGTGCCGTTATCATTCTTGGGCCAGGACTCTCTTGAAAAAGATATTTTTAATCTCAATGAGACCTAGCACATTCTATGGACAATCTTGCATTCCCAAAGATATTGATATTGAAGTGACTGTTATTTTGTATATATTGATTGATGTGTTTTTTATCTTAATGTGTGCATATGTGTAAATGTGTCTGTTGATTGTGTATATAGGATATACATATCTGTATACTGTATTTTTGTATTTGGGATTGTTGGAAACGTCATTTCGATTTCTCTGTCTGTACACACTAACTGAAAGGTTGACAATAAAGTTGACTTTGATCCTGGTTAAATAAAGGTAAAATAAAAAAATAGATATAGTTTTTAATTTCACACAATTTTTTAATGCCTCCTAAGATTGAGAAAAATATTTCACAATCTACTAATACGCTTTTTCCAGAGGTTTGATACATAGCACATTTGTCAAACTACTATTTCAAAAGTCCTTTAGTGTGGAGGAAATATGAAAACCTGCTTAATTCTAACCGTTTATTCTTCTAGATAACTGAGCTCACTTCAGTCCGTCCCATCAGACTGTTCGAAACTATCGAAGCTCAGGAAAGTTGACCTTGAGTTAGGACTTTCGAGCTACAGTTTCCAAAGTCAGGAATTCCCTTTCAAGTTCAGGATTATGTTTGTAAAAATGATTTCATGATAAATACAGTGTGAGTGTACCTCCTGTGAGGAGACGCCCCTGTAGCCAAAGTCATGGAGTTTATACGCCAGCTTGTCCAGGTTCCCAGAAGTCTCCAGGAGATACTTGGCGAGGATCTTCTTCTGCTCTCTGGAGTTGGTTGCCACGGTGATGGGGTACCAGATCTGCACCAGGATGGTCTGATGGAGGGAGGGAAAGAAGGACAGTCCAGTTTAATTTAATTTCAGGGTGACAGATCACTTTCAGGCCCATTCATCTTAAAGGTCACCTATTATGCAAAATCCACTTCTTCATGTCTCTTCTACATCAACATGTGTCCTCTCTGTGTAAAGAGGTTCTGATACTTTATGATGTCATAACGATGTTTTGGCTTGTGTAACCATTAGCCAATCACCAACCAAGGTAACCACCCCCTTATCACCTGAATCTCCTCCTAGAGCACCATTGTGTTATTTTTAACCAAATATCTCTCAGAGGGGCGTGGGGAGGGGCTCCTTATTTTCATCTAAATTAACAGACAGTGGCCGTTTCTCAATCGCCAGTACGCTTGCTTGGTAGCACATGTCTTCCGAGTCACTTGCTTCAGAAGCTAGGCAAGAATCCTTCCTGGCATTCGGAAAACGAAGAGTGGAACAGGCTAGCAAGTGTGCAGGTGTGCGTCATATGAGAGGCCCCGCGTTACATTTTCCGCCACAGATTTGGGGAAATTGGTCCGTGCGCAAAGCATTGTGGGGATTTTAAGGACGCGAAGTCTACCCATGTGCAGCCTCGAAATTTCCCCCAAACCAAGGACGCGGCCTCGGTGGAATTCCAAGTATGCTGGACATTGGAACGGTCCTGCTGCGCCACTTGATGACGTAGCATCCTTGAAATATTGGCTTGGAAGCCAATATCCTCGCAATTGAGAAACGGACAGAGAATCAGCACTTTTGAAACAGGGCTGAAACAGAGGGGGTTATGGGATGCTGCAATGATCTGTTTGGTGTTTGGAGCCAAACACTTCAGAGACATGTTTTGTATATATCTGAGACCTGTAATATATTGATGAAAAACAGTATAATAGGGGACCTTTAAATCCTGTGATTACAAATTCATCTAAAAACACTTTTCAGAGCCTATTAGGCCGGTTTAATCAAACATTAAACCTAAGTCAGCATAAGTCGCAGCTGTTTTTTCAGCCCTGAACGGACCAGTGAATACGAGTATTTAACTCGTCTGAATACCCCAAACTAACGGGCTCAGAGGGATCAGAGGGGGCCGCTCATTCTCACTGCAAACATACATTCCTCATGTCAACTCTGACCACACTCAAAAAAAGTGGATTATCTTCTCAACGTCCTCACCGCCAGCTTGGAAATCTACTACTAGCAAGCCACATGAATGTCTGGGAGCAAATTAATGTTATATGCTACACAAATATGGCCAGGATCCGTTGAATTTTCAGAATATTGGGTTGCAGATTATAATTTTTCGGGTTCGATAAGCTAAAAAAGAAAGTAGAAAGAAAGGGAAGTCAAAGAAAACTAGTTCTGCTTAAAAATTAGCAATGACACCGCACTGTCACTTTAATTCATGTTTCTTTTGTTATTCATGTTTTATTATCTTTGAGTGTTTTTAAATGCCATTTTATAATATGTTTCTTGATGCTCTTAATGTCTTTCATTTTTGTAAAGCACTTTGAATTGTCTTGTGTTGAAAGGTGCTATATAAATAAACGTTGATTGCCTTGCCTTACTAGTGCTGCACGATACAGAAAAAAATACTGCCATAACAGAATAACATGAGATGTTTTACAATTATTCATGTTTGTATTAATCATTATCTGTATCAGGGCTGCAACATTAATGAAAATGTAACGGAAAAAGCAATTATGGACTCGTGCAATATCCAGATAGCAGTAAAATCAATGTTTGTTGAAAGCTTAATATATAACAATATCACTCTTAATTAAAGGTCCCATGTCATGCTTTTCCGGTTATTACCCGTCCCCTTGTGTGTTATGTAGGTTTCTCTGCATGTAAACGGTCTGCAGAGTCACAAACCCTCAAAGTACACCCTGTAGCGAGTAAAAGTCTAACACAGAAAAGACCCGTCTATGCTGCCCCAGAACGCCTCGTTGGAGATTTCTCTTTTTCTTCCTGGTACTAAGTGACGTAACGACGACCCAAATGGACCAATCCGCGGAGCCGTGAGCACACACAGACTCACAGCCAGGCTGCGGGTGTGTGTGTGTGTGTGTGTGTGTGCTCGGGCTGGTTTCGGGCTGGGTTTCGCTGTCTCGCAGACCCCACGCAGCCACCAGGAAACCACACCAGTAAGCCAGCTCACACTGTCCGCTCCTCGCAGCAGCGAGCCGCGCAACGTCCCGCCAACACGGCACCCAGACCCCACGCCGCATTCTCATCTGTTTGTCATTACTGGTGTCATTTTCTGGTTGCCAACGCCATTGTAACACATAATCACTGATGTTCTGCTGTAACGGTGGTGGACTCATCAGAACAGAGTGGGCGAGCTGACCAATCAGAGCACAGTGGGCTCACAGGGAGGGGGGGGGCAGGAGCTCCAACTAGCCGTGTAGGACAGAGAGTGAATACACATACTATACAGAGATGCTGTATGAGAAACCAATGTGAGTTTGGAAAATTGAACAATGTAAATCTATTCTAGTAGACCTCAACAATGGAATTATGATCAGTAGAAATGGCCATGACATGGGACCTTTAAGTTCTGTGGTGTAGTTCTTTGCTACAGTTCAGATTAAAACAAATCCCACCATGATCATTTAATATATCTTGCCACGATAATGTGATGATAATTCCCTCTAAAACGGCAAATAATATCCCAGCTTCACATTATTACATCAATAATAATTTAAATTAGATGCATCATGCAGTCCTTCCTTTTGAATTCAGTACGTGTCTGACTATCTGTGCTTCTTTACATATGTCAACGTCTAATCTAACACAAACTGTACCCTATTAAAAATCAAATGTTGTCAAAGTAAGCGTCTAATTCAAGATACATCACAACCACTCTATTTCTAGTTAAGGAAATTAATCTAATATGGTTCATACAAACTGTTCTCGCAACATTTTCATGTGTGTTTAATAGGAATGACACCTTACTATGTGTTTGTGGAACGTCATTAGAAGCAGATTAAGAGCTTTACCACCATTTAAGAACCAGGAAGTAGAGATTTCTGCAAACTTTAACTTTTTCAAATTCCTCACTTAACTCTGCCGACTAATACTATGCAGTGTGTTTTCACAGGTCACATGCCTCCTCAGACTTAATCATAATCTAAACCATAAAATCATGTGACTGCAGAGAAATGCCAACACCCACCCGAACACACACACACACACACTAAAATAAGAGTTTTTGATCATCCTGTGATAGTTTATCGGGGGGGGTTATTTCTCTAAAGGTTACCATGGGGCAGTGATACGGTAAAAACCACACTCAGGAGGACTGTGTGCACACAAACACGTGCCAACATATCTTCTAAGTCAATGTCCCGTAACAAAATGGAGGGAGATAAGGGACGAGAAGCGGGTGAGAATAAGAGAGGTAAAAGATCAAGAAAGACGTAAAAAAAAAAAAAGACTGACAAGAAAATGAAAGTAAAAGAAGAAGCGACAGCATGGGCAAAGGGGAGAAACAACCTAAGTGCACCGAGCTAAAGGCTACGGCTAATTATACATCAACCATGAAGCATGAGTGTGTGTGAATGAATGTATTTATATCAGCCGTGGAGATTGTGTGTGTGTGTGTGTGTGTGTGTGTGTGTGTGTGTGTGTGTGTGTGTGTGTGTGTGTGTATGTGTGTGTGTGTGTGTGTGTGTGAGTGTGTGTGAGTGTGTGTGTCGTAATTGTGCTCGTAACTGTATTGAAGCCCTTTCACTGGTGTATTTAGTCTTTATAGTTTGGTCTATGTGTGTGTACCTATAGATCAAAATATGTCTGGAAACACAGGGCTACTTCACTGAAAAAGATTTGACAGAAGATAGACTTATCAAAGACACATATGTATAACTTACAAGTGTTCCTTTGTATGCTTTCTTTTTTGCATCAATGGATGGCAACAAAGACGGCTTGTTCTTAATCATCTTCTCAGAAAACCATCAGGCTCCACATGATATTCATGAATGGGGTGAGAGAGACAGACCGAGAGGGAGGCAGAATGGAGATATTGCAGCTTACGGTAAATGACTTTCGCTGCAACGAGTCATTGAGGACAGTCTGTTCATGCAGCATTAAGTGCAGAAGATCTTCGTCTCGGGAAGGACTCAATGTAATAAACGCAGCGCCGAGGAAGCTGCATCCGACACCAGCCTGCCTGCTTCAAATCACTAAAAGCTTTTTAACTGCTGTACTCTTTCTGACAAAAAAAACCCCACCGACGTTATGTTGTTGATATCTTTTAAACATGTTTCGCCACGACAGATGATCACAGGTGGTTATATTCCCTTTTGGCATCTGATACCTCATTTGACATTTTGTGAGACATGCCGTTTAGCTTTCTTGCCAATAATTGGATTAAGGAGGCCCTATTTTGCTTTTAGGGGTTTCGCTTTCATGTACTGCGTTTTTGTGCATGTAAATGATCTGCAATGGCTGAAATCCCAAAGTGGGACATCTCTATAGGCCTGTCGCGATAAGCAATTCATTGACTTATCGTACGATAAATACAAATGAACTCGATAACTTTTCTGACCTCGATAAATTGCCGTTTACATGCGTGTTTGTTTACATAAAGATGTGACCAGCATTTTAGCCAGGCTGCCGGCCAAGGCGCGCTGTGAGGGGCGGGGCTCACACACAGCCAGGTCAGGACACTACGCGTGCAACAGCCAAATTAATAACACAGAGACAAGCAGGAGACAACGTGTGACTTACTCGAGGGGAATTTGAAGTTAAATGGAATTGGTTGCAAAACCTAATTCCACATCTTCGGTGTGGGAATATTTTGGATTTAAGCTAAATCAACGAGGCGAACCTACGGACTTGAATGAGCCGGTATGTCGCATTTGTTTTCAAAAGCTAGCAATACGACCGACCTTAAACTGCACCTGAAACACAACCACCCCATTCCGTTTTCAACCAGCCCCCACCGTCCCGACGAAAACATTTTTTTACTACTGCATTTTCACAAATGCAATTGCGTGTTTTGGCCACAAGAGAGCTCTGTTTTCCAGCCTGAGTCTATTTAATTGATTGTTTTGGTTGTGTGTGATTTATTTAATTAATCTTTTACAATTGAATTTATTTGTTTTATTTATTATATATAATTTATATATTATTTCACATTTCATTTGCAATGTTGAATGTTCAATAAAAAAGGATGTACTTGAATTATTATGATATATTATCATTATGTCAGTGGTCTAAAATGGTCTTACAACGGTGCCGACAATATTATCGTTTATCGCAATAATTTCCGGGAAAATGTATCGTCCAACAAAATGTATTATCGTGACAGGCCTACAGCTCTAAGCAGTTAGCCAATCACAACAGAGCCGGCCAGCTAACCAATCAGAGCAGACTGGGCTCTGGTTTCAAAGCATGGAAACATGTCACAGTAGAGACACAAAACAGAAATATGAACCTGAAAATGTGCATTATATGTCCTAACTGCACCAGAGCAGCTTCTGTAAAAATATATAAGCCTACATTTTTAACCAACTGGTCCTTCCTCTCTTAAACGGCCTTTAATAAAATTAAAACGTAAAGTGAACAAAGTTGACACACATTCCTTACACTTACATGTTCAGGATGATTTCAAAGCCTCAGAGAACAGAACATTGTTCGAGTCAGGGCGATGATTTAGGACTGAAATTATTTTAACATGGATGTTTCTAGCACTCTTCCTCCTGCAGTTACAGTCCATCTCTAAGCGGTAGTTCAGCAATAAGCCATGGGGGTGAGATTTAAGAGGAGATACTGTAAGAGGTGTCGTTGGGCGTGCTGCCAAGCTAAATAGTTTACAGCTTTTATAAAACTGTTAATTCTCCATTGTGATCAAAAAGGGCAGTATTTAGTCTTAAATCGATAATCAAATAAAGATAACCATTAAAACACACTGATATGCCTAGCAATGAAGTTCCAATGGCAATTTAAGGAGCACATTAAAGTCTCAACTGTTATATGAGGCCAGAAGAGTCAAGTCAGATTCATAGCTTGTGTGGTTCCAGTTTTAAAAACACTGAATTAGACCCCTCCCAGCCCGATGCACTTTCCCTTATTGACTTAGGTGTCTTCTCAGGACCTAAGATAAACAAGAGGACGGACAAAACAAACGTACCTCCACCCAGTTGGTGAGCCAGTAGCATTCAGGGTCCGTGCTCTCCACCGTGAACAGGACGTTGCCCCGAGGGATGACACTCCCCTCGGGCACTGCCTTGATCTCAATGGGCAGGTGGCCGTCGTATTTCTGTAATCACACACACACACACAAATATCCCATTCAGAATCAGGTGTACACTGTGTGGACTGGTAGGTCTAGGATGGGTTAAATGAAGTGAACATGTGTTTCATTTCGTGATTTGGTTTGGATATGTTGATGCAGAAAGCCTAAACAAAGGAAAGTGACACATTTGGAGGCGAATTCTGGTGAGATTCAAACTAACATATGTGGAAAGGCAGTGAGATCAGGCCAAATATAGATACTTCCTGCATTTTAAACCCTGTTCAAAGCAAATGTGGTGTTGCATTTCACACTTAATAATAATACATTTGATTTCTAAGCGCTTTTTCAGGTGCTCAAAGACATATTAAAACAGCAACACAACATTATTCACACATTAAAAGCCAGTCTGAATAGGTGTGTTTTGGTCAGTGTGCAAAATGTGTGCAATGGGCAAAAGAAACTAAATCTAGAAGTAGCAGATGATACCACTAAGAAATATTTGTCTGCTTAAAATGGTCCGGTATGTATAAGTTGGTTCAAAGCTGATCATAATGAAGTGATCTGTGAGAAATGATTACAATGTGATTTAGCAATATGTCAAGCAGTAACCAAAGGAGTATAATTTAGAGGTGATTAACACTTCACCTCTCTTGAGAGAAGGCTTTGTCAGTACAGCTATGTGCTCTCTCCAAGGTGCTGAAACAGTTCCTCTCAATAACCAGAAATATGTAAAGCACATTTTCTCTGATTTATTAAAAGGCTGTGATTCATTTCCAATCTGACTTTAATCTCCAACTAGCTTTTCTCTCCCTCTATGGAAATCCGCAGCACTAAATGTGGTTCAGATTTCTCTCTTTGCGACGGCTTTTATTACACATGCAGAACATATTTCTAAAAGACTATTAGCCACCCTCTGGAAACTTCTGCTTTGTGTATTTATAGCCCCACTTTGCTGTAGCAGACTGTGTCCCTTATGACAGTAATCTGATTACAAGCTTGCTCCGTTATGTGTGTCGTGACTGTGTGAGTTTACATGTCCAACACAGACCGTTAGCCTTCAGTATGTGCAAATATTAAAGGTCCCCTATTATACTATATTTTCATCAATATAGGTCTCAGATATATACAAAACATGTCTCTGATTGGCTGAAACACCAAACAGATCATTGCAGCATCCCATAATCCCCTCTGTTTCAGCCCTGGTTCTAAAGTGCTGATTCTCTGTCTGTTACTTTAGATGAAAAATAAGGAACCCCTCCCCACGCCCCTCTGAGAGATATTTGGTTACAAAGAACACCTTGGTTGGTGATTGGCTAATGGTTACACAAGCCAACAAATCGTTATGACATCATAAAGTGGGCAAAATCTGATCAGCTCATTTTCAGACAGGTTTTTATATAAATGGATCAGGACAAAAAGAGAGAGAATCTTTTTTCCGGAAACTTCCAGAATCTCTTTACCCAGAGGGGACACATGGTTATGTATAAAAGACATGAAAAAGTGGATTTTGCATAATAGGTGACCTTTAAAGTGTACTAGCACCACAGTATAATGATCTAGTTTCAACTTTCCCCTCCATAAACCTGTAAAATAGTATCCTGTGGAATCTCACTAATATGCATGACAACTCGTTACTAGTATTATGTTGAAACAAAGATTTGTAGGCGCAGTCTCTTACCTCCAAGATGTAGTTCCAGCCCTTCTCGTTGAAAACATCATCCTGGAAGTGTTCTCTGTAAACCTCCTTCGCCTCCTGGATCTTCTCTGGGGTCACGACCTTTCCTGGAGAGGAGGAAGGGCAAAGAGAGAGAGAGAGGAGGTTCAGAAAGTGATAAGAGTGAAGGGACTGGAACGCTACTGTCCTCTGTAGTAATGAAATTAGAGCTGAAAAGGCCTCTTTATTCAAACACACAAATGTACCTCCTTTCAAGTTTTCAGACCATGGAAACGTTTGCACACAACAAACCAAAACAGAGACAAATATAAACAAAGCTTGATATTGTTGTATTAAAAAGGCAAACAGCTAGCATGGCTCTGTTCAAAGCTAATAATAATAATAATAATAATAATGTCTCTTCTGTTGCGTCTTAAATCATGGTGATACAGGGGGATGTCTGCAGGACTCATGCCTTTTGTTAGTTGCCTGGCAACATCAAAGATAAAATGAGAGAGTGAATAAAAACCTTAAAAAAAGAAAAGAGGGTTTTCTTAATGACGTTTCTTTAAAATCTTATGGTAAACGGGTTCCTTTTTCCTACTTGTACGTTTCCTCCGGCACCTTCACTAAAGTACAGTTAGAGAAGATTTAAATGCACTCAGTCATGATGCACCCTTTTGGGTCCATAAGCAGGAGGACCGGGGGACGCATCTCTACCGGCCGTGCTCCTCATTGAGCTGTGAGGGACGCTGAGTGCAGACAGCTGGTGTTTCTGCCTCGTACGGTGGAGAGCAGCTGTGCTTTTGTCTCCCTCTCGCTCTGTTCTGCCTGTCTCTCCGTCTCCCCCGCACCTCTGCTACCGCACCGTGAAATCCTCTTAAGAGACAGGAGGGGGGGGGGGGGGGGGGGGGAGACGCATGCCTTCTTTCTTTTGACTCCTTCTCCTGCTCTCTCTCTCTCTCTCTCTCTCTCATGCCCCTCGGGATGACGCCGACAAACGTCCAAACTAGTTAATTGAAGCGCTGCATTATACTCGCTTATCGTTTCCTTCTTAACCTGCTGGCTCTGTGCTGCTAATCATCCCGAAGCACCTTCTTGTAAAAAGGAGTGTCTCTGCAGGCCACAATAGAAAAGCACCGGCCATGTTGAAGTGTCCTCAAGCAATGCACTGAATCTAGAGCGGTTCTGCAGATGACCTTCCCCTACTTGTGACCTTGTCCTGGAAAAAAAATGCTCCCACGGAGACAAATAGCGCATCATAAAAGGCTTTTGGTATGTGGCCTGGTTGTAAAGGGAGACTCACTGGACAACAGCAGGACAGAGTGCTCCCGTATTTGACTTGTTTAGTTGACTGGAAGCCCATTTCTATTAGCACAAACATGAAGAATCATTAACAGAGGTAAAAACTAAAAGCTGCAAAGTCATTCAATCTGGCTTCAGCGGCTGTTGCTCAAGGGGGTAACTAAGTATGCAGCGTGTGGTGATGTCTGCAAATCAGAGGGTGAGCAGCTCGATCTGACAACATGTGAAACTACATCACAAAACAGGCGGAAGTTTTTAGAAGCATCATTTAATTGTAAATCGAGACTGACCTTTCAGGTATTTGTTGAGGATGTACTGTAGGCCGTAGAAGACGGTTTTGTCATATTTGACTTTTCTGCTTTTGGTGGGATCGGTCCTCCGCTCACGGCACTCGAAGTAGGAGTACACTTTACTCGTGTTGGGGGGGGTACTGTTTGTAATGCGTGACCTGCAGAGACAAAGAAAACATGAAGGGGATTAGACAGATTATCATGGCAGTTTAAAATAAGCAAACTGATTTAAAAATATTTCGATTTTTATATCATTTCTTAAATGTTTTCCCCATTAGGGGTTTGTTTGGGGAGTTTTTTCCTATCTACTGCAAGGGTCGAAAAGGATGAATTTTTAAATCCCTTGAAGCAATTTTCTGACTGAGCCTAAATAAATAAAAGGACCTTGACAGTTACCAGAATAACGCGCTGTGCTTGTGCACTCAAATAAGCTCATGTAGGTAAAGAAGTGTGCAAATGAAGACACAGTGTATTCCCTGAACTGTATGGAGGTTTTGAGTCATCCACGGCTTGTTAAATCTTGACACCTCAATAAACAGTACCGTAGTTTCAGAGTTTCACAATGTATAAATACTGATACAGATACACCTTTCAGGGGAAGTGTTGAAACCCTTTATGTAAATTCTCAAACACCTTCAAGATCACATAGCCTAGCATTTTTTAAGACCCCATTTACACAGGAGCGCAAACGGACGGAATTCGTTATAAAAAAAAGTATTCCGTTCACACGCATTCAGCTCATTTAACGCGTCCGTTCACACGAGACCACTGGAAACGCTGTAGTACATATGCCGGGCCTGTAAATGGCGCTGTACTTCGGCCACAAAATACACCAAAAGCAGCGAAGAAGACCCCCGAGCATCTTCTGTTTATGCCCCGCGGTGGAATTAGCAACATGTAGTTCATGTAATTCTCCATGTCCACTTGTTGCTGATGGTTGTGGTAGAGGAGCTGTACATTTTGCACTAACATCTGTAGCATGGTCAGTAGCTACTGACAGTAGCTACTGACCATGCTACAGCAGTGAGCAGCAGAGGTGGGGAGAGGTGGAGCTATGGCTTCATCGTTATCAGGAAATGATCGTATAGGACGTACACACGGAGCCGTTTGCCCCCCCCAGAGTGTTCCGTCAGCAGAACTATCCACCTTGGGACCCGTTATCGTTTGCGGGGTCCGTTACGGCGGTTCTGTTACGGCCTCGTGTGAACGAACAGGCTATATGCTTGAGAAAAGTAGCAGATACAACCCGTTTCGTTCTCGTGTAAACACTGCCTAAAGCTGCTAGATAACATGGAGTAGTATGAAATGCAAATATAAGTCTTATCACATATTGTTGTCGGACGCCGAGACAGTTTTGGGCTGCATACGCAACAACGAAAAATATTTTCAAAGACTTCGAATTCAGTTCAATTACAACAGACGGAGCTATTCACGGTCACAACTCAAGGATCCCGGCGCAAAGCCGTTTTTGTTTATTTTATCAGTGTTTAGAGCTCTAGTTCAACAAAACACCCATCAATCAATATATTGTGTTAAGTCAAATAAGACTAAATGTCTTCTCCCACACATTTACTATTATTATTCCCTTACCACAATCAGTGGTGCATGTTTCTAGTGATTTGCTTATCTACTGTCAACTGACTGAGACAAAAGAAAGTGTGTGCCCAGGCTTGTTCCTCACTCTGACAGAATACACCCGATGAGGGGGAAGTGTACCACACAGAGAGGAGAAGACAGTCAGCTGGAGCCATCTGGACGAGAATTCAATCCAAAATGAACCCAGGGATTTCCACTGAGAACACCGGGGCATCTCGGGGTCAACTTCCAGAAATAAGGTCCACAGGTTGATGGGAACGACTACAGATAACTGACTTATTTTGTAATGGGATCTTTCAGACTGATCTGCTTTCAATAGTTTACTTGCAATAGCAATTTAGAATCAGAGACGGCAAGGGTTCAATCTTTCTATGTGATAAGCTGCATTCAGTGGACATTAAACGTAAAAAAACTGTACATCTTACAGTCGCATCTAGGGAATTCTACTTAATAGAACTGATAAAGGAGGACATCAAAGATCAAACAAGGGTTAACATAAGTCATGGGTTTGTTCTAACCTTGGTTAATACTTCATTTATGTCGCAAGCACAGGAAAAGTATAGATCACAATCTAGAAAAGTAGGCATTCGAGGATCAAAATAGTTATTTCCTAGTTGGGCAAAAAGTTTGAATTAAATGTTAATGAACTACTCAGTTTCTTTGACCCTGTCTCTGTCCTTTCCTCTGGGCTTTCGTGGACTCAAAATAGAGTCGAGTGTCACACAACATGACACTGCGCTTGACCGCGTGTGTGTGTGTACACATTCACTGGCCCACATGCCCATGGAGATACACAAACACACACAATATGTAACCATCTCTAGTTTGCAAGCTGCACCATCCAGACCTCTTCAAGCATTATCTTATAATCACCATTTTCTGATCTTCTTCAATACATCTCTGTGTGCTTAGAAATCAACTCGGTTTCACTTTCCTTCTCATTATGCAACAATATAGCATCATAAAAAAAAGAAAGAAGGTGAAACGTAGTTGATATTAAATCACACTGTCTTGGTCATAGAGTTTTATTGAAGCTGCACAAATTAATGTTCAATGTTTTAGGTGTAACTTTACTTGTGTGTTTTCTTAACCCTCCTATTGTCTTCGTTTCCCCCCCCCCCCCCCCCCCCCTTACTTTGGTGTTCGCGGTCAAATTTGACCGGTCCTGTTTTAACTGCTATACATTAACACAAAAACCATTAATCATCACCACATTTCATTTAACACCCTTTCAAACTGTAAATATTGTATCAGACTGCTGGTATACATGAGAAACTGCAGTAAATATACAAAGAATAGACACTGAACATGTATTGCGTGTGCCAGGTGTGATCCATGTGGGGGAGGGGCACATAAGAGCGGGAAATGTGTCAAATTGTTCTGTGTGTGTGTTTGTGTGTGCCAGGTGTGATTCACATGGGGGGGATTGGGCACATAAGGGGGGGACACATCTAGAGTATGTGTGTGTGTGTGTGTGTGTGTGTGCGTTTTATCTGATCCGGATGGTTACTAATTCCTTTTCTTTATGGCGGTCATGTGACCGGGAACACCATGGGTGTTACAAAGTTGACTAAATCATCCAAAATTCAATGAAAGTGGTGATCAGCAATTTTATATGTTCAAATGTCTACTGTGAAGGATATCATAAAGCCTTAATGCAATCGAATGTAAAAAAAAAAGGTTATGATTGATGAAAGTAGTAAATCGGTCAGATTTGACCGAAGACAACAGGAGGGAGTCGTTTGTGCTGACAAATCCACAGAGACTCTACAGTTTCCCGAAGCTCATTGGCGCGTTTTGACGTCTTTCAGCTTAATGTTTTGGTTTTCTGCCAGTTAACTTCCTGGTTTTGGTTCATTTAGAGTTCACGTACAGTCAATTTTAGCGAAAAATGCTCTGATATGCTAATCTTTCACTTAGAAACGCCTCCAAATACATCTTGAGGTTTCGGTGATTCCCAGAAATCTGCAACAGTAACTCTAGTGTTAAAAAAATTATTAAGATTGCCAGTTACATTACATTCATTTCGATACTTAAACTATATTAAACTCCATGTCTTTGGGTTTTGGACTAAAACAAGACATTTGAAGACGTAGTTTGGGTTGTGATTGTCATTTCCATCATTTTATGGACAAAACGATGGAAATAATCAGCAACAATGAAAACAATCATTATACAACTTGAACTCGTCTAGAGAGAAGCTGACTCAGATTAACATTAAGTGTCACCTCTTATCTTCTGACTAAGTTTACCATCCACCTCCTTATACTGCAATATTAAACTCTGATGGTGGTGAAGCAATTGAGAATAACACATCATATAGAAAGTCTTCAAAAAATGCTTATTATTCTTCTGTTGCCCTTTGAGGATGTAATGCTGTGTCTTGGACAAGAGATAGCATTTGAAAAAAAGGGAATGTTTGGACACCTAATCTGGCGGCAGAACGGATGTCTCTCTGCAAACATCTGAAGCATGCAGCGGCTGGCATAATGCTAAATGACGAGAGTATCCTATTGGCTAAATGTCACAGGATAAAGCCTCACTGTAGCCATTCTGCTCTGTGGAAATGTTTCCCCCACAAATCCTAGACCCCTACCTACTTACTTACTCACTGTAATTCTCTGGATCTAAGCTTCAGAAAAATGTCCTGTTGCATAAATGTGGTCATATGGCGACAAACTTCTGTTGTGGTACTCTAAGAATGTGCACGAACAATGATATCTCTGTACATCTGAGAGACCCTTAACACCAACAATACACTTGGTCACGGCTTTGTTAAATAAGACAATAGGCGAGTTTGGCTTTGGGGCTGAGCTTCTCTATCAAATCAAAACAGACAAAACGTAAAAGGCACCCAGGTGCAGCTTGTTTTCATGTCATGTGAACAGAGTGTATGCATCTTATTGGTCAATTAAATTATACCACTTCTATAGTTACAAAGGTTATTGCACAGTCATGCACACACAACATATTCATGCCACTCACAATGGCACAATCGAGGCACACCCAAACACAATGGCTTGGCTCCAAATCAAAAAACGTTTTATTTGTACTTTTAGTATAATACAGCAGCTGTATTTACAAAGTATGTGCTGTTGTATGCAACCGGGACACACTACTTCATCCTTGGTCCTTGAACTTTTGCTTATATGTCTGCTAAGCAAAGGATTGTTGGTCAGAAGAGACGAAAAAGCATAATGGCTTTCATTTTGCAAAATGCAACTGCATGCTGTAGGTAGGATATCCGGGTATTTTTTGGCATAATGCGTTTGTTGTGCTTTGGAACAAACAAAGAACTTTTCCGGCATACTGATGAGTATTTGACTATGTATCTCAAGAGTACATTTGGATTCTTGTGGTCCCTTTTTTTCCATTCAAAACTATTCCTAATCAAGTACATAGGAGAGCTAATTTCAATATCTTCTCTAGCTTATTGTGTGCTGCTAAATGACGGCAGAGTTAATTATATAAAGGTTATGGAGTTTTTATATTTGATAGGTTATCATTACAACTTGTGTAAACATTCAAAAGGAAATCCATTGGCAAAGGTCACATTTTTCATGCACAAATAAACACGTTTTACTATTATTTCTCTAGTTTATCAATTGGAGAATTTGGTATATCAAGGTTATACAAAATACAATGTTGCACACTACATAAATGTAGGTTTAAGCTAGCTGCCTTTTAATTTAACTTCCCAATATATAGGCTCAGGTTTTCAACACATCTGATCCTAAATGACTGAGAGGTCCTGCTTCTTGTTTACCACTGTGTTTGTGTTTAAAGAGTCACTCCAGCCTCGTACGACAACACAGGTTTGCCTCGCCTGGCAAATACCTAACATGACATTTGATCAGACACACTCAAATCCTTAGTCTTTTCCCCATTGAGCTGATATTTGCTGCTCCTCTTGAGCCTTTAATTATCTTGACATTTTTCAGCAACGCTCTGCTTTAGAGATTGGACACACACCTGGTAGCTTTCAAGAGCAAATGCTTCTGTTTGCCACTGAGAGTCTCATAAAAAAGCATTTTGGCACTTTGAAAGTCTTATTAGACTTCCCAAAGTCCACAAAAAGTGGATATGATACCTTTGATAAATCATTGTTCTCAAATTGCTTTTTGTAGATACAAATTGCCTTATCACAACCATGACATTCTTTTTATGATAGAGATAAGCTATATCCGAAACGTTGTAAAAAATGAAACCAAATCATTTCACTCCCGAGAAATAAAAACCGAAAGTGAACATATATCTTGGAAATGGATTCCAGGAGACAAATATACATTTAAACATAGAATTACCATACTATTGAGAGCACTTGGCTTACACTCAAAGGAATTTCCTTTATGAATATAAGTGCTATATCCCTTAGAAAAACGATGTATTTACTGTGTAAGGAGACTTAAGGGGCATTTTCTTAGCGTTGGTAGCTCCATTACATGATAAAGCACCTGTTTTACATATTGATTCATATACATGATATGAAAAGACCTCACAAAATCTCACACACTCACAGCATGGCTGGCTGAGAATCAAAAAAAGAGAGTATAAATAGACACTGGTTCAAAAAAGATCACCCTGTTAAGAGATGTGTTATATAAATAAAGCACAACTCTACCTGGTGCCAGCTCTGACTTGCAATGCAATAATGTGATGGCCTAGACAAGTAATAGTACAGTTCAGTTGTTATAATATATCTTATTAATCATTATTATTGTGATGTATATGACCGAAACAGAATTTTTTACGAGGTACTTTCCAATAAGCAGGATGATGCCTAATAGTCCAATCTTCAGCTTCAGATTTTTTTGAGAAAGTACATAATGATCACACCTCTTCTTGTAATAATTCAGCCTGTCGGGTAACACCTTTTCTTGTAATGTAGTTAAATCAGACTCCATTTACGCAGTTATGAGTATCAACCTCACAGTTTTAAGCTTCCCCTTTTCCATTTAAACTCAACCCTCCGTCTGTCCTGACTCCCTTCCTGTAATTTCTGCCCTTCTGTCCCATCATCACACCACTGACCGGTCACATGACTGCAGAACATGGAGACTGGCCTGGAAAACACTTGCTCCATGAGATAAAACACTCCTAGAAGTGCATTTATTCTCGGGATACATGTTCCGTTTGCAGCCACGCTCTTTAACATTAGTCATTGTTTCATTCGCCATCAAAGCCTGAGGCAGTCGACTATTACAAATCGTTTTTATGGGACCAAACGTACCAATTATACGCATGACTTTGGACCCAGATAACCTAGAGGTGCACACAGAGAAATGACTCATGACTCATTTTAACTTTCGGTTTTGATTTCCCGTAAGTGAGGCATTGGCATTGGTAGCTTCATGCCGGCTAACATGACGCCTGGCTGGGCTTTTGAATAAGACTGAATGAGACTTTGTCCATGTGTAGCTCGCCGGGCTATCAATACAGCAGTAGCTAGCTTGTGGCTAATATTAGCTCTTTTTTATATCAATCCCCATTTCCTCCTTTCTGCGCTTCCCACGAGCTAGCTAGCTAACACAGCTAGCTTCATATCACTGTGACTAGCAACGCCGGCTACGTAACAACCAGCAGCTTTAGATATACGTTAGCCAGCTTAAAGATGGATGCTCTCTTCCTGAATTGTGGTACTCCATCTTCCTGCCCTTATCTTGCCAATTCGGCCTTCTGTGAACCGACAGAGACCGGCCACAGTGAAGATGGCCTTGGGACCGGTGATGAAACCACCTTGACTTTATGCTTTATTTTTCTTCCATCAGAAATTAGTACTGTACCTTGTATGAGTCGGTGGCTAACAGTATGCTGAAGTCGCTGTCTCTGTGCTCCATCTTTCACTCCTTTTGGGTCAGCTGTCAGTAGGTTCAGTGCTGTGGTTCGGGGACTCTCCAGCTCCAGTAGTGTAGCTGAGTTTGGGGGGGAAGGACCAGGGGAAGGACGAGCTGAGAGAGTCGGGCGGGGGAAGGGGCGGGCGGACCGGCGTCACAGAAGCTCCGGCATCACTCGGGGAGGTTCGGTTCTACTCGGCCAGCCAACCCGGTTTAACCGAAGAGACGCGTCACCAAAATTCCGGCATCACTCGGGGAGGTTCGGTTCTACTCGGCCAGCCATCCCGGTTTCTGAATCAGAATCAGAATCAGAAACGGGTTTATTACCAGATAGGTTTACACCACGACCACGTACGAGGAATTTGACTTGGTGTCGTGACTCGTGGTGCATAAAAGTAAAACAAGAATTAAAAACACAGGTAGAGAACTAGAAAAATATGTTTTGCGTCCCCCTGTTATTTCAGCCAAGATGAGTGTTTCATGTATGAAACTCACCCTGTCCACTCAGAACAGTACAACATATCAGCTGGTAGAATAGTTTAATCCTACAGTGTATTTGAATTGTTAAGGGACGTAATAGGTGGATGCACTATTTGTAGAAAAGTGACTTTGTACCACTCACTCTAATTGGGCCAGATTTGTTTCTGCAGAAATATGAATCTGCAGAAATAAAAGAAATATAGATGTATAGTCTACAATAGCTTTATATAGTACCAGTCAAAAGTTTGGACACACCTTCTCATTCAATGGTTTTTGTTTATTTAAAATGTGTTCTACTTTGTAGATTAATACTGAAGACATCAAAACTATGAAAGACCACATATGGAGACAATTCACTCGCATCGAGCTCTCCAACCCCCCATATTTATGTCCTATGTCATTCTGGTCATGCTAATAAAGTTATTTTAATTGAATTGAAAGCAATACACTCAAGGGTATGCCAAATGATGCCCCTATAGAAACATCACTAAATTATTAAATATTTAATACATGACTTGGAATGGCTAAGGCCTTCTTGTTATGATAGTTGAATTCATATTTACATTGACAAATGGGATCATTTTTTTCAATGTTCTTTATCTTTATTGTATACAATACATCATAAGTCAAAGTCAAAGTCAAAGTCAGCTTTATTGTCAATAATTCTACATGTTGTACATCCAGAAATATCGAAATATCGTTTCCCGCAGTCCTACAGTGTGACATATATACATAAAACAAAAAGGGCCTAGATAAACATGGTATACATTAAACAAAACAAAGGGCCTAGATAACCGGGGTATACAGTTTAAAATGTTAATAATATAATTTAAGTGTTCAAAGTACAGTTTCAGTGCAGTAGCAGCGGAGATGGGCAGAAAAGTGAGTTAGGGGGTTAGAGTCCAGGACCATTTGGGGCAGGGGAGAAAGGTCGGAGGCAGGGTGGAGAGTTCAGGGGAGAGATGTCAGAGGGCGGAAGAGATGGAGGGAGGGGAGAGAGTTCAGCAGCCTGACCGCCTGGTGGAGGAAGCTGTTGCCCAGCCTGGAGGTGCGTGAGCTGAGGCTGAGGAACCTTCTTCCTGAAGGCAGGAGGCTGAAGAGGCTGTTGGAGGGGTGGGTGGAGTCACCCACAATGCTGAGTGCTTTGCGGGTGAGGCGGGTGTTGTATAATGTATGCACACCATTATGTTATATCTTTTAGAACTGTGTGATTGGGAAATTATTTAAATTGGCAACTAAGCAACTGTAACTAACACAGCAATGACACATCCAATACAAATATTATAGCAGTAAGTACAAGATATATAATTATTGTGGGGGAAACTTCTGTGTAGCAATGCAGTAGGAGTCACCGACTCAGGAAGGAGACACATAGAGCTGGAGCTTTGATGTCAAACACTGATGGTTTATTAGGAGCTTCGGCCGGAGAATTCACAAAACAAGTCCAAGAGCCAGAGGTTCTGACTTCACGGTAGAGTTGCCACGTCAATTCTGAAGAACTCTACCCCAGACCCATGTATTTAGCTAGTTCAGAGAGAATAATCAACATTGTGCATAACAAGATAGAATCATAACACCTCTATCAGCTGACGCCAACAGGCAGGAACAGGGAGACAAAACACTGAGAGCACAGCAGCCAAGGTTACAGGTGCGTGTGCTCAGTCAGGACAGTTTGAACTGATACACTGGCTCAAAGTTAGGGCCTTGGAAAATATTTCCCCAACAATTATTACTTTACAAAATAATCTTTATATTTATTTTGAGGCATTATTTATTATGACAACTGTCAAATTGTGTGCCGCCACACAAGAAAGATATGTAAATAAGTTATGGCATTGAATGTGATTAAAGTAGTGATTTTCCATCAGAAGTGCTCAGACATGGGCTTTTATGTGCAGTTTTAAAACTCATCAGAAGGGGGCAGTGTTGGTCATCAAATGTTAAAATATCAGAAATTACATGAGGATACATTGGGATGTACTTTGGCAAGCTTACATAAAGTAAAATAAATTGCATGTCTAATAAATTCTAAAAAATTGCTTCACAGCAACACTGATGTATTCATATATTATGGGAATTGCTGAGTTTATATTCTCTGAAAAGCACAAAAAATGCACAAGTCTAGATCAAACCAGTAATGCAAACAGAGTTATAGTTAGGTCTCTTATTTGTGTGCCTTGGTACCTAGGATTCCTTATTGTATTTTTGTTTGTTTTTAACTCGGCTATATTGTAAACGAGTTCTCCACCTTAATGTATTTCGATCATTACTGCAATAAAACTGTTGCTAGAGGAAGCCACCCTCATTACCATTTGTTCTTTGGAGAGAGCATAGTCTTAATGAGCTGTCTGGAAGGAAACTAATGCAGCTATAGAATTCAACAGCATACAATTTAATAACCATAAATACATTTTATAGTTTAAATGTACATCTGAGTTGGTTAGCCAACAAGCAGATGTTATTTTAGACTTCAAACAATTCAAGAATGAACTTATGATTACTCTGTATTATTCATTTCTCTGCAGGAGAGTGTGTTTTATAGCATATATAAAAAGCTTAATACACAGGGGGAAAGAAGCTTGATACATGAATGTTGCATCAAAATAAAAAATAAAAAAAATAAAAAAAATGGCTTGGAAGGAAGACAGCCAAGACAAGACAAGTGTCATCTGATATGGTTGGCCTCAAATATCTTACTATGTTTGAGTTCAATTTGTCTGCATCTTGAACCAAATTTCTGGGATTTATTTAGTGTTGGGCTGTGCGTTTGCAAGTTAAACAACAGTTACTGTTTGCACTACCTCTACACAGGACCCCAAATAAAGTCATAAAGAATAATTTCATTGTCAAAAACGTGTTTTTCCATTAAAATGCCTCAGTTTATGTGCTCATCATTAATCCTACCATACAAAGAGTAGAGGGAACTTTAAGAGTATGACTGTCAAGCTGATTTTGTAATATATGGCTTACTCCTAAAGGGATTGAGTTGTTTACATATTCAATCAACAATTTTTTTTACAATAATTTTGTTGGAAATAAAACACAATTTAGTTTGTCCTTAAAGTATATTTTGATGCTGATATTTTTTTAGTTCTCTTTAAATGTATGACTTTAAGGCCAACTCAGTGGACATTTTTAAACGACAACCCCCCACTTGAAATGTTCTTTTAGTCTTTATTATTTACCTACCTTTATATTGTTTTATTTATTTTATAGGTCTTTTTATTTGTATTTCTGTTGTACCTATATGTTCACTTTGTTTTATGGGGTTTTATATTTTATATTGTTGCATCGACTCAGTTGTCTTGTGTCTTCTCTGTCAGAGAAAACATTATTTATTTTATTTTCATTATCATACATTTGACCTCCTTGTGTCTATTAACCTGATAAAATGTTATATTTTGCTATATGTACCTTTTAAAGTTCTTAACAAATAATCTGTGGGGAATTTCTAGTTGTTTATTTTTTACTTGTGATGTGTCATTTTGTAAAGCACTTTGAGCTGCAAAAGTGCTATTTTAATAAACGTTTTTTGCTTGTAACTGAGTATTTGAACATTGTAGAAGTTCTTATTTTACTTAAGTACAATATCTAAGTACTGTTTCTACCACTGATCATATGTGTCACCTGCCTGTGACTCCATACTGAGGCTGGATGGTGCTCTCATTCAGCGGGACGGTGAGAGATTCCAACCCGCCTGACGGATGCTTTCCTCGGATTATGGCAGCGACTCTGCTCCTGGGAAGGGAGGAGTTTATTACTGGATAAAGTGCCATTTCCGCATGTCAATACAAATACGTTTCTAAAGACAGGAGGAAGCTGTATGTGCACTACTGCTTTCAGTTCAACAACTAGCCAAAGTTAGCGTGCACTGTAGTTAAATGGTCACATGATGCAGAGCCTGAACGCACACCGGCTGTTAGGTGCCAGGAGCCGCCTCTTCAGGAAACAAACTGATTCCGGAGTGTTTTAAATAAAGTAGGGATTTTCGACTGAGGATAGGTGTAAACATGCTGAAGTTAAAGCAAAAGTTTGACCTGCACAGAGATGTTGTTTCTGACATTCTGAGGAAAGAAGCTTCGGTCTGCAGAGTGAAAGGTGAGGCGTTCAGGCGTCATCGGTAGCCTACTCTTACAAGTTTTGTAATAACTGAATAGCTTTGACTAATAGCTAGCGAACAGTGTCAGTTCAACCTGTCAGTCACTGTTATTAAAGAGCCTAGAGAGTATTTATCTACATGATTCATGTGTGTCATTGCTATGAAATTGCGTAATATCACATACAATGTCAATTTCTTTGAGCAAATTGAGCTTTTAGAAACAATTGAGTGGCTAAAAGTTTGTAGATATATTCCAGTAGATGGAGCCATTTACTCTTCATACTTCCTCTGTAAATACCTTGTAAGGACACCAAAAGAAAAGTTATTATTTCCTGTTAAACGTCCTAACTATGGATACAAGTAGGAATTAAAAGATAAAACATATACAAAATACAATTTAATAAATGAATTTCCAAAATGTATATGGGGTTGCATGCTCTCAGAACCTTCTATCCAAAGACAATACTGTATAATATAAACAATATATCATTTATATTATTTATTTTCACTGTAGCCAATCTCAGTACCAGTATTTGGTGAACATAGGACTGAGAAAAGTCGTGACAAAGATGTGATAACGTGATGCTTGACAGTCGTGGTTCTGCAGGAAATGCACCAAAACTAATTCAGTCCCAGTGGTGGCACATTTATAGATTCCCTCAAAATACATTTGTCCTATACACCTTGGCTCTTTACACATGTATAATAAGTTATTATACAGTGGAACACACTATATCCTCATCAGGCATAACACTTAGTATGTTCAGTGTGAGCAGTAGCAGTCTGCATGCTGTTGTTTAGACATGATGAGACGTATGGGTTCATAATAATGATGCTGTGTCTGCAGAATACTCTGGAGCAGTGGACACCCGGATCCTAAACATTGAGAGGGATGGAGGCATCCTTTACTCCTGGAAGGTAAATTCATAGTGACAGCAATGCAAATTGAATAGTTTCCTTGTGGAATTGACTCATTAATCAAGTGTAATTAGTCTTAACCTTTCTTTTTTAGTGCTTGTTCCAGTTTAGTTTACAGCCTGCATTGGTCTCACTTCTTTTACTCAGTATAGTGTAGTATGTTAGAACAAATTCATATGCATAGAGTTTAAAACTATTCTGTTCCAGCTGTCCACATCCCTCATTTAATCCCCAGGGAGCTAAATATTAACCCCCCATATTTTCTCCAACAGGACACCACAAAATGAAATAAAATTATATTTTCTTACATACAGATTCCTCTATATTTCTGCTTGACATATTTGCAGAAGCCTTGGGATAACGTTCTGTGTGCTGAACTGTGCTTCTCTGCACAACATGAATTTTTAATGATAGGCTCGCCGAACAGTCAGTGGGTTTGCTAGGTTAAAGACAGTGGGCAGCCTGCAAAGAGGAAGCAATCTGTTTTTTCTGTGAACGGTTCACAGCTCCATGCGTGCCTGGCTGCGCCTTGGGTTTCAGAGCAGTTTCCTTCCTTTTATTTAAAATCCTCTGAACCCCGAAATAGTGTTGAGTTGCTGGTTTGAAGTCAAGCAAGTCTAGTCTGGATAATCGGCAAGGTCAGCCGAAGTAATAAGGAGATCAAGTATGGCGGTCTGCACAACAAAGTGGTGCAAGAAACCAGTGGGAAAATATGTCTGCTCAGTCTAGACAGATTAGGAATATCCATCTCTGTAGTTTGATTGATTTAAAGGGGCCCTATTATGCTCATTTTCAGGTTCATATCAGTATGTAGTGTCTCTACTGTGACATGTCTCGATGCTTTAATGTTCAAAAAGGTCTTTATTTTTCTCATACTACCTGTGCTGCAGCACCTCTTTTCACCCTCTGTCTGAAACCAGAGCCCAGTCTGCTCTGATTGGTTAGCTGGCCGGCTCTGTTGTGATTGATCAAGCGCTTAGAGATGTCCCGCCCCTTAGCCTATCACGTACAATGTATTAGAGCGCTAGCTAATAGAAAACTTTGGGATTTTAGCCTTTGCAGACCATTGACATGCACAAAAACCTATATAACATTCATTCTTTTGATAGGGAGCAACAGGGACTACAAGGATTGGGAAATTTGACTCCAACACCAAACAGAACAAGGTACCGTCTGTGTGTGTGTGTCTCCTTCAGATTTGGACTTTTGTGCGTGTGTGTGTTGGCATTTTCCCATGAGGCTGTGCTTTCTCTCCAACAGCTCCTGTACACATTTGACAAGCAGGTGTGTGTCAGCAGCTGCTCCCTGAACAAGGAGGAGACCCTGTTAGGTGAGCCTCTCTTACTTACAGATGAAAGAGTTAGCAGCAAATGAGGCGAAACTCTGACCGTTAATTAGGCAATTAAGTGAGCGACCAAACTCAGGTCTAAATAACAAATTATCTAAGTGTCTAGGGAGCAGTTAAGTATCTCTATAACATTATTATTTTGCAACCCAAAAGAAGAATGGGAAGGACAAAGTTTGTTAGCATATTAATGATTAATGGTGCCAGATCATAGTTGAAGAAATGCTGATTTAGCGTAGCTTCTGTAGAAAATATATGCAAATGAAGTCACATGACCCCTTGCCTGTGCTTTTTTTGCCCTCCCAGCTGTCAGCTTGGCACAAAACACCAGAGGAGAGGAGCGCCTCAAACCAAGTAACACCCGAGATCTCTTCATCATAACGCCTTTTTTAAAACTTCCTCGTTACCTTATTCAAATCATTTCTCATATTGTGTGTTTTAGTATCCAAGTGTCTAACCCTCCTGATCGAGATCCATCCCATCAACAACACTAAAGTCCTCAAGGCGGTAGACTGCAGGGTCAAAGTGCAGGTACAGTGTGTGTGTGTGTGTGTTGTTTTGGGCACTTTCATGCAGGCTTTACTGCAGCCAGGAGCTGATGATGCAGTTATTGTGCATCTGTGCCATATTCTTGTTACTGTTTGTGCTTGTAATTTCCATTTCTTCTCTTACTCACTTAATCATGCTTTATATATCTCTCTTTCTTAGTTTTCTGTATATGATTTACCTTATTAAGCCGCTGTTGGCTGCCCGTGTTCCTTACCGTGTGTTTCTCGTCCAGTTGCCAAACCGCTAATTTAAATAAATGCCAAGAATGTTTAAGGCCTGCATTTAAAATATGGAAATCAGCAAATAAACTCCTCCATCTGGTAGCTGTTGTAAACCACGAGATGCTGACTCATGTTTTCTGCCTCCAGTTCCTGCACGCAGAAACTGACAGGAGATCAGTGCTGGAGAGCCACCTGCTGCTGCTGACTGAGGACGGATGTGAGTGTGTCTGTGTGGGCTATATTTCACTAATCTCTAACAAAACACATCATCACATTGAGAGACATAATCTGTCTTTTTCTTACATTTTGAGGGGAAAAAACCGCCTTCTCGGGGGACACATATAATTGAATACAGTTGTATTTATGTATATCCTTCTGTGTGTTTCAGATGTTGATCTCTACCATGTTATGCTGACGAAACAGGAGGGTTACAGAGTGGTGAGTTAGAATCTAAATTCACCACTTTTTTTTTTACTTTATCCAGCTCCTTACTTTATAAAAAAAGTCCCAAAAGTGGCCCTTCAGCAAAGCTATGAATTGCATAGAGAATATTTCTTGCCGGAGGGTTCTGTGTTGTTTTTTAAAGGTCTGAATTCCACAAACATCCAGAGTAGATAATAAGTAAAAAGATTGTGATTTGTTTACAAAACCCAGTGCATTGAATATATGGTTCCACCTCATTATCCAGCCATAAACGACTCTGTGTCTCGTGCCCCCCGTGGGGAGCTTTGCATTAAGAATTCATTGTGTCCACAAAGCTGAATGTGTTTGTGTGAAACAGGTGATGGCAAATCCGGAGCGTTTGTTAAAAACAGCAGAGAGGATCGTAGAGGACTTCTGCTGGCTCCAGTGGGACGGACACGCACAACGAGTCTACTATCTCACGCATAGTGTGACACACACTCAGGCATGTACTACTGTACTTGTGAGGACATTGCATTTTATAACAATCATCTAAAATGACCAGTTTAGGCAGACAAGGTACGTTTAATAACTCAAAATCCATATCATGTGTCTTTCACAGGACAAGTTTCTCATGCGATGTGTGCAGTTTTACCCCAACCATAACTGCGAAACTATGGTAAATCATCTTTCTGTCTTACACTTTAATAGATAACCTTTTGCTCAAATCATATTCAAAATGTTTTGTTTTTAATGTATATTTTAAAATCTTCTCCCACAGTTGGAATTCCCATTAGAGTTTCCTGCTAATCTTTTCCGCACAGTCAAGTAAGGCAACCACTGCTAGCTTAGTATATTAAATATATTTCTCAGCAGTTATTTTATTCTATATTCTCAATTTCTTTAAATGGTATTGATATGTACCTGTAATCAAAGGAACTAAAAGGATTTTCCTCACACTTCCTCTACTGTAGAAGTTAGTCGTTCATCATTGCTCAGGTTGAAAATATTTAATGTATTTCTTTATTTATATAATTTACTCAAATTAACTAACTAGGACTTTTTTTGTGTTTGTCCAACAGCTTTGTAAATCTGGGTTTCGACCACTATCACGAGAAGAGCCCAGAGCAGGAGCCCCTGAGGATGAAAGTGTTCACAAACATAATAGGTAACACACAAACATTGTTTCGTGAATAATATTTCAGTCACAGATTTGTTCCCCCACCCTCTAGAGATGTAAATAAACTAACTTGTGGTTACAGTTCATGACTAATCCTAAATATGTTTGTGTTTTGCATTTCTATTTCTGAAAACAAGAAAGTAAGTTTTAACAGAAGTTATAATAATAATAATCAAATTATATGCACAATAAATCACATACAGATTTAGAAAATCAAGACTGATGTGATTTTGTAATGAACAATTCCAGTGAATATTAAATAATCAAAAGATTGTTGGAAGAATTTGGTTTCAAAATGATTGTTCTGATCATGGGGAGGCTGTAGCTCAGTGGGTAGTGCGCTGAACTTCGAATCAGGAGATAGGTAGAGAGACACTTCACCCCAAATTGCTCCTGTGGGGATTGCCCACAGTACTGAATGTATGTAAGTCGCTTTGGATAAAAGTAACATATAATGTAATGTAATAATGATCACTAAAAAAGGCAAGTTGAATCTGTTGCCAATTGTACAGTATGATTTATAGTGTGTCACAGAAGTAAACAAAGGAGTCCAATGGAGGGGTTTCAGGTAGGGTTTCAGGTAGGGTTTCAGGTAGGGTTTCGAGTGTGGGAGAAACACTCGAACACTCCCCATTAGCCTTTGCAGACCATTCACATGCACAAAAACCTATATCACACACTACAGGAAAGGGAAAACCCCAAATGCACAACAGGGCCTCTTTAAAATAGTCCTATGTGATTGCCATCAAAGGCACCAACAATTGACATGTATTAATATGTTACCCTCAACAAAAAGTAATGTTCAGTGTTTTGGAATAAGACTTTTCCAAATGATTGCATGTTTTCATATTAGAATTCAAACCTTGAATTACCATTTGATTAATTTATTCATGAAATTGATGATTGAGGCTTTGATTTCAAGACCAAATCCGACTGCCTTTTTACTTTCCATCGAAAATACATCACACCTTATTTACTTTTTATTGAACGTCGTGAATGTTTTCACTGATGTTGCCCTACTGTGTGATCCATAACCTTTCTGTCCCTGTCGTTTGTTTTTAGGAAGCATGTGTGTGTGCTACAGCCAACATATCAAAGCCAAACAGGAAGTGATCTACACTGTGCTTTTAGTCCACAAAGGTGTGTAAATACCTCATTTATTTTTGCTGTCTCTATTCCTATGCCTCTGTTTTTATCTTGAGCATATGCTGAGAAAATTGGATTTCTTCTCTCCTCCTGCAGACTGCAGCAAGACGTTCAGAGTGTCTCTGGGCAGCGAGCAGAAAGCCAGACATCTCCATCCGCTCTTCATTCCTATAGGTCATTGCACACACAGAAATGTAAAACAGTCACACACACACACGCCTCAGAAGCCTTATAAATTCAACTCAAGTGTGTGAGAGGTTTACATGAATACCTACAAATGAGCGCATGTGTCCTCGGTCTGGTGTACATACAGAATACTAATATAACAGGTGTATAAGTGAGGCTGTTATTTTCTCGTAGGTTACCACATCCTGGTGTACCTGCAGGACCATTTCCTCCACTGTATCAACACCAGGCAGCAGGAGAGAGTCTGTCACTCCCTCTTTCTCTCAGGTGAGACATGGTTTTTGTTCAATTAGTGTCCAAGCTGAGTGGAGAGCAGTTTGTTTACTTCCTTTCTCATCCACACTACAAGCCCCTTTTTCCCTGATATAGTTTTTTAACCTTCCTGTCGTGTTCGTTTCTTTCCTCAAATTTGATCGGTCTGTTTTAACTGCTCTTACATTAACACAACAACCATTAATCATCAGCACTTTTAATTGAACACCCTTTTAAAGCTGTAAACAATGTCTCATTCTACTGGTTTACGTGAATAAGTGTAGTAAATAAACAAAGAATAGACACTGAAAATGTATTTGATTTGTGTGTGTGTACTATCTGATGGATGAACATAATGTAGGGTTACCCATACATTTCCTATGGAGGTCATTTTTAACCGGGAACATCATAGGTGTTACAAAGTTGACTACACCACTCAAAATGTAATGAAAGTGCTTATAAGATAAGATAGTACTTTATTGATTCCAATTTGGGAAATGTTTGTGTTGCAGCAGCATAAAAAGACATGGCATTGTACAATAAAAATTAGAAATTAAGTAGAAAATATACATATAATACAATATATACAATAAAAAAAGTTATTATATATACATCAGCAACGAAATATGTTTCAATGCCTACCGTGGAGGATATCATAAGGCCTTGAGGCAATCAAATGTAAAACACATTATTTATGATTGATGAAAGAAGTCAATCGATCATATTTGACCCAAGAACGACAGTACATGGATCCTGTACAAACACACAGCTTTCATTTTATTTTATTGGTTTTCTCTGTCTCTCCCTGTCTGGACGACCTTCAGGTCTTGATGTGGACCTGGGTTTGCAGTCTCAGTCAGCTGACGTCACAGTGTTGCACTCAGAAGAAGAGTCCAGTGGCAGTGTGTTGGACCTGGGCAGCGGCAGGATCCACGAGGCCGAGCTGAGCCCTGCCTTCCTGCTGAAGATCCTGCGAGCTCCTTCCAGGTGAGCGTGCTTCAAGACTTTTTGAGGAAATAAAAGATTCATGTCTATCAGGGTTAATGTTTCTATACATAGATGAGGAACTTGAGAGCAGAGGGAGGTATATATATATATACATCGAGCAGGTGGAAAGGAGAAGTCTTTTTTTGAAAGGTTATTTTGGTACATACACACCTGCAGTGTCTTGGGATAAACTGGTGCAACATGTTCTTGTTTATAAATACAGACTATGGTTGGAACGAGCCAATTGCTAACCCTCAAGTATCTACATTTGCAGCTTTCTCAAGAACAGCTCATCCCAAAAACCTCTCACCAAAACACCCTTCAAGTGAGAAGTTGATCGAATGAGCTGTTCTAAAAATGATTAATAGATATGTCTCATAGATCTCTCTCTTTCCAATTTCTTTATCTGTTCTTGAATGTAATCTTGCCAGCTTTGCCGAACGAGCCTTACCCGATGTGTAAGTGCTGTAAACATGCATTACTTTTTAAAGCCAGCAGGGGGAAACTTCACTGGTTGCAAGAAAAGTCAGATTGTCTAGAAGTCTATGAGAAATGTACCCTACGTCTCACTCAAATTATAACATCAAGGAATATTTTCTTAATGAGTTTATGGTCTAAATCGCTTCGTTGATACATCATGGTTCTATTGAATTTCTATTGGTCCGATGTGGATTCAAATAGACAAAAAAAGCAGGGTACGCTACGGATTGTCAGGTCGCTACCACAATGTTTTCAGTTCATGAAAGTTCATTTTAACATTCTGGTCTTCTAAAATTGTCTCGTTAAGCGTTTTCTTTCTCTACCGTCTAACGTCACTTCTGTTTCCAAAAAAACAAACTCAGCGTTTCCAAACGTTAGCCAACAAACCAATGGGTGATGTCAAGTAGTGTACCTCAATAATACACTACACAATGTGTACATAATGAACTACTCCCATACTCAACACGTCACGATTTGGGTCCTCAGCAACATCCATGTATATAAATGTGAAGTAAGCTGGCTACACACCAACCCGATTTTGGGAGTCAGAGGCCGTCGGAGGCAGTCGGGCATTCGCGGCGCCCTACTCAGGTTGGTGTGTCCCGCACCGTCGTCTCTTTACGGCACCTTTTCAGAGAAAGTCGGCCCAAGCAATCACTCTGATTGGCTGTTCACACTACCGCTGCCTGCTGGTAAGGACAGTTATTGCCACTCGTCGACTGAAGTATTTGCGGTGTGTTCGTAGGCGGGCGGCGTAGCCGACGCAGGCGACGTAGCTGACGTAAAAGTCAGGACGCCTTCGGTACGCGTTCTTTGGTCTCAGGTGGGTGTGTAGCGGCCACACACACACACACACACACACACACACACACACACACACACACACACACACACACTTCAATATTAATTGGATGTAAGAACAACTATAGCTTGACTCATTGCCAGAAAGGTCAACCACCGTGCCTAATGAGGACACATCAGGGACCCCTTGTTGGTTCTTTGACAACATTTTGTTATTTTCTGCTTCATTCATTCATAAATCCCACTTTTAAACGGCTCATATATCACATTGCTGTACCCAAATGTTGGCTGTCTGCCTGTGCTTCTGCTGCGTGTCTGTGTGTTTGAATGTGCTTATGTTGTATAAAAGTTCATTTGCTGTATCATGTCACCCGTGTCCAAGGTGTCCCAGCAGCAAGACTGACCCTCAGCGCATGGCCGCCCTCCACTGCCTGCTGGTGTACCTGGGAAACGACCCAAACCTGGAGCTGAAGGTACAAAAATGGAAAAAAAAGACAGGAAAGGAGATGGGAGGACAAAAGGATTGACATTTAAAGCAAACTTTCTGAGTTTTTTAGCATCAGGTAACCTACAGTAATAACCATCAGGTAACCACAATAACCCAAACATTGATTTGAATAAAACAAAATCTGACAGAGAATGCACTCACCATTGATAAATTGCATGTTAATTTCACTGCAAGGTGCTTTCATGGATGGCAAAGTAGCAATAAATTGATTTAAGGCAGGTTTTCTGCACTTCTGTGTGAACTCAGTAGGTGTCGACCTTGAGTTGGAGGTGCACAGGTGGAGGGAGGAGAAAGAAAAGCTGTAATAAAACATTAAAGGAGCGCAAAGACATGGACAGAGATCAAACAGAGCCAGACAAAGAGAGAGAGAAAGGGGCAAATATTTTCCTGGAGACAGCGCTGACTATGACTCAGACTCAATTAAGACGTCCCCGCCGTCCTGATAGATTGTAATACATTCTTTCTTTAGAGGTTAACTGAGTCACTTAGCTTCAGGAGTGCAGATAAAAAAAGTGATGGACAGTGTTATTGTTCGTTATTTTAAGATAATGCTGTGCACATTATGTTGATTTACTTTTCCTTTTCTTTCTCTTCACACATATGTTATGCAGAATTTATGTTTTCTGATATCTTTCATCAGAGGAATGGGCTGCATAATATAAGGTTTCACTCTGACTGTGAGCTTTGCAGAGACTCTCTTGAGGACATCTTTATTTGTAATTGAAACATTAGTTTATCGAACAATTCAGCAGTAACTACAACTGTTTTACAATCAAATTGGAGAACCACTGAGTCTGTAGCCAGCATGCTCACAGTGACAATACTAACATGCCGATGTTCAGAAGTGTGTTTTGCCATATTCACCATCTTAATTTAGTGTGTAGGATATGCTGACATTGTTTTATGTTAGACATGTAAAGTACTTCCAGATGCTAACTTGCATGCTGGGCAATTTGCACAATTAGCACAAGTTGTATCAATTAGCCTATAGCCTATACGTCCAATAGTTAAAAAATGGCGTGGCCCTTTATAATTAAGATTAAGATAATGGATTGAACAGTTATTAAGATAATTGTGGAGTGGTTTTGGGGGTTATTGATGATGCCGAATTAATTTCTTACATTTTGAGGTCCAAATACTATGAAATATGAATAACATACTTGTACTTTATTATACTTATACCATTCACTGATGGTCCAATAACTAAGCTTTAGAAGTGAGGGAAAAGGGTTAAGACAACATACCTATAATTATGACAGGAACACTTAATATTGTCCCATGACTAACTGGGAAATCAATGTTTTTAACCAGCTTTGGACACAGAATACCAGCTTCAAGTCTTTATGCTAAGCTAAGCTAAGCTAATCGGCTACTGGCTCTAACCTCATGCTAACACAGATATGAGTGGAAGCATTTCATCATTAGTAGAAAAGTGGATATTTCCATCACCTATTCTTTTAAAAGCCAAACGATAAACTAATTATATTTAAAACTACTACAGTGAAGGATTATAAAGGAACTGGACTGTGTGACACCCCAAAATAATATAATATGGCTTCTTTAACATAAAGAAAAATTGAAATATTCTGGTATATGGAAATCTTTTCTAAGTATATTGGACTGTATTATTGTAATATGTAAGATGACATTATATATAACCCATCTTTTATTTTATTTTTGTTATACCTGTGTTATTTACATTTATTATTGATTTGATTTCTATACGTTTAGTTTTTCATATTCTCATGTTGAATTTCTTGGATTTGAGACCTTCTACATGTCGGGACCCCTTATTAAAGAAACTGTTCAGCAGTTCATGAAAGTTAATTGTAACATTCTGGTCTTCTAAAATTGTCTCGTTAAGCGTTTTTGTCTCTACCGTCTAATGTCACAGTGACTTAATTACAGTACCTCAATAATACACTAAACAATGTGTACATAAAACACTACTCCTGTACTGAACACTAAATTATTTGGGTCCTCAGCAACATCCATGTATTTACAGTATTATACCTGTATATGTTATTTATGTTCTCAGTGTTATTATTGATTTGATTTCTATGCGTTTTGTTTTTCATATTCTCATGTTGAATTTCTTGGATTTGAGACCTTCTACATGTTGGGACCCCTTGTTAACCCTTACAGTAGATGCACGAGTGACTGGACCCTACACTCTTCCATAAGTGGGTCAAAAAGGACCCGTATTAGAATAATATGTGTTTTTATGCCATTTTTGTCATTTTGGTTAAGAAAAATCACTTGTATTATATTTTGGTTCACACTAGAAATATTTTATATTTAAATTTTCACTATTTATCATTTTAGACATTTTTTTTATACTTTGAAAAAAAACGAAATTCCATAGAAAATGCATGCGGGTCATTTTTGACCCACTTATGGAAGCTTGGGGTAGTAATACAATTTCTTAAAATGTAAATTAAAAATTTGAATGGCATGATATCCAAAACATGTTTTTTGAGGAATAGCTGGAATATGAAATGATAAAAAAATGTAATTACAAAGATACTCTACGAAAACCACCTCACCGGGTCAAAAAAGACCCACTTACAGTATGCATCTAAGGGTTAAAGAAACTGTTCATCTAAATTGGAGTACTAATGGATGTAAAGGGGAATGTGAGAAAATAACTAATAAAGAATACGACACAAAAACGACTACAGTATGTTCTGCATCTCCCGCTCATTGACACCCGTCTCCTGTGTGTCTCCCTCCAGATCACCGAGTGGCTCTTTGACAACGTGAATGCCTTCGACTCCTTTGATCAGATCCAAGAGTTCATTCTAGGTCAGTGGCAGCCGAAGCATCTGGGACACAAATCTGCTCAGTTCCACTTCTTCTTTTTCTCGCTGCTCTCTTGCTCTTTTTATGTCTCCTTCTGCTTGTGGTTACCAGGCTGCTTACATCTCATCTACACAAAACTGGATTCTTTCATCAGCTCCGTTTGACTCTGTTTCTCTTGCAAACTTGTGCCAGAGTCGCAATTAGAGACCTTGGGAGAAAAGATATGATTTAGTCCCGGAGCAGAAACACATTTCAATGCAGTGTTGGCACGTCACAAAGTACATTTACTCAAGAGCTGCACTTAAGTACAATTTACAGGTATTTGTACTTTTCATTTTGTGCTTTTCTCAACTATATTTTGGAAGCACATTTGGTTGACAGCTTTAGTTAATAGTGACTTTGCAGGTTCATCTTTCTGACAAGATATATAAATCAACTAATGAATAATGTACTATCATGAATTAAGATTGCTGGCAGTAAAAATAAAAAGGCATTACCAGCTGCAGCATTTAAATAATGAACACATTAATGCGTCATTAATTACAATCCGGTAGTATTAAAAATATATCACTCCGAAAATGGCCATTCTGCATATTGATTACTTTTAGTTTAGCTACTTTAATTTCTTTTTGGATGCTCATACTTTTGCACATGTACTGGGATGCAGGTGTATTTCTACACTGTGGTATTAATACTTTTACTTACTTAAATTCTAGAGTACTTATTCCACCTCTGTTCAAATGCCCCATGATGTCTGCTTGAAGAAAATATAAGAGCACATGAAATTAATTTCACATTAACGAAAAGGCCATCACGGTCCTAGAGCATCACATTATATATACTGTAGGAGCACCTTGCTGAAGACATTAGCATATTATTCAAGCTGCAGTAACTACTAGGTCTAATACGCAGAGGTCCTATTAATACAAGGGTTACTGTATATGAAGACAATTATGTTGGCCTCATAAATAAAACATAAGAAGCCTGTGCTCACTAATCTATCATAGTGAGTGTGGTGGGATTTAGTGGGTAAGAAAACTGACAAAAGCCTTTTTCTCAAGCAGGGAATAATATAATGAGTTACATTGTTCAAACACAGAATAAAAAGACCAATGTCTTCATAAAACATCCTGTAATATCTCTGTCAGGACTTATCGTATAATAACATACGATCTGTATTAGCTACTCAACAGAAGGTTTCATATTTATATAATCTTAAAGGCAGTAATCCACACAATATTTTTGCATAAATATCGCTTCAATCCCAAGGAGAGCGCACACCACCGATCTGAATGTTCAAGCTTTACTCAGTTTAACTACCGACGAACGATATCCTTCCTGTCAACAATCGGTCTGCTGTGTGAATAACATCAGCCGTATTGACTGCTTAATCCTGAGGCTAAAATTAGGAGAGCAGCCACAAATCCTCCACACTAAACTATAGTGGATCTGGATCGGTCTGTCTCACAAACACAAAAGATTTGCACACACGAGATCTTTGTTTCGCTAAAGATGGCTGATTCATGTCTTGCTTGGATACGATCAAAAAAGGGAAAAATACATTTTCTAAACTGGAGCAAAGTACGGTTGAAAATGGAAATCTTGCCTCAAAATATAAAGTACTCTGCACTTTATAAAACCTATTAAGTTCTGTCAAACTAAATTCATGATGACATTTTGAAAGGAAAGGTCAGAGAGCTAAGGAGTTCCAGACGGACAACACTTCAGGAGCAGCGCTAAGGAAAGTGATTGATGATCTTAAATGTGACATCAGGCAGAGGTTGTACTTTATTTTAAAGATCCCCTCCACTCAATCATGTGTTTTCATCATGATAGCTTATGTAGCCTAGCTTTTACAAATACAAATGGATTCTAAAATGAGGCATAATTCACCTGTTTGCCGTTGGCCAGTGGGCAAAATTGGAAACATCGGCCCGTCATATCCAGAACTTAAACGACATCCATGCCTCTAATAAAGTAAATCAATCTGTGTTGTATTAAATGAATTCAGACTGTACTCTCTCTGTTCGTCATGTCACACAGCATCTCTATACAGAATAAGCTATGAGAAGTCTCTCAGCCTGGATAATGTCCTGCCCTACTCCTCTGTGCTCGACAAGAAGGTAACACACACACACACACACACACACACACACACACACACACACACACACACACACAGACACTCACTCACACACACTATTATACAATTGAGAATGCGCATAAAAATAAAAGGCAGCCATATGTGTGTGTACTGTATGAATGCAGTATGAGGACACAATTTGAATTCTGTCTTCTTTCTTTGTGCCTAACAAACACACACACACACACACACGCACACTTGTGTTTTCTAGGAGATACCAGCGTGTCTGTTGGAGGTCCCTGGTGTGTTGTGTACCACTGAGCTGCATATTGAACCCGTGTTCAAAGGCAAGGTAACAACCTCCATTTTTTAAATCACATTTATTATTTTTGAAACTGCTTGTAAGCGTTCTTGAACAATATATATGACTGTTGTGTTTTTAGTTACAGCATATACCCTATTTCCAGGAACCAGTTCATAAAGCGTGCATTAAGGTTGCTGATTAAATGTGTGTTTGTCACATGCTGGGAAATGACTTCATTCTGACATTGTGTGTGTGTGTGTGTGTGTGTGTGTGTGTGTGTGTGTGTGTGTGTGTGTGTGTGTGTGTGTGTGTGTGTGTGTGTGTGTGTGTGTGTGTGTGTGTGTGTGTGTGTGTGTGTGTGTGTGTGTGTGTGTGTGTGTGTGTGTGTGTGTGTGTGTGTGTGTGTGGTGTGTGTGTGTGTGTGTGTGTGTGTGTGTGTGTGTGTGTGTGTGTGTGTGTGTGTGGTGTGTGTGTGTGTGTGTGTGTGTGTGTGTGTGTGTGTGTGTGTGTCTCTGTGTGTGTGTCTCTCTGTGTGTGTGTGTGTGTCTCTCTCTGTGTGTGTGTGTATGTCTCTGTGTGTATGTCTCTGTGTGTGTGTGTGTGTGTGTGCGTGTGTGTGTGTAGGCCAGAAGTCTCCAGGGTTTCTGGTCAGAGCTGCAGTGGAACACGGAGAGGACAAAATATCTGGATGCTGATCCCAATTCCAGATACAGAACCTCACACATACAAGCCGACTGGGATAAACTGGTGAGTGTGTGCGTCTCATGCATAAGACTGATGAACAATTGATTATTTGTTAAAGGGGCCCTATAATGCTTTTTGGGGTTTTCCCTTTCCTGTCGTGTGTTATGTAGATATCCCACTATGTGATGTAAGTGGAACAAGAGCCTTGTGTGTTGTGGAGTGCCTGTGTTCATCAAGGATCAAACAACGCACAAAACGTATTTTTGATATGTTTAAATCCAAAGAAATACATTTGTTTAGGAGACATTTAGTCATACAAGCTGCTTTTTTAAAGGGCAACATTTTTATTTGAGTCCACTTCAGTGTTGGGGTTTTCTAAAGTATGATAATCCAAACTGTGTTTTAATTTGGGAATTGAGGTGCATTGGTACAGATGAGAATAATCTTCGAGCTTTTAAACCGGCTCTATTTCCCTTTCCTGTATTGTGTTATAAGTATCTGAGGTGCTGCAGCACAGGCAGTATAAGAAAAATAAAGAGCTTTTTGAAACATTAAAGCATGGACACATGTCACAGAAGAGGCACAAAATACAAAAATGGGCAAAATAGGCCCACACTGTTGCCCATAAAGTTGTAATAAAACATTTTTGACCTCTTCCCATGAAATAGGAATAAAAAGAGGAATGTGTCTGAAAACAAATTTCTTCCAACTTTATGGGCATCGGTGTATTTAAACTTACACCAAGGATGTGTCTTGTGTATGCCAGCACACCTTTGGGTCTTTACTGAACAATGAGAGCATTATTCTCCGCCCTCCCATGATGCTCCTTCTTGTTTCAGAGGGCCGAGAGGAGACCTTCCAGCCACATGAACCACATCGAGGAGAACACCAAGAAGTAGGTCTGCCTCCCACTGGAGCTTTGTTAAAAAAAAGTACATCACTGTATAGACACACAGTCCTAAAACTGGAGAGAGGGAACGCATGACTGCAGCTCTGCGCTACGTTTAAGTGTTTGCTGCACTGTTGTCTCAAAATTGGGTTTGGAAAAGTACTTAACTTGTGCACTAACAGGAACAGTAGAACTGTTACTCAAGTGCAGCTATCCTTGAAAGTTGCATTGATTTTCCCAACAGAGCTGCTAAAGCTGAATGTGAAAAATACATTGAGCTGTAACGTCCTTAAAACACCATCCCAGTGTTATTGCTACGCTTCTTACTGTTAACCCTAAAAGGTCTGGAACCAACAATGCTTTAATTTGTTAAAAATGTAATGTAATCTCAATCATCACCTATGACCCATTAGTGTGTTGTGCTGTCTGTATTTGAAGAAACCCTGCTCCATGCCTTTTATTTTCTAACTTTCAGTGTTCAGGGAATGTCCAGGCTTAAACACATTTTATATAAAACAATACGTTTAGCCTTTCTTCTCAGAGTGGTGCAGGAATGCGTCCTAGAAGCTGGTCATGAGTTAGCATTTTAGCACTTTCGGCAAGTCAATTTGGGTTATTTGTTAGAGGCCTGAAATAAGGTCTTTGGTTATTACATGATTAAGTAATTTTAACGTTTTGTTCTACGATATAAATGTTACAACCACATAGATCATTTATGAATCCATACATCTACAAAACGGTTGTATCATGCTGTAAACAATTCTGCATACAACTGCAGAAATTATCATGCTAAACGTGTGTTTGATTAAATCCAATCGAAAATTCCTTTTGGTTCTACATTGAGGAAACCAGGGTGATGATAACTTCTGGGTCAGCCTTCAATATGACGTCCTCCCTGCAACATTCGTTCCCAGTTATTAAATAGCGCCACGTAGCTGCTGTTAGCTGCTGGCTGTGTCTGTTCCACCATACGAGCCAAAAACACTCACACACCTCAGCAGGATGAAGAGCCTCTTCAGCTGCATCCATTCAACAATCTGGCACCTGTGTGTGTGTGTGTGTGTGTGTGTGTGTGTGTGTGTGTGTGTGTGTGTGTGTGTGTGTGTGTGTGTGTGTGTGTGTGTGTGTGTGTGTGTGTGTGTGTGTGTGTGTGTGTGTGTGTGTGTGTGTGGTGTGTGTGTGTGTGTGTGTGTGTGTGTGTGTGTGTGTGTGTGTGTGTGTGTGTGTGTGTGTGTGTGTGTGTGTGTGTGTGTGTGTGTGTGTGTGTGTGTGTGTGTGTGTGTGTGTGTGTGTGTGTGTGTGTGTGTGTGTGGTGTGTGTGTGTGTGTGTGTGTGTGTTACTCATAGGTGAGGAATTTCACTGGGGTGCATTTCAGCTGTGGATTATTATACATTTGGTGAGCTGGAGAATATGTGCAGCAGCAGTATGTGGAATTGACTCAGAATAAAACATGTTCATTATGAAGAAGGAGCAGAGCAGCAGTGGCTCATTGATTTTTTTGCACAGAGGAATAGGATCCTTCTGGCTTTGGCTACAGACAACATATGTTAGTAGAATCCATTCAACACTGGTTTGGGGGATTTCATGGGCTCTTTCTTTAAATAACCAAAAATACAGAGCATTGACCGCCTTACTGCTGCTGGAGAACACACACATGTGTCTGAATTATGAAGTTGTTTCTCAGCTTGCATTCGTTCTGAGGTATACACAATCAGTGGAAGAATAAAACATAGTGGTATATATTAAATATGTGAAGCAGGTTTAAAAAGTACTGTTTAGGGTGTTAGAAAATAAACAAACCTATACATAAAAAAACAAACTGAAAATACATATTTACAGTGAAAGATATATATATATATATACAGAGTATCTCTATTGAATTCACAATATAAATACACAGAATTGACGTCAGTGTACATGATAGGCCGACCTACAACTGACAAAATGTAAACATATGTAAATATCTACAAAATCTCCCCGAACATTCAAAGTTCTCACAATTATTATATGACGTTTCACTTGCAAGAAACCGTGTGTAGCTTGTTATTAGGTTGCTCTGTGAATATAAAATAGTTTATGATCAAGTGATGATGGACCCCTGATGTCGTACCTGCCTTGAATTAAATTCTACCACGGATCAAACCAAAAAGCCTTTTTGCTTCACAATTACCTTCTCTTCCTCCAGGCCAAACTCAGCACCTGCTTACTAACTTTTTCTACTTTTGATATATTTTTGCTGTGGAGTGCAGCAGCGAGCCTGACTCCGCCTCAGCTTACAGCGCAGAAAGTAAGACTCTTATTTTAATGCTGGCTGGAGGGATTGTTTTCACACAAAGCTTTTTCTCCTTGTTTTGTAGAGTTCTATCGATGGTGGACACCTGGTGTCTTGGTAAGACGCATGAGCACACTGAAACACACACATAAATCCATAAATGCAACACACACACACACACACACACACACACACACACAGGAACACACAATACAGGGAGTGGGGATAGCGTAAACAACAAAACCTTGGATATAATGGAGCTCAAAACTGTGTGTGAGTGTGTTTGTGTCATCGTCTGAAGTTGCATTCTTCACGCTCGCTGGAGAATTCGGCTGAACAGAACCACCACACTCATTTATCTTGGAGGGAGGTCGAGGGGGGAAAGGGAAGGGGATAAGAAAAGGGAAAATAGAGCGAAATATATATTTTTTTAAGAGGATTGAATGCTACAATTATGATATAACAGTGGGGATTTTATTCCTCCTTCACCTCCCTACCTTTCTCTCAGAACTACAGTGCAGATGTTTTGTCTCAGCCGCAACACACACCCTCACCTCACTTAATCCTCATGGATGATGTCATACACCTCCCTCAGATTCACTTGTTAAACCAACACTCATTGTAATCACTCCTCAAATAACACTTATTCACAGATTATAGCACTCATGCAAGAATCTGCCTTATTTATCACCCTGCAGTAAATCATTGTAAGGCTTTTTGTTGGAGCACAATGCATTGAACTTCCACCTGCTCCCTCCCAATAAGAATCTGCTCGTTGTGTCAAATATTGAATACACAGTTTATAACTTTGAACTTACGACAGGAAGCCAATCAGGCAGCTCTCTGTGCCCTGGGAGTGATATTTGTTTATATTATTTATTACACTGTAACATCAAAAGCTAGCTTCTTGTGAGAAAATGATCAAAAGATGGTGTGTGTGTGTGTGTGTGTGTGTGTGTGTGTGTGTGTGTGTGTGTGTGTGTGTGTGTGTGTGTGTGTGTGTGTGTGTGTGTGTATGCGAGCTTGAAATTCTGGAGCGTGGTCCACTTTTGTGTGACCGACATATAAACACTGACACAGCAGGATTGTGGCCCCCCGAAGCTCTGGGAAGTATTTTAAAAGTGTATTCAATGTATTTTATCTTAGCTATGAATGAGTCAGAGTTTGTTTAATAACGTACAGACTCACCTGAGGCTACCTGTAGTCTACATTCAGCATCAATGGCTCTTTAAACTCTCTATAAAGTGCTCACTGCTGCTGGGTCTCTTCCAGATAAGAAGCTGGTGCCACTGTTCCAGGAGGAGGACCATCAACACAGGGCGCTCATTGGCCTGGTAAGACAAACTGTACACGGTTATATCTGCAACACACTCTCTGCTAACATGATCTGTTTCCTGGCTTTGGCTGGACATTTAATTCAAGAAAAAAACCTACGACCAAAAGTCCAAAACCTAAAGATATTAAATGTTGCAAAACACAAAAAAGCAGCTAACTTTTGGATTTAATAAACAGGCAAACATAATTTAGTATTTTTGCTAAAAATGTTCTTAAACGATGAATTAATCGCCATACATATTTGGAGATTTGTGTGCATGTTTTACCGATTCATGCACACATTGAAATGAAAATATTTAACTGGACATATTATTCTCATTTGATATTTGTATTTAGTGCCTGGATTTTGAGGGGGGGGGGAGTGTGTGGGAAAGAAACTCCCCCTGGAGGGAACTTTGGGATTTTAGCCTTTGCAGACCATTCACATGCATTAAAACCTATAACACGTTACAGGACAGGGGAAACCCCCAAAAAGCACAATAGGGCCTCTTTTTAAAGCTGGTTTCTATGGCAGTGTAATATACAACATCATCATGTCATTTTCCATTGTGGAATGTTAACCTGCAACCATAAATAAAACCTGATTTAGAGCTTTAACAAACAAATATACTTGAATACTGTTTGACAAACTGGTCGTTTGCTTGTGCCTCAACCCTGAAACCGATAGAACAGCTGTACAAGAGAGCTATCAAGGTGTTTGACAGAAAGCCTAATTCATACCACCACTGTACCATCCTTGAAAAACACACTTTCTTGAGTTTTGACCATTTTAAGTCTTTTAAAAGTATGTGTTTTATTTATAAATGTTTGCATGGACTGGCCCCCCCCTCCCTCCCTTAGAGGAATTCATCCACAGAAAACACACTGGACGCTGCACTAGGTCAGAAACCAGAGGAGACTGTGAGGTCCACCGTAGACGGACCACTTTTGGACAAAATGTCCTCTCCGTTAAAGGCAGCTCACTCTGGAATAGCCTCCCAACTGAGATACGGGATTGTCCCACTCTCAATAGTTTTAAAGGTCAACTCAAAGAATGGTTGAGAAACAACCAGACGTGCGATCACCGCTAAATGCACTTTAACACAGGGGTATGTCCTCTTGCACTTAATATGTCGTAGCTGCTATAGTGTACTGCCATGTGGTAAATACTTGTGTGTGCTGCTCTTGCTCTTTCTGCATATCATGTATTTATTTTTTGCTATGTTTACAAATGTCATGTTCTTATAGGTTGTCAGGGACTACGGATGGAAATGAGCTCAAAGCTAAAATCCGGCATATTTACACTTGAAGCATTATTTGTCTAAAGTGTTCATTAATGTGCATTGTCCCTTTTCAAATAAACGATGAAATGAAATGAAAAATATGCTTTGACATTTGTAAAAGTGAAAACCCTTTCCTTTTCTAAAGTGAGAATGACAAATGCAGGCGGATAAAGAAATGGATTTATTTTATTGAGTTTGTTGTGGAAGAGCTTGAGTGGCCAGATCAGAGTCCTGACCTCAGCCCCGTCCATCCCTCATCCTCTGAGAGGGATCAGAGCACTGACTTTGAGCCAGAGCTTTGACATCAGGGACGGATGGTAGAGATTGGGAAGTAGTAACCGATTCAAGAGAGTTTTAATAATATAGAGTTGACTGTATGAGGGTAAACAAGCTTAAAATGTAGCTCTGTAGTCAATCAATTTGGGTTTAATGACCCCAAATGATGGATGCATTGAAGTAGAGCTGTATAAGGTACTAAATAGTCAGTTTATTACAGTCGAAGGTGGTGTGCACCCTCCAAGTTTTGAGAAGCAGACAGGTGTACAAGCACAGAAGCAAAACAAATGCCTGTATAAAACATTACAGGAAAGGAAAACCCCCAAAAGCATAATAGGGCCTCTTTAACTTGCATGTTTTAGAAAAGAAACTTAGTTAAATTAATCATTCAGTTAAATAAATAAATAGTCATTCGTAGTTAGTTGTAGTTAGAGTCCTTTAACCTTAAAAAAAAAGACTGCAGTTAACGTCCTGCCACTCAAATCAAAGAGCAGGAGTAGAAAAAAGAGAATAACACAGATTAGATTGTCTCTTTTGAAACACAGATCCAACTTTGACGCCCTTTTTGTCTCAGTTTGAATAATGATGTCTTTCCCTCGCAGTAAAGGAGTATTCATAGTGAGGCCCCTACTCAGATGCACTGAGTCTCCCAGATTGTTGACATCCCCTGGAGGATTTTCCCTCTAACATGGGTTGATATATAGACCGCTAACGACCCATAGTGAAATGCTGACAGCCAATCATTTCCCCCCGTAGTCATCTTTAAGGTGAAACTCGCTGTTACGCTTCAGATGAGTCGACACTTCAGAAAGAAAGGCTATCTTAAGGTCCCTGTCCTGCCTTTTTTTCATCCCGTTTGATAGACAATTTCATATCCTGCAGTTTTCACTGAGCTCAGCACTAAGGAGCAGATAGCTTCAGTTTAATGGAGTTCAGGCTAGATGCTAGCAGTCTCCAAGCTGTTCTTAAAATGACTTCCAGTTTATCTCTCCTTTATTCTCTCTGATCACTTCCTTCCTTCCTTCCTTCCTTCCTTCCTTCCTTCATTCTCCTCCTCACTCCCTTTTCCTCCCGGAGAGATATGAACTGTTTTTAGATCTTCCCTCATCTGCCGCACTTTCCCACCTCTTCCCCTCTCTCTCCTCTCCGTCGTTAAATCAATTTTGGGACGCAGTAGTCGAGGGAAAAGTCGAGCTGAACTCAATTTGACCCTGCTGAGCACACGGTAAAGTGTTCCTAAAATACACACACACAAGGTTTTACCCCGAGCTACACACACACTTGCATCCAAAGGAAATAATCTGTGTATGTATTTCTTTATTTATTTCTTTATTTGCGTTGCAGACGGTTGACAAGCTTCGAGAGCATCTCAACAGACACCTGCCTCGACTGGGGAAGAAGAAGATTGACTCGCTGGTTGTCAACTACGTGGCCAAACTGGTGGGTACACTTGTGTTGTGTGTGGTGTGTGTGTGGTGTTTTGTGTGTGTGTGTGTGTGTGGTGTGTGTGTGTTGTGTTCCAAGTAGTGCTGTGTACGCTCTGTGAACCCTCCTGTAATCGAAAAGGAACACCGTTCTCCACGTTATGTTTCTTTAATGTTCGCCCTTACTCTTTTTGGGGAAGGTTAAGTGACTCTCGCCGTGAGGAAGCTGCAGAGAGTTTTCCACTTTAGTTAAACACTCTGACAGAGCGCACAGATGAATGTGTGCTCTTCAGATCAGAGAGGATGCTGGGAACCATCAGGTCTCCTTTTCAGTCCTTAAAACAAACATTGGCTCTGCGGTCAAGTGTCCTCAACCACACTCCACACTCCTGGGAATGCGGGGAGCACAAAGCTTTGTCTAAAAACAATTAGATATATGTTAATGAAGAAGTGTTCAGATGCTTTACTTGAGTAAAAGTACCAATACATTATTGTCAAATATTCCATTACCAAAATCTTAGTTACAGTATAAAAGTATTATCAGCAAAATGTACTTGAAGTATAAAAAGTCAAAGTAATCATAGTGCAGAAAAATATTTGTGTATATAATTATATTTATATATGTGACATTTCTAGATAATACTGTTATGTAATACTACCTTTTACTGTTGTAGACAAACAACGTTCTGATTGTCTTTTTGTAAAATATTTAAATCATTTGACTCATTTGTGACTTAAAGGTGGGGTAGGTAAGTTTGAGAAACCGGCTCGAGATACACTTTTTGTTATATTCCATGGAATGCTCTTAACATCCAGATAGCAATGAATATCTTAAGTGCTCTGACAAAAAATCCATAAAAAATGTCATTTGTGGAAGCCGTAGTACTGTAAAAAGCACGACCAATCATTTTAGCCGGCCCGGCTAAAGTAACTGGATGGCCTACCTGCCTGTCAGCCTTCCATCGGGGCACAAACTTATCTCGTGCCCTCATTGGTCATGTGCGCGTTCGTGTGTGTTGGAGGAGGGGCTCTGTAAGGAAGTGGCAGATTTTTTCCGGCTGTGTATTTTCAAATTCTAGCGCACTCGAGCTGGTTTCTCCAAAATTACCTACCCTACCTTTAAGAGTAGCTAAATTAGTTTCTTTCCATTTTAAATGTACTAGAGTAGAAGTACAAAGTAGCATTACATGGAAATGCAGTACATTACTTGAGTAAATGTACTTAGTTAATTTAAACCTCTGGTTATTTATTTGGTTAAGTTGTGTCTTCACATATTTCCAGTAATTTTCAAATCTAGAGACATTTCTATCAAGTTAACGCCTTGTTTCAGTCAGTTGGTTGCAAGTGATCATGTCGTATCCTTTTACACATGCATCAGTGTTGTGGTTGTCTACAAGAAACTGTCATAGATTAACTTTTTGAATCAAACTGTAAGCTGCATTTTTACAATACACTTTTTAACTAGTTTTGAGTTTGGATCAAAAGTTAGCAGAGAAACGAGCACATGTTAGCGGTTAGCGGTTAGCTTGAGGCTACTGTATCCTGTATCCACTTGGAAAACCCTGATATTTAAAGAAAAACTGCTTTATTCAGTTATCGGTCCATTTGTTCTGTAGTGGAGGAGACCCCTGCGGACAATTCGACTTTTGATTAAAACCTAAAAAGTAAAGAAAAGTAATCCTAAGAACAGAAAGTAATCCTAACAAGGAAAGCTCACTGCAGTGGTGGTGAAGACAACAACTCCCATGATCCCACACTATTTCATTACCCAACTAAACTTTTGGCATTTTATGAGAAAATCCTATGGGCAGAAAATGACATATTGTGCTTTTAGATGTGTATAAATATCACTTCACTGCGCACCCCACTTCTGAAACCCAACCTACGCCCTGTGTTTCCGCTCAAAGAGCAGCAGGTGGGCTCTGCATAACCGAGTGGAGAGACGTCTCAGCACCCCGTAGAGGAACTTCTTGGATGTGTAAAGTCGGTCCTTAGTATTCCTGGGAGGTAAATCTCTTCCCAGCTAGCAGCAGCCGCAGAAAGCAGACATACAGCATACATCAACACAACAGTATTAAAGCAGGCCAAGGGTACGGCTGGAATTGAATAGAAAGCAGGAAGCACGTATTGGGACTTTGTGGAATTGCAAATGACAGTAACAAAGACGGAAGAAATCCTCCCTGCTCTCAGAAGGATCTCTGGATTGGCTTCCTCGGTGCAAAAGTTTTAACCTGCGCCTTCGAACTCCAAATGAAAGTAATGGAAATGGGAGTGGCTGTAATAGTTTTGGCACAGGCAAACAGGGTTTATATTAGATGTATTCAGTGAAGTGAAAAAGCTTCTAATTCCTATTAAAGCAGAAAATAAGAGACATCCTTCCGGGACGTTTTGCTTAAAGGGCAGTCGAGGAACTCAACAGCCGGCTGACTATTAAAAAATAGAGAACTGTTTTCATCTGACTTCCCCTCCGCTGATAAAGAACATCTCACCTCTTGTCTGCACTCATTGAGACTAATGGCTGCGTTGACACAGGGGAGAGGTTTGGGGGGGGGGGGGGGGGCATAGATTACAGCTTTTAAGAGCCAGGGAACCTCTGCTATGATAGATTACAGCTCCACTGCACATTATTGTCATTGTTATTTATTTCATCTTCCTGTTGCTACAGACGACTGAAACACATTCAACATAGCCAATGTCAAGGCAGAGAGCTAATGGCTGAATATATAACTATACGCATGAATATAAAGTCATGGAATTAATTGAAATAGGCTGCAATATTTTGTAATTATGTAGAAAAGTTGCTCGATACCCAAGGTTATTACACTTTTTTATTTCCCCGCCTGACTGAGCGAATGTGTCGGGCTGAGGCTCATTAAGACAAAAGGGAATCATTCTCATAGAAAGTCACACAGTGGGGGCGTGGGAGGGGGGCTGTAGCTTTGAAATGCTGGCACAAGAACATCCTTATTACTGACCTTCTGTGTTACATCGTCAACGAGCAGAAGTGATGTTAGTTAACCCTTCAATGGGCATTCACATGTAAATATTTGGGGAAATTAATTGATGGCTATTTTCTACATTACACCAGTAGTGACCATTAATACACCCATACTACCACCCTGATTACACTGTTATTTCAACCATATTACACCCTTATTATTATTTCAATCGTATAACACCTTTATTATACCAATATTACCCCCATATTACTCCTTAATTACACCCGTTTTCCAACCATATTACACTGTTATTAGACCCATATTACACCCATGTAACACCAATATAAAACTGTAATTACACGGTTAGAACACCCATGTTACGCATGGACAGATGTGTAAAATTAAAAACAGTTTAAGGGTTAAGACATTTAATAATTTATTAAGTTTAAAAAGTTGCTACCTTTTCGTCCAACAATGAATATCTAATTTTAAAGAATAATAACATTCCTTTTACGCTTTTACGAGTATTATTTTTCTTCCTCTGTGTTGACAGAGGATCGCTCAATTCCCTCTGTTGTTGACAGATCATTTCCAATGGGATCAAATGAATGAAGGCGGAGCTTTCCCTCACATCTTTCTTTGACATCTCTTTGGGTCAGAACGTTACATAATCGAGACTAATTGAAATTCACATCCTGAGGTCAGTGGAGGACGCGGCCGGTGGAATGTTTCCCGCTGGTTTACAGGATGTGAATTCGGCCGATCGTCTTTCCTGTTATTCTACAGGAGATGAGAGACGTGTTCATTCGTGGATAAAACGACTGTGTGTATTACACGGAACACATGAGTCAAGTGCATCCATAATGCTTACTGATGTGTGGTAAGATGCTGAGCGTGTGTTCACATCCTGATTCACAGTGTTCAGTGGAAATGAAAATGGGAAGTAGGAATAAAAAGGGGAAGCGAGGACTGTACATTTCCATGAAGTAAACAAAAGAAAGGTCTTGTTTTCAGGTGTCTTATCAAGACTCTCATTTGCTCAGCGCTAACGTGTGTGTGTGTGTGTGTGTGTGTGTGTGTGTGTGTGTGTGTGTGTGTGTGTGTGTGTGTGTGTGTGTGTGTGTGTGTGTGTGTGTGTGTGTGTGTGTGTGTGTGTGTGTGTGTGTGTGTGTGTGTGTGTGTGTGTGTGTGTGTGTGTGTGTGTGTGTGTGTGTGTGTGTGTGTGTGTGTGTGTGTGTGTGTGTGTGTGTGTGTGTGTGTGTGTGTGTGTGTGTGTGTGTGTGTGTGTGTGTGTGTGTGTGTAGCTGGAGCTCATCAGACACATGCTGGAGTCGGCCTGGCTGAAGTTCAAGCTTGGCCCTCGTGTTCTGTGCTTGTGAGTAGCCCTCCCTCTTCCATGTGTGTGTTCTTTGAACGTTTCTGAGTAATCTGATGTATATAACCCTGTGTGTGTGTGTGTGTGTGTTTCAGTAAACAGCAGGGCAGTCCCGGAGAGTGGTCCGTGTTTCACTTCATGTTTCGGATCCTGGAAGCAACAAGGGGTCTCTGCCTGCCCCTCCCACCTGGTAACTCACACACACACACACACACACACACACACACACACACACACACACACAACACACACACACACACACACACACACACACACACACACACACACACACACACACACACAGTCTGACCCAGAATAACAATGTTTGCAATGAGGGATGACAGAGCGGCTGCTGTAACCAAAAATATGTTAAACATTAGCATAGTGCGGCAGACCTGGGTGAACCAGAGTGTGAATACATTTTCAATAATTTATATTCCATTGTATGCAGCGACATTTCCATGATTTTAGTTTCAACAGAGAAAACGGTGAACTGTGTGGGAATGAGAGAGGAAATGCCCTGCAGCAAGGCAGTGAGGCTGCAGGTGTAAGTGTGTGTAAATAGGATGTGAAGATGTAAAGCAGCAGGAGTGTGTGTGTGTGTGTGTGTTGTTCCTTTGGTGTATAAAAGTTTAAAACACAAAACTATTGCACATCGCTGTCAGAAGTTGTTCAGTCAGGTAAACGTTATGGTTAACAGGAAGTAACTTTATTGTCAACCCGCCTGTGAGATGATGCGTTCTGTCGTGTGTGTGTGTGTGTGTGTCAGGCTAATTTAATACTGTACCTATCAGTCAAATATAGTTTTGTAATTTATGACTGCATGGTTATGGACTTCTTGTGGTTTCGGTGATTTGCAATATTTGAAAAACCCTATTGTATTGACTGTTTTATAGTATAATTGACTGAAATCGTGTCAATCCTCTATGGCCAGTAGACAGGGTAAGGAGGGTTACTTTAAAGGGGACCTATCATGCAAAATGCACTTTGTGATGTCTTTTATACATAAATATGTGTCCCCGGTGCGTCGGGGAACTCACGCAGCGTCAGAAAATAAAATCCTTTCTCTTTTCCTCCGTACCCAAATATTAAAAAAACGGGGGTACAACGAGCGGATACAGATTTGCTGCCGATATGACGTTAAATCGGCGGCGGACCCACAGAAAGTTGCTATCAGAAACAATGCCTGACGTGTTTTGGACGTAATCTCGTCTTTGTTTACATTAGCAGAGCCTCGCTAACACTCAGAGCTAACCTGTACTGGAGAGCACATGTGTTTAAAAAGCAGGAAATAAAAAAAGGAACTCACCTTGTGATAAACCTGCAAGAGAAAAAGCATTTGAGCTCCATACTGTTTCAGAAATAATCCTTGATGTGGTTTAGAACAGGATGGCGTTTTATCACAGCAGAATTTAACTTTATCTCCGGTAGAATTCTGATCAGGCATTAGCTCCGCCTCCTCTTTTTTTTTTTTTCAAGCTAAGGACCCCACAATCCGCGTTTCTCTAACAGGGCTGGAACAGAGGGGTATGAGCAGTATGAGGCATGGCTACAATGGGTGAACTGTTTTGTATTTTAAGCAAAAAACTTCACAGACATGTTTTGTATAGGTATGGCCCTACAATATATTTTTCCAATATAGCATAATAGGTCCACTTTAAATATGTATACCATTATAATTTCTCGTTATCTGTAAAAAATAATGTAATCAGTCACCATGAGTTTCACAATATAAAATAAATGTGTTTTACTAACATTGTAATCCTGCTAGTAACTGCCAATTTTTTGTAATTTAGTAGTAATCTGATTGCGTCTTTTTGATGTAACTGTAAGAGAATACAGGGACCACTGATCTAACAAGTAACATGTAATGGAGCCAGTAGGGACAAATTAGTGGGATTCAATCACTTTACTGGTTTAAAATATCTTTAAAACATTGTGTTTTGTACTATAAAGCAAATGTTAGCAAGCAAACGGCTAAAGTAAGCAGGGTGTGTGATTAGCATGTTCCATTAGCACGTTAGTATGCTGACGTTAGCATTAGGCTCAAAGTCTAAACACAGCCTCACAGAGCCTCTAGCGTTGCTGCAGACTCTTACCTTTTTCTTTTATTTATTGTTTTCCAGAGCATCAAAAGCAAAAGTATCTTTTTCATCTCCTTTTCTTCTCCGGCCCTACTGTTCTCTCTCTGTCTCTGCAGGCTATCACACTCTATTAGCAGTGTTTGCTGTGCGCTGCCTCCCTCAGCCCACCTTCCTACAGTACGTTGATCACGGCTTCTTGCAGCTCACTGAGACCTTCGTGTCTCGCCTCATGACAGGTACACACACACACACACACACTCACACTCACACTCACACTCACACTCACACTCACACTCACACACACACATTTGCAATTTACTTCTTTCCATATGCGAGTAGAAAAATATTGTCAATTCATCATCCACTCTCTCTAGTCCAGACCGAACTAGCTCAACAACTATTGGATGGATTTCCATTAGATTTTGTGCACAAAGGCATGTTCCACAGAGGGTGAATTTTAATGTCTCTGGTGATTCTCTGAATTTGTATCTAGCGCTACCATAGAGGTTAACATTTGTGGCTTTAAGTGACATTTCTCAATTACTATTGGATAGAAACATCAAATAAACAAAATTAGTTCATTTCATCACCTTATGGAAAGGTCAGTTGCTAACGTTCGCTTACTCATTGCTTGGCTTAAAAAAACATTACTATTGTTTATTTTCCATTCACATTCCAGCACATTGTTGGAAGGACAAACATCTTGACTTGGCTCTGAGATCAACAGAACAGAAATACACTCGTCAACTCTTGATCTTGTTGTACTTTAACATGGTTCTTTCTCATGAAGAGAACAAACAAAGATGAAAAGATTATTTAGATGGCAGAGTCCAAATGCTTCGGACTTCAAAGTGAGAGCAAAGGATGTTTCAGAGCTTTGAAGTACCAGGGTTCATGCATCACTTCCCCCCCAGGGATTGATCAAATGAGTATATAACTATTCAAATGTCTACCACTTTATTCTGGGCAATTTGCTGGGCAGGTGTGCTCTTTCTGCCTCATTACAAACACATACAAACATATACTCTCATCTGGAATTCCCAATGCAACTAATCTTACTTATCTTGGTTATAGACTTCTGACATGTTGGCAGGAACCACTTTTATCATGAAAACTACAAAAAGGAAGTTTTATTCTCTTGAAATGCCTGTACAAAACTTTATGATAATCCATCCAATAGTTGTTGAGATATTTCACTGGGGCATTGTTTGCTACTTATTCCAATACACCTTGAGAAAGGTTGGATTTCAAGGTAACCCTAGATGAACTACATTACCCAGAAGGCATCGTTGCACCAGGAGAGTTATCCAGGAGCTGCTGAAGCAAAGGATCTCTGAGGCTCACTACTCCATATCCTTTTTGGATGAATAGATATTTCTGCACCACAACAAGCACACCTTCTGGGAGTTTTTTAAACTCCAAAATAAAAAAGTTGGGTTGACTCCGGATCTTCATGCTTCAGGGATCAGACTTGTTTACCGATAAAAACGTGTCTGTTTTCTATAAAAGTTGCAGTTTTATCAATTTTGGACTTTGTTGTTTTGCATTTATTTTACATGAATTGTCTCCAGCAAAACAATTTTAATCCCATGTTTCTATTGTTTCAAAAGATTTTGAGCTACTAATTTAGCTATAAAAAGAGAAGGTGTGACTTTGCATTATTTGTCCTCCCCTGTTGTCTTAAAAGTAATTACCATTTATTTTACTTTCTCTTTAGATTTGGACAACAGTGATGCCAACGAGCGACTGAAGTTCAGCATACTTAAGAGACTTCCTGAGGTACTACTGAGTCAAAGATGAGTTTTTTAATGAAGGGCAAGGAGTAGTTTAGAATAGTTTTCCATCCAAATGACGACACTTTGAATGTACAAACTTGGGAGTATCAAGCTGAAATGTATCTGCACATGGCCGGGCTGAATTTCGCAGTCAGTAAAACAATTCATGAGGCTTATATGTAATCCCATCTCTTTGTGAGGGGGACGTTTTGATGTCTCTGTGAATGGCTCTCTCCCCCAAACGTCCTATTCTGAGCTAATGTTATTTTTATTTTTGGTCTCTTCTCCCTCAAACCCCCTCAAGCCAATCATAAAGCTCTTGTGTAACTGTCTGATGTGTGTGTGTGTGTGTGTGTGTGTGTGTGTGTGTGTGATCCGTCCGCATTGTGGTCAGAGGAATGTCGAGTGTTTGCTGTCTGTTTTTCCTGCCTGTCAGACTTTTCTTGGCAGGCAGGAGAGATTTATCAGGTAGCCTACAGCACAGCTACAAAACAAAGAATATTTTAACAAACTTAAGAAATGTACAATTTGGGGAACCCTATCGGCCTCATAATTCTTATTATACTGATCTTCAACCCCCATTGAATAGCCCTTCATAATATAAATAACAATTGAAAGAGATATGCTAGCTTTAGCCGCTCAACTAGCCTATAAACGCTAGTGTTTACTAAAGTGGAGATTTTAAATAATTGAACTAAATAAAGTAGTTCTTACGTAGAGATACGTTCCTTATAAAGGTATTAATCAAGTATTCACACCTAGTATTTGTTTGGTTTAAACGCTCTGTAGATAACGGACTAAATTAGCGATAGCTTGCTAACCTGTAGGCTATAGTGAGAAAAATAGATACTCTTGAATACTGCCAATACATTTGCTAGATTGAAAAATCTGTATCAATGTAAATACCTTAAAAAACTAAACATACAGTAATGGCATAACATCTGCCAAATGCCCAAATAGCGTTAGCTTAGTTAGCATAATCAGACATTGCAATGCTAAACTGTATTAATGTTACTTCACATTTTTAACATATTGCAACCCCATGGACTGACCTTGAGACCGCTATGTTTTATTTACTACAGTTTTGCCATATATATATATATATATATTAAAAACTCTGACAAAAAATATTTCTCTTGAATCCCTCATTAGCAGTCAGCTCCTCGAGAATAGTTTTCAGCTCCAGTTGGCAACATGGAGAGGGACAGATGTTCCTTTGCTTCGGGGAATAATTTCTTCATGACAACATGAGCCACATGCCTAAAATGTTAACTTTGTTGTGTGTGTCTGTGTGTTTGTGTGTGTGTGTAGCCTATGGAGCAGAGGATCTACCATATGTGGGACCATCCTGTCAGTTCAGCTTGGATCTCCAGAGATTATGTCAGGACTCAGCTGGAAAAACTCAACAAAAGCAAGGTAACGCAGCAAAGTGTCACACATACTGCGGAGAATACACACTGACATATACCTGAAGCCCTACACACATCTAACACAGCATTCGCTAATTAGCAAAACAGTGAAATACCTCAGAGACTGGTGTGAATATTACTAATTTTGCAGTCAAACACTACAGCATAGGAAGAAAGAACCTAAGGATACCAAACATTTGCTGCTTCCCGCTCTTCACATATGAAGATGTAACACTTCATATTGTTATGAATTGAATAGGTTTTGAAAAGCTTTTTTAAGGCATCTTCTTCGACTGAGGACCCTTGTGAGTGGCCATTATCACAATTTCCTGACAAGAAATCATCGCAGCCGCACCATTTTAACTCCAGAAACTTAACTTTTTTGTGACACTTCCAAAAAAGAAATCTTCCTAGACTTTTCTTTCATCAAATGTGTTTTAAAAGTGAACCCATCTGTTCAGCTTACACATCATCTATCCACTTCATGATGCTAATGGCTAGTCGGCTAATAGGCTAGTAGTGGACCCAGTAGCATTTGTGTGCAATGGCTGATAAGTATGAATGAATAAAAAGCTGTCACACAACTTTATCCAGAAGAGTTACGTTTTTTTGATTTGCCGCAGAATTTTTTTGACTGAGAGAAAACCTTCATATTATCCACAGTTGTGTTTTTTCCTCCTCTTCAGGGATTTGCATTCAGCGGCAGAGACAAGCCAGGCTTCAGACCTGAGTTCCTGCCTCTTACCTACCTGGCAAAAATACTCTCTGATATAGAGGAACAAGGTATGTGTGTGTGTTTCCCGCCTGGTTTTGATACAAGGGCCTTTGAAGGATTAAGAGTGCGTGTTGCTTGGTCCAAAAAGCAAGGAAGTGGAAGAGAGGAAGGAAGTGTCTGGTGTTTTATCCTCTTCCTGTGTTGCAGCTCCGAACCCTTTCGAGGAGCAGGAGAACGTGGACGCCAGATTCGTGGAGGAGACGGCTCTGAAACAGACACTAATACTGCTGGGCTTTGAGGGAAAATGAAACAGGAAGGGCGGATGGAGGGAGAAACAGATGAGGGGGAAAACGTGTCGGAGAGAAAAGTCATCATTGACTCGGCCTTGAGGATAAGTAACCAACCGACGGATGGATGACGGGGGAGATTGAGAGGCAGAGCGCTCGTAAACAAGCTCTCACTGTTAGATGATAGATGGGCGGAGGAAAGATGGAGGGAGACGCCCAGAAAAGAAAGATGGAGGGGAGAATACGAGGCAGAAGGGACAAAATAATCACCCTCATTTTTTACAGTAAAAACGAAGGCATGCATGGAACAATATGGAAAGTATACTGAAAAAACTTTAATTCAATGTATTATGTCAACAGATTTCACATAACTTTATTAGGTTAATTGAAAGCAATACTATTAAGTTGAACCTCATATTTTAAACGTAATATTATTGCTTTCACCTAACTTAATCTGTTGACACAATACATTTAATTAAAGTCAACGTTTCAGTTTTGTAAGTGTACAAAGCATTCAAACACAAACACGGGTAAATCTTCCGGAAGTTGTTTGATCCAATTTGATTTAACAGCTCAATTCTTTATAGAAAATCAATAACTCCAGCAGCTATTAATATGAATTGTTGCAGCAACAATTCTCTCCTATAACTTCTCAATTTTTCTCTCATGCAATTTATGAATATTGATGTCAAACAGTGTTTATAAATCAAACACAGTGGCGTACTCCATCTACTTGATTACATGCTGACACGAGCTCTGCACACACAGCGGTCGGTCAGCTGCTGTGCGTTCAGTCTGATATTAACTCTGAGTTATTCACGGTGTTTACAGCTCAATGGGATGAGGTATAACTCAGGGAGAGTACCTGGAACATTTGAATAACAACCCCCACAACCAGATATTAAGTTGTATTAAAGTATGAAGAAAAATGTCTGTAATATTTGGGAAATGCACAGTTTGTTCCTGTCTGACGAATGGACGAAAAGGGCTGGGTGTCATTTAAAATAATGGGAATTACCTGATGATTTTTGAGAAATATGACAATTTGTTTCTACTTATTTCAGACACTAATACTCTATGTATGAACTGTAGCTTATGACGAAGCTATAAATACCATCAGATCAACAAGACAGACTGGGTTAATGATGAGTCCTTAGGAATTGAAATTGAAAGAAAAGACTGACTACAAACGTTTGGTTTGAATTATGACGCAGCTCTTACTGTAAGTGGAGGGGTGTGTGTGTGTGTGTGTGTGTGTGTGTGTGTGTGTGTGTGTGTGTGTGTGTGTGTGTGTGTGTGTGTGTGTGTGTGTGTGTGTGTGTGTGTGTGTGTGTGTGTGTGTGTGTGTGTGTGTGTGTGTGTGTGTTGTGTGTGTGTGTGTGTGTGTGTGTGTGTGTGTGTGTGTGTGTGTGTGTGTGTGTGACGTGTGTTCAAAATCCCGGTCGGAGTTGGCACCATCTGAGACTAAATACCAGAGATCAGGTTATTTACATCTCATGTCTTACTTTGATTTGAGAAATTAGAACACATTCCTCTGGGGAAAAAAGGGCTTACATAATCACTTGTGTTTCTTCTATTTAAACAAAATCAGTTTTGTACGATGACCTGTAAATAAAGAGATTTCTTCCCAAGTTTGCTGTATTATTATTGTTGTACGGCCATACTTTTTGAAGAACATGGTGTACAGAGAGGCTCAGTGGCAACAGAGAGGACTTGGCTGTCGTTGTTTCCAGTGGATTTCCTTAGAACACTGAAAACTTCAGAGCCAGAGTTTCATTGTGGAGCTAAGAGATGAATTAGGAAATGATCTCAACTGGCAGTCAGATAGTTTCTTGCTTGAAAAGCTCAAGGAGGAAGTGAGCTCTTAGATTCTCGAGAATACCACTTTCGACTTTGACTGAAAACAAGCTAAGTGACATTTAACGAAGGACACACACATCACGCTTTTCTACAGCTTTGTCATGCAATACATTACATCAGTGCTAAATGTTTTTTTTTTTACTTGTTTAACCACGTCGATACAATCATCTCAAATAATTTATCTTCTGGGGAATTCCTCTGTTAAATGTGAACAAATGACTCATTCCCCACCTTAGCATCCTCCACACTCTGCTATGCAGGCAGTGTTATGTAGCCAGTAATAGACACACACTGCTCTCACCGTTAGCGTGCAATGTATGACATACACACACACGCATAGGGAGGACAGGGCTGCCTCAAAATCAGATAAACTCCACCCGTTGCCTTCTTGAACTATTTAAGAGGTTGGCTAACAAAGTGTGTTTTGTTATATTTGGTTATTTGTGTCTGACATAGCCCCACATCTCCACATAAGTTCAACTAATTATCCTTAAAGCTAATTATTTTAACAGTGTATCTTGAAACTTGCTATTTCAACTGTTTATCCATTCATTTTAGGCATGGAGATGAGGATGTGTCGGCGTCGGCATTCTAGCGATTTACTCGGAAGGCTTCAGTAGAAGCTGCTTCTACTGAAGCCAGTCCCCAACTCCGGGGACTTCGGGTGGCAGTATACGCCGTGAAGTTGTTTGCGGCCTGCCAGTAAACCCAAAGCAGAAGAAGAAGTGACGTCAGCGGCTTCATTTGCCTAATCCTCCCCCAGGGACTTATTCCGGTGTGAACGCGATCTGTACTTAGTTCATGAGAACTAAAGAGTTCTCATGAACTAAGTGTGTGCCTCTAGGCACTTTCACACTGCAGTACTTTTCCCACAAAGTTTCATCAGAACTTAGTTCATGAGAATTCTTTAGTTCTCATGAACTAAGCACAGATCGCGTTCATGTCTATGGTGCACTATTGAAATAACCATAGCTTGCTCAATTTTCAACCAATTTTCAAAAGGTTTGGTTTGTTATAAACATCAAATATGTAGTTATGATACTGCATACTTATAATTATAATCATGGACTTTTTTTTTTCAACATGTCTTGTTGTCTCCTGTATCATAGCCATGCTAATAACGTTTATAATAAACCAAACCGTTTGTAAATCAGTCAAGATTTCAGCGAGTTAAGAGTATTTTTGTGCAGATCACTCACCTTACAACAGCTGTAGCAGTAGTTGTTGACTGTGGCAAGATGGCCACCGGTGAGCTACGCTGGCGACTCCCCCTTGAGCCATCAAGCCTTTATATATATATATATGGCGTATACTGCCACCCGGAGTCCCCGGTCGGAAGTCCCCGGAGTTGGGTACTGGCTTCAGTAGAAGCTGCTGGGACTCCCAGCAGCTTCTACTGAAGCCTTTCGAGTAAATCGCCAGAACGCCGACACCTGCTCCCATGTTTTCTTTTTTGTTGCCATAAATTAGTCCCTCTGTGTTTCTGCGCTGGGCTAATGCTAATAATGCTAATGCCAGGATAATAAAATGGCGGCTTCACAAAACTTTTTGGGAGTTTTACGGGGCGTGGTTTGCAATCCGCCCAGCCAATCAGACATAGGAACCTTTTTCTCCCACGAAAGTACCTGCTCTCTAGCAGGGACGGAAAAGGGGGTGAAAAGGTTCTCATTAACTAATTTTAGTTCCGGAGTTTTTTGGTGTGAACCATAGACTGTATATATAAAGGTGTGAACGCAACATTTCGGAACTATATCGGAACTAAAGTACTAAACTAAAAGTACTGCGGTGTGAACGCGCCTCTTAGGTCTCCAAACGAGAGGGAAAGGTAAGTACAAAATAAAACAGGAAGTGCAATGACAGTAGAGTAGACATGAGTGACTGCAACTTGACAAGTGAGAGACTAAACATGCACCTACATCTAAATATAAACTATAATTAAACATGAAACACACAACATAAACCTGATAAATAACTTAATAATAAATACATTAACAAACATGGCGGGATATAACTTAACCTGTAGCACATTTTTTTCAACCCTTTAGCTAATGTTTTTAGCTTTTTGCTAACTAGTTTTAATGTGCTCTCAAATGCAACATCTTACAAACCATTCAAGTGGGTGTTCATTTAGGAATACTTTTGATCAATCATAGCAATTTTTATTATATTTTAATGTTTATTTCTTCTCTTAAATACAACGTTTATACTATTATTTATATATTTTTCTGTTGACTTCACATGAACTAGGCTCACTACCACACACATGCTCACAGGCAGCATAGTCTATTACCTCATTGACAGGAATCTGCTTTCATCTCAAGCTCAGGGGCCTCATTTATAAACGGTGCGTACGCTCAAAAGATGGCGTACGCCAGTTTCTACGCAATGTTTGCGATTTATAAAAAACAAACTTGACGGGAAAATGTGCGGTTCTCCACGCAAACTCTGACCCATGCGTACGCACTAAGCACTAACCGGTGTAGGATGTGCCGCACGCAAGTCCTACGCCGGTACGCAGTGTTTTACGAATCAGAATATGTCTGCGTATTTATTTGCTTTGCAAGCAACCTTCCCACGTGAATCCTACGCAAGGCTTTATAAATGAGGCCCCAGATCAGCCAATAGAACAACTTCCAGTAAATTTGTCGAAGCTTCAAAGCGACTTTGTTTTCGGTCACTAACGGACAGACCTCCACTTTTATCCTGACTTCCCTTTGACTCTTTTCAGACTGCCATCTCTTATTCCTCTTCATTTGAAATCTCCTCTGTCATTCTCCATGCTCTTTCATTGCCTGATACTGACTCTATATTTACATTGATCATTTCAGACATAAAGCAGGCGCCCTTAGCCCGGCTCAGATTTAAACCCGTTGCAATTTATTCATCCGCTGAAGATTACAAGTGGGAGGGATGAAAGGGCAACAGGACAGACGAGTATTCAGACTTATTTCAGTGTACCGAAAAATGAAATGATAAAAAAAAAAGACAAAGGACTAAGCTTTTACAATTTTCAGACCAGCATATAAATCTGTAGTGTTTAATATTCCATCATTATGTCTGGACCTCTACTTATGCATAATCTTAAACACCTTGTAAATTTGTTTTAATCATATATTGGTTTATGTGTGTGTAGGGTTAGTTGAAATAGAGGTCACTGTCCTTGTTTGACGCTTTAAAAAGCAATACATATACTTTTTATAACAGGCAGGACAATGATTTTCTATTAAGAAATGAGAAAGAATAAACACAAATGACACATCACAGACATAAAGGAAAAATCTATAGTTTTATTGGTGGAAATTATGTAACAGAGCACACAAGTCCCATGTCCTCAGTCACCCCTTAAGCTCCTTCAAAGTATTTGGTGTTACTGCAAGCCAGAGCGTAAACAAGCCTTTGCCAGTAACTTTAAAAAAAGGATACCAAATTACAACCAGATGACTTTTAAATGACTGAACGGCAGTGGTATGCTGGACACTAAGGACACAAACATTCACAAGAAGTAGGAGTGTCACTGAGAGGTGTGTCGGAGAGCAGAGAGACAAAAACATGTGTGACACAAAGAGAAAAATCACTGAAATCCACTGGAAAATATGTTTCATATTCAAATTATTTTTACATTTGAACAAATTGTATGTCCTTTTGGTGTCTAAGGAGGACAGGAATGATTATATCTGATGTACAACAGGTGCAGTTATGTAAGTATGTCTTCTTTGTGTTGAGTCTGTACAAAAATAAAGATCAAGAAGCAAAAAAACGTTTACATTTCTGTGGATTTCTCGAGTGGAGATAAGTGTAAGTGCACTATTTTATCTATTGTGTCTGTTTGATTTGTTCTATGTCCTATATATATTCATGTTGCACTGTTGGAGGAGCCTGTGACTTAAGTTTTTCATTGCCATATCTACACTGTAGCTAATTGTACACATGACAATAAAGCCTTGAATCTTGATCTTGAAAGTGTTGACACTGAATTAAAGGTTACCTATTATGCAAAATCCTCTTTTTCATGTCTCTTCTACATCAACATGTGTCCCCTCTGTGTAAAGAGACTCTGAAAGTTTCAGGAAAAAAGATTCTCTCTCTTTTTTGTCCTGATCCATTTATATAAAAACCTGTCTGAAAATGAGCTGATCAGATTTTGGCCACTTTATGATGTCATAACGATGTTTTTGTCTTGTGTAACCATTAGCCAATCACCAACCAAGGTAACCCCCCCCCCCCCACCTTATCACCTGAATCTCCTCCTAGAGCACCATTGAGTTCTTTTTAACCAAATATCTCTCAGAGGGGCGCGGGGGGTGGCTCCTTATTTTCATCTAAAGTAACAGACAGAGAATCAGCACTTTTGAAACAGGGCTGAAACAGAGGGGATTATGGGATGCTGCAATGATCTGTTTGGTGTTTCAGCCAATCAGAGACATGTTCTGTATATATCTGAGACCTATAA